ATCTTAGACAATAATAATAACAAAATTTTGAAAAATTCTATGATTAGTGATGTTATTTCAGGTATGATTTTTGTTTTCTAATATGTGTTGCCTTTTTTCTATTTCAGTGCAATCGTTGCAAGCCATTATACAATGACAAACCATTTAGAAGAGGTGAACATGATGACTCATACCCCTGTGTCAAGTGCGAGTGCAATGATCATGCCAACAGTTGTCTTTACAATCAAACTCTGGACACCAGCCCTGACTCGCGTACCCAGGGGGCAGGGGGTGTGTGTATAGACTGTCAACACAACACTACTGGCCGTTTTTGTGGTGTGTGCAGGGAGAGATTCTACAGGGAGTCTGGGAAGAGTCTAAAGTCGCCAGACGTGTGTTCACCCTGTGGGTGTGAGGGGCCTGGGGTAGAGCCTGGAGAGTTGGATTGTGTAAAGGTTAGTAATGATCAGTTTTTGTGTTGCTTAGGAGATGGAGTGTGTAGTGCTTCATGAGCAGGAACTATGTTATAAATGGGAAATGCTGGTTATGGCTATAAATTGCAGTAAATATCAATCTCGAAGTATTTCAGCTTTACATGAGTTGGTTTAAACAATATGATAGTTTACACAATATGCCCATTTCAAAAAAACCTATTTATAGCATACATGTAGAGTGAGATGTTTTTCAAGTATTGTGCAAGAGTCAGTTATCTAATTACAAGTCTGGTATACACATTGATCTAAATTGTAAAAGGGATTCATAGCAAATTCACAGAGTTAGGAAATCACTTGCACTTGTCTCTGTTTAATGGTGCAAACCTCTGCTGAAGACTGTGGGCAATTAACTATGGAGTTTGTGGAGTTTATCCTGCAAAGCCATGTAGTTATGTCTTTGTTTCATTATTAATAGAAAATATAAAAATAGGCACTTTGCAGTCATAGCTATCACATAAAACAAGAAACACCTTAATGGTGAGCAGATTGCATGTTACAGTTGGTACATCCAAAGGAAACCATTTTTGAATCAAGATGCATTGTTTTTTATGTTCAAGTCTGCAAATCTTGTTATTAGCATGCACCATGTGATTGGTGACTGCAAAGGGCCTATTCAGGTCTCTGACTGTATTGAGAATTTATTTTTGATTAATGTTGTTTTTGATGGATAGGATGATTCTAATTCAAGTGTAGTTGCTGGTCAGTGTGTATGTAAAGACAACACCCAAGGCCGTCAGTGTGATGAGTGTAAAGATGGATTCTATGATCTCAAAGCCAGCCATGCAACTGGATGCATCTCATGTGACTGTGTTCTCGATGGCACCATAAGCCGGAATATTTCATGTCACCGAACATCAGGACAGTGTTACTGCAAAGATAGGGTGACAGGGAGAACATGTAACACATGTAAGGCAGGGTTCTGGGGTCTGTCCGGGCATGAACCTTTAGGCTGTAAGATGTGTGACTGTGATCCATTTGGAACAACAGCTGGGAATGAAAACACTTGTAACTCAGTTACAGGGCAGTGCTCTTGCAAAGCTGGAGTGATTGGGCGCAAATGTGATCAGTGTAAAGATGGTTTCCACAGCCTTACACCAAATGGTTGTTCATCATGCAACTGCTCTATTGCTGGTACGCCATCATCGCTTTTGGATCAGTGTGACAAAACTACTGGTGAATGTACCTGTAAGCTCAATGTGGAAGGCAAAAACTGTGACCAGTGCAAACAGGGATTCTACAATCTGTCACAGAGCAATCCACAGGGGTGTACACAGTGTGTTTGTGACACTAAAGGAACTGTGGGAGGGTCAGGTCAATGTGAACAGCAATCTGGAAACTGTACTTGTAAGCCATTGGTGATTGGTCAGACATGCAACCAATGTAAGCTGGGAACGTTTGGTCTTAATCAATCAGATCCTAACGGATGTCAACCATGTAATTGTTATCCCAAGGGAACCATCGATGGTGACAAAAAGAATCCAGGTCAGTCAAAGTCAGTGTACAATGTAAGATATAGTATTATTGTCACAAGTCAGAGCAACATGAGCTTACATGTATGTCCTCACTGCAATTCAAAATTTTCAGTTTGTGGGATACTAGTTTCATTTAAATAGATACCTTGTTGTATCCATTTACCTTCTGTTGCTCATTTTTTTGCTGTTTGCTTTGTTGTGCCAAATAAAAATAGTTTTGTCATTGAGAACTTTGGCGTCAATTCATGTAATGGATAGAGGATCAGATGATTTAGGAAAATGTTGTAGCAGGTGACACCTTCTAAGGAAGTTTTTCTTAACCCTTTACATCCTAACATCAGTTTGCACACTCTCCATACTGTTCTCTATACATTTCCTGAGGTGCTGACAAGGAGAATTTGTCAAACAATCAAGAGTTTCTTTTGTTAGTGATCATTCCCGTCATTCTCGTGAACTAACTGTTTAATACAGGGGTGATATTGTTGGGAGAATCTAGATGCTAGGCACTCTTAGGGGTTGAAGTGTTAATTGATTTATCGTACGTTGAACGGAAAAACCTTCAAAGTTATCGATGACAGTTCTCCTCTTGACAAAGTATTATTCTTCTAAATATTGACCAATATTTACCAACCAATTCCTGTTAGCCCGAGTTGCTTCTCGGGGGAAACTTGTGTGTAATAATCAACTTCGATTTATACTTGTTCATTTACGTTCGCTCTTCCTCTCCAGATGAACTCCAATGTTCGAGCAATAATGGACAGTGCTTCTGTTTGTCCAGTGTGTCTGGGCTGCGCTGTGACTCCTGTGCAGCGGAATACTTCTGGAATCCAGCAGGACAGGGCTGTGTCCAGTGTCAGTGTAACCCAACCGGGTCTGTTGGGAAAAACTGCAATGATACTGGCCAGTGTACCTGTAAGGCAAACATTGGTGGACTGCGGTGTGATAGATGTGTAGATGGTTTTTACGGCTTTACAACAACGGGGAAGTGAGTAGAATATTTATCTCTGGCAACTGAACACAATGTAATTCTGCCTATTTACCCTTCACTTAGTTGCTAACTCAATGATATTCTGTTCGTTACACCCTCAGCTGTATTCCTTGTAACTGTAATGTGGCTGGCAGTCTTACCAATCAATGTGATGAAACTGGACAGTGTACATGCAAAGTTAATGTCGAAGGGAAACAGTGTGACAAGTGTAAAAACGGAACCATAAATCTTCAACAGAACAACAAGTATGGCTGCAGCGGAGGTAACGGAAATTTATGGCCATAATAAGAATGATTTTAATAGTGTGTCGATAATCCGAGATTATTCTGATTTCAATTTGTATTTTACCTCATACTATGGTGTGTTCTCCTTTAATTTCAGCCCCATCTGAGCAGCCTGCACCGTTTGTAACAGTTCTCTCGTCCCGTGCAATAATGTTAACATGGTCTCCACCAGACAATCCTAACGGCATCATCCTGCGCTATGAGCTGTACAGAAATGATACCCTGGCTTACACTGGACTGAACCAAACATTCAATGACACTGGTCTCACTCCTGACACTGTCTACTATTATTACATCATTACCTTCACCGAATCCGGTCAGACAAGAAGTTTAGACGACGGAAACGTGTACCGCACTTTCCAAGACGCGCCAGGAGGCATGTCCGCGCCTGTTATCACAAATATTCTGCCCAGGAATGCAACTGCTTCATGGCAGCGTCCCAGTATGCCAAATGGTCGTATCACCGAATATCGTCTGGTATCTACCAATAGCCGAAGTTCAGTTGAAGTTGTAAACTGTCGAGGTGTTATTTTCATGTGTAAGTTGGGGAATCTTAAACCCTACACTGTCTACAATTTCTCAGTGGTGGCTTGTACCAATGGTGGATGCGCTCGTAGTAACGTTACAACCATCCTGACGCTGCCAACACTTCCAGATTTCCAGCCCGCACCAAATGTGACGTCACTTCCGGGAGGCACTGCAGTGAGGGTGGCATGGGACGAGCCGTCCCAGCCGAACGGAAGAATACTTCGTTATGAGCTTTACATGCGCGCAGACGGAGACACAAGCGACGGAGTCTTGAAGTTCAACAGCAATCCTGCGCATGACCCAACTACCATCAATTTTAGAGAGACGAACGTGACAGGACTTGTTCCATTCAAGGTTTATGAGTTCAGGGTGCGAACATTCACTGCGCAAGTCAAGGGAGACCGAGATAGTAATTGGACAAAGCATAGGACTGGCGAAGGAAGTAAGTTATTTGAATCGGTAAACAACAGATATGGAGTGTTATGAAAGAACTGAAGCACAACGGGCTTTGATTGGTAAAACAACTGTGGCCTACGAGACCAGTAGACTCATATGAAAGATAAACACCCATAAGTACTCCTTTTCATCTTGGGTGGAATTCTAATAAACCTTCTCAGCCAGTTCACCGATAATATTTCTTCCTCAAGAGCACAATTGAACAATGAGAACTGGCTAACTGCACAGTCCAACCCAGACCTCTCTTTCCCAACTTCAGAGCGGTCAACCTCAGGCCACTGCGTGTACAACTTTTTTCTGATAGGAACAACTGACCTTCTTTTCGCTTTCTAGCATGCTGTCTCACTTAAGACGCTGTGAAAATACACAAAGAATTATTTACATGCTTAGATATTTTTTCAATTATAGATAAACGTTTAAAAATTGGCATGTTTTCAATTAATGTAGCTCCAAGAGGGGAAGGTATCATAAATGTAAGAGTTTCCATGGCCCCTGAGTGTGTTGGAGGGAATTGATGTGTATAAACACGCTACGACGATGAAAATATTGACGTTGTTTTGCTTTTCAATTTGGATTTAGCTCCACTCGGCGAAAATGTCATGAACACTGGTGCTAATGCCTTTAACAGTAGTGCTGTAATAGTTTCCTGGAGTCCTCCTCAGACCCCCCAAGGTGTCATCACTCGCTACGTCATTTACAAGTACCAGCCTCCCTCTAACTCAACGGCCGTGATGGCTGTGGAGGTGCCTGGATCTGAGCGACAGGGCATGGTCGTCGGGCTGCAGCCGTACACTCAGTATAAATTTACAGTAACAGCTTGTAACAGTTTTGCATGCTCGGGGCATAGTCCGCAAGCTCTTGCGCGGACATTAGCAGCAGGTATGTAGTCTACATTTTGAGTGCCAATTACCGTATTGTGGCGCAGTTAAAATTTGGTAAGGAAACTTTTAGTGTAAGCCAAAACTGAACTTAGCCAGGATAAACTTAAGTGGTTAGAACAATTTAGCCTTGATGTACTGTAAACCCCTTCGAAAGTAAAGGAGAATTAATACAGCTTCAGCCCTCAGTGTACTGGGTAAAGTAAAACTAAATGTAAGGTCAGAAACAGACTTCTGTAATCTCAAAAACTTTTGAGGTTGAGCTTGACGTTGGAAAGAAATTTACTTTTTCAAACTCGTTGATTACTTTACTCTTTCTCCAACTCGGAAATTAAGGGATGATCTTGTTACTAACAGTTTTATAACTGACTTACTGTCTAACAGCTCCCGAAGAACAGGGACCTCCCTCGGTCCTCTCAGTTGATTCATCAACCGTGTACCTCAGATGGCCTCAACCCCAGATTCCTAACGGTCCTCTACCGCCAAGTTACAACCTGAGCCGAGCTTACTCAGCCTTGTACTTCCCACCCCCTGTGGTGTCAGAAGGCGTGCATTTTCCGGGTCTTGGATTCTACAAGTTTCCTTCGGACTTCGTTCAAGCCGGTGCGAAAAATGACATCCAGTTCTGGTTTCGCACCAAGTATTCGTCTGGTTTGCTTCTCTTTCTGGCCTCTGATGGCTCACAAACTGACATGTTAGCAATTCAACTAAAGGATGGAAAGCCATGGTTGATATTTGATAGTCAGGATGGCCCTGCAGCCTTCACAATTAACCAGCCAGTCCGCTTCGACGATGGTGAGTGGCATCTATTGAAGGTGTCACGTGTCAGCCGCCGGGGGACACTTACGGTGGATGGTTACCAAGCCAGTCAGGATAGTCCGGGCGCCGCCACCGTGATATCGGCAAACACTGGGGTTTACATTGGGGGTCTCCCTTCCTCCTTTACAATTCTTCGAGCTGACACAGGAAACTCCAAAATTGAAAAGATCAGTTTTATCGGCTGTATACGTGGTGTCACTTCAGAACAGGCTGCTTCTGTTTCAAAGCAGCTTGATTGGACTTCTGCCTTAGAAGCGGTCAGTGTCGAGCCTCAGAGAAATGGATGTCCAGAGAGAGACAACAAAAGAGCCTTGTTCCTCAGAGGCGGTGGCTATGTCGCTGTGGACTCAAATATAGCGGACATTTTTACAAATAACATATTTAGCTTTACTTTGAAGTTCCGCACTCAGCTTTCATCAGGGTTGCTTCTATTTGCGCACGGATCAACAACCATTTTTTCTATTCAATTTTCTGACAATCGAGTTGAAACAAAATACGTTACGACTAGTGTGCGAGACAATGTGACAGTTCAGCTGCCTTCCGGTGAAATTTGTGATGGACAATGGCACAACATGACTTGTACTAATTTCAACAACAAGTTAACTGTCGTCCTCGATGGTAAAACTGAAGTTGGAACTGGAATAACTAATCTAAAGATTCAATCCAGCATATTCATCGGAGGGGTACCGTGGGGTTCTTCGACCGAGACAATCGCCCGACAGGCTGGAGTGACTGTAGAGTCTTTTGGTGGTTGTATAATTTTTCAATCTGCGGCGAAAGAGATCGATTACGTAAAGGCAGTAACGGACATGCATAATGCGGACCTTGATGGCTGCCGCCCAGCGTCCACAGTAGCGACCAGCGGTCAAATAGGAACATGTTTGCCCTTTAATAGTTCTGTGGTGTATTCTGGGAAGACAGAGATATTTAATGACTCAACCGCGAACGTTTTCACCGGTATGTTGATAAAATGAATGAAGAATTAATTTTCTTTTTCGTTTAGGCCAGTTGCTGATCAATATTGTTGTTATGATCCCAACAGGAAAATGGAGATGGAAGAAAATTAAACCCCCCTCCACTATTACACTTCAAAAGTGTTGTGTACTTTATTTTAATTAATTTTGCATCTTTTTCCCCGTTGAAGGAGAGAAAAAACACTGAGGGAAAAGAAACTGTTATTCGTGAAAAAAATAGGCATGTAATGTATCTTTTCCTAACAGATTACCTGTACCGTGTGGAAAGTTACCATGATGGAACTTCAGGTTCCGCTAAAAGCGCATGGATGTCGACACGTAGTGGTCAGGGAGGTAAGCGGATGAATTGTTATTCGAAATTTTCAAGGTTAATTGAAGTACTTGTAACCTAAGGCACTTTATTCGAAAAACTTTGAGGTTACTTGTACTTGATGTAAGAAGGTGTACTGTCTCGAGTAAGCATCCTGTCCGTCGAGCTTGAGGTAATATTCCTCTTATTTAATTGCTCAGCGCAGCAGAAAGTGGGTTATAGTCTTATAGTACATCATATCAAGAAATACGAGAAAGGATCAAACAAACAAGAAACAAAAGTCTTTGATTTGTGAAGTTTGACTGTGAATTGGTTTAAATTGTTAAAATAGTCAAAGTAGGTCAAATGGTTTTACTTTATAAATGGTCAAACCAGCTTAAATGACAAATTGCGTAACTTGCTGAAATGGTTCAACAGGAGAAAATGCGTAAATAACTTAATCAGTTCAACTGCACAAACTTTACTAACTGTCTCAATTTCTTCAACTGCTTAAATAGTCAAACAAGCGGACACAAATAAACTGCACAATTTGGGAAGTCTATTTTATTTGGTCGAAGTAGTTCACATGGTCAAAAGGAGCCAATGAGAATCTATCTAAAACAAAGGAAAACTGCTTGAAGTGCGGGAAAACGCCATTTACCAAATAGCGAGTGATTTTAGTTTGGCATCGGACTTCTTACGACACCCAATTAACTTAATTCTTCCCTTGTTTTTACAAAAGCCCCAAGTGGTCTCCAGGCTCCTATTCAATTAGTGCCTCTACCCGGCGGCGAGACAGTGATAGTAACCTGGTCACTACCGGAGCGGCCCAATGGAGTGATAACAGAGTATAGGGTACTATCCTACCGTGTGAACCCCCCTGGGACGCCGGCAGTTGAGACAGTCATCACAGATACTAGTGTACTTAACGCTACTATCTCTGGTCTTCAACCTTATACCACTTATGACATCAGAATTCAGGCCTCTACAGTCGGGGGAAGTTCAGTGGGGCCTGCTAAAAACGTCACGACTGAAGAATCAGGTATTTTTTGTTTTTCTGTTTTGTGTTAAACCATGTCCAGTAACTCGCGAAAAATTCTTGTTTGCAGTTTTTGGCGAACATTTTCTTTCACTTAACCAAAACTTTAAAAACTGTCTATTCCTTCTAGTTCCAGAGAATGTCCCAGGCCCTACCGCTGTCCGACGTCCCAAAGAGCTTGTAGTGCATTGGACCGAGCCCGGACGTCCAAATGGAGTCATTACCCAATATAATCTGACCCTGGATGGACAATTGGTGTTCAGCGGAACAGACAACAACTTCACAATACGGAACTTACAGGTCTATACAGAATACCTCCTACAGCTAACAGCCTGCACAAGAATCGGCTGCGCTCAAGGACCGGAAGTCCGTTTAAGAACCGGGGAACTACCGCCCGAGGGAATCTATACACCAGTGGTTTTTGTGCGTGGTACAACGGAGGTTGAAGTAAACTGGCGGTCTCCTAATATCACAAATGGGGTAATTGTACGTTATGAAATACTATTTGCAACCAGTGACATTTTAGACGCATACGTTTCGAAATTTAACGCCACCCCCGATGTGTTCAGCACAGTTATTACAAATCTTACGGCAGGGACATTGTATTACGTTCGAGTGCGCCCCTTCAATGGAGGTGGCGGGACATTTAGTGGTGCGGCTCAGGTAACGACACACGAAGATGTCCCTGATGGTATCCCAGCACCACTTGTAATTGCTCTCAGTCCATATGCTCTATTTGCGATTATGTTGCCACCGGAAAAACCGAACGGTGTCATCTTAAACTATGAACTGTACCAAGATGGGGTTTCAGAGCCTGTGTTGAATGAATCACAGCTTACGAATTACACAGCGGATCGATTAAAACCATACAGCCTTCATACTTTCCGCGTTCGAGCTTGCACTGCACAAGGGTGCGCTTATGGAAAAAAAGCTGAGGCTTATACGAAAGAAATTGCACCGAGTGGAACTGTTACTCTTACTGCTCGAGTGCGCAATGCTACAGCGGTTGACGCTAACTGGACACGTGTGGCTTTACCGAACGGAAAGTTGTTTTATAACTTAATGGTGTATGGAAAATTTGTCATCTTCGACTCGGGTGACTTGAGAACTGAGGATCGTATTGAAACTGCTATTTCTGTTGAGGAAGCTGAAAAACTGTTCACATACAATGGCCTTCTACCATTCAGTGATTACAGGCTCTGGGTGAATGCGTCGAATTCTGTTGGGTTTATTCTCAGTAACAACGTCACCGTGTCCACCCCTGAAGGAGGTAAGTGACCATTTTGTCACGTCTAGTATCAGAGGGAAGATAAACTTTGAAAGATCACTCTCTGGGTTTTAAGTCTTGAAGAAGATGCAAATATGTTTCAACAAAATTAAAAGACTGATGCATTGAATAATCGATTCAAACAGTAACTTAGACATAGAGGAGAGGATATCATTTTGTTCGATGTGTTGACTTAGGCATGACCTTGACTTAATACTGAAGCAATGATACTTAACAGAAATATTTATGGTGTATTTTACAGATGCTTTTGAAATCAGTAATAGACATGTTAACCCTTTAACTCCCAGATCAAATTTGTAATTCTCCTCACTCCCAACCATACAAATCTTATAATGTTAGTTCAGAGAATTTAGTATTGGATCAACTAATTGTCCCCAAATTTATATTTTTCTTTACTCTTATCACTTATCTGGTTGATATTGTGTTGATATTGTAAGGAGAAATTCTGTCTTGGTCACTCATGGGAATTAAATGGTTAATAGGAATGATTACTTTTTTATGTACTTTGATTCTAGTTCCCGGCGGTCTGAAAGCCCCCAATGTCACTGTGTTGAATTCGACTGCCGTCCATGTCACGTGGGAACAACCTGCATTGCCTAATGGGATTGTTCTTGGCTATGGACTTCATCAGAAAACTGACGGCTCTGAAACACTTCGGTTCAGTGGAATGGGTTTTAATTTTACTGTCACTGGCTTGGACCCGTTTACGGACTACCAATTCCGTGTAAATGCCAGCACTGTAGCGGGGTCTGGGTTTAGTGAGTGGACTCTGGTCAAGACCTCTGAGGATGGTAAGTCTTATCTCTTTCGACCCACGTTTGACCAGCTCTCTTTGGGTCGTTTGTAAAGACAGTGAAAATGAAAGAATTCCCACGGTCATTTACAATTAAAGAGGTCGTTTGAAATACTTGAAAAATGGTGATGGGACAGTGTGATGGCATTGCTTGTTCGAGTTTGTTCTTGATTTTTTATACTATCATAAGGGAAATTCAGCGCTCAGTGTTGCAGCTTCCAAACCCTTTTTTTCCATGAGAGTTTTGTGTCGTATGTCGCCGGTTACTTATGAATAGTGCATTATGCACAGTGCATTTGGTGACTGTGTCCGTTCTTGTTCTATCAGTCCCAAGTTCCCCGGATGCACCAGATTTTAGAAATGTGACTTCCGCATCTGTGACACTGGTCTGGGACGAGCCAGCTGAACCCAATGGAGTGCTCCTTTATTACGTCATTTATCAGAATGGCACTGAGATCAAGAGAGTCACGGGAAATGTCACCAAATATGTAGCTGTTGGTCTCCAGCCCTTCACTGTCTACGTGTTCAAGCTGAGTGTGTGTACAGCGGTAGGCTGCAGTAACAGCTCGGACTCAGTCCCCATGAGAACTCTGGAGTCAGGTGAGTGCGTGGCTAAATCTTCCATGTGTTATTTGTTTTCGTTTTTTTTTTTCGCAAGAATATGTTTTCCATTCAACAAGTTGCGTTTACGAAGCTGCCTTACAAGAAATCGCTTTACGCCTAAGGTTGCTAATTTCGTTTCCTACGATGTTAGAAATGTACGTACTAACTGGAATTTAAAAAATTATCAAAATTGAAGTAGCGATCAACCAACCACATCTCTTAAACTGAAATAGAAAAGACTGGGTGACCCCTTTGTTCCTGCGCTCCAGATTTTGCTTTCACGGCAGTAATTCAAATGCACTGTAACGAGCTATTATAAGACTTACACTAAGATTTGCTTCCTCCTCGTATTGTAATGTTTTAATAGGTCCACAAGGTTTGTCAGCTCCAAGGCTGTCATCTCTATCAGGGAGAACTGTGGTTATTGAATGGAACCCACCCTCCGTGCCTAATGGCGTCATTCTCAAATATGTGATTCAGCGGCGAGTCGTGGGTGGTGGAAATCCAAGCGATGTCGCTGAAGTGAATGCCTCTCTTCCACTGCGTTACGAGGATAATACAGCACAGCCAGTGACCAATTATCAGTACCGCGTGATAGCGTATAACAGTGGTCCGGGAGAACCCAGTCCATATGGTAACATTACTACAGGCGAGGGAGGTATGGAAGCTAATGAAATCAAACACAAATGCTTGCTTCATATTCTATTTGAAAGCTGCAGTCGAAGACTACTTGGCTGTTGTGTATTATACAAGTCTGTGGTAATAAGACTCTTAAAAAATCTCTCTCCATAAATCAAGTCCCGCCAAACTTAAAGAACCGATTCATGCAGATGTGAATTATAAGCGAAAAACAAATCTTCGGGAATGCACTCATTTAAGATTCCGTCTTTCGCCTATTTTCAATGCCAGAGGGATCATGAATTATTTTACTCTCTATCATATTTGGCATTCACACCACTAACATAGCATTTGTACCTTTGTTCCAGACCCTGAAGGCATTGCAACACCTACTGTTGTAGCACTCAGTCCATACGCCATTCACGTGACTTGGAAAAAACCCAGCGTTCCCAATGGCGTAGTGACGCAATACGTCATCAGAGTCGTGGACCAACAGCAGTCACGCAACACCACAGTGAATGCTAATGAACCGTTTGCGCTAAACGTGACCTCACTCGATCCTTACATCATGTACAACGTCTTCGTTAGCGCATGCACAGTTGCTGCATGTGGTAGCAGCCCGCCGTCCCAAGTGCGCACGCTTCCTGCCAAACCTGAAATGCAGCCAGCGCCAACTGCAAAGACAGATTCACAGACCTCTTTGAACGTGACATGGGAACCTCCCCTCAGGCCAAACGGGGTGATTCAGTCTTATGTGCTGTACAGGAGAACTGTTGAAGACCTTGTGGAAAATAACATTTCAGCACCAACAGATTATGTACAGGTGTATAGGGGGCCGGCTTTGATCCGAGAGTATCGTGATACTGGACTTGGGATCTTCTCTTTGCAACAGTACAAGGTAAATATGAAAACACCAAATCTTATCGCTACACTAGGACCTTATCAATATGCCAAGAAGTCAATTTCTCGATCTACTCATACACATGTCTTCTAATGCTTTTTCCAGGTCACTGTGAATACTAGTCAAGGCAGCACTACAAGCAACTCCTCCCTACCCTACAGAACCGGCCCTGCCCCTCCCCTAGCGGGGGTATTCGTCAATGGAACTGCCCTTAATCACACCTCAGTTCTGGTCACGTGGTACCCACCTGTTATTAAGCAGTTACGTGGCTCTGCTGTGTCGTATACTTTAGACGTTGAAGAAAGATCTGTCGTGAGTCGCGTGGGCACTTACCCCGGAACACAGACTCGTGTTACAGTTAATAATCTGAAGGCCAACACTGTGTACACATTTTATGTAAGAGCCTTTTTTTTATTCTTTCTTTCTATCTAAACATCGCTTCCAAGTTGTCCTCGGTAAACTACAGTTACTCGAAAATTATAAATATCCTCGGATCCAAATTTGATCCTGAATATCGTTTACTATCACTATTTGTTTCAATTAGTAAAAATCTTTTCTCTCTTTCTCATCAGGTTGAACTAAACAATGGAGCAGGAACCTTCAAGAGTGCTGGCTTTGGAATCAGAACCTTGGATGGAAGTAAGATAAACCTTTCTGAGCTTTTATTAAAAATAAAATACTTCTTGCTCCGCAAGAGTGCAGGGGTTTCCTAAAAACAAAGTGAGGTAACATTTGAAACATCCGTTTTCTTCAATGATTCGTTGTTTTTGTTGCCGCTTTTTTACTGATTGATCCTGGTTAGCATCAATTTATCCTTCTCCGAACGATCTCACGAAGCTAATCAGAGTCAGACTGTTTCATTTAGCAAATATCAATCGAAGATTGAATACCTCACCAAACGCAACTCTCGACTTTCCTCACGGTATCCTGTGGCAATTTGTCTGTTGTTTATTTTAGTGCCTGAAGATTTCGATCCGCCTGCACTATACGTGGTCAGCAGCACTGCAATTCGCGTGAGTTGGAATGAGACAGGAAACCCGAATGGAGTTGTAATATTGTACAAAATATATGTGTAAGTAAAAAATCACATACTAACTCTACTCTTGTCAATAGTACAAAAATGAATCTTTGTTTTAAAGGAAGCTACGCTCCCTCTGGGATAGTTGTTAACCCTTAAACTCCCATGAGTGACCAAGACAGAATTTCTCCCTACAATATCAATACAATATCAACCAGATAACTGATGAGAATAAAGAAAAATATCAATTTGGGGATAATTACTTGATCCAATACTAAATTCTCTGAACTAATATTATAATAATTGTATGGTTGACAGTAAGGAGAATTGCAAATATGACCTGGAAGTTGAAGGGTTAAACGTTGACTGATATACCTTTTTTTGGTTTTTTGCACAGAAACAACACGTTATGGGCTAACACTACTGGCGATCAACTACAAGTAATCGTGTCTGGACTGCAGCCGTTTACCTTCTATAGCATCAAGGTTTGCCTCTTGTTCACCTCTTTATTTACTATAATTGTTTGACCTAAACAGTCGTCATTAACAGCTAAAGGAGCCACTTGGAAATATTTTGCCCGAAATTTCTAGTTAGTCATTTACAAACGTTGTCAATCGTCGATCCTCGACCATTTATTCCTTCAATTTTTGGTGATAGTGTTCCTTACCAAACCAGTATTTTGTGGTTTCCTCCACTTTGAAACTAATTTTATAAGTCGCCAGAAAAGGCTTGACTTGTCGTGGCGTTGCGCCTAGAGAGGTCTGGTAACCAGCTGAACTGACTAGTACTGTCTTGAAATAAAAAGTGTAGTTGAGCTTTGATAATACTCGTATTCACCAAAATCAAACAAGTTATATGCAGGCGGGGTCCATATTATTGGGGGTGAAGATTAAAAGCTTGTGTGCGTTTTTCTCCTCTCCAATGAGAGAAAAGAACTTTGTATTTGTTACTCATCGTTTGCGACGATTGGGTATTTGCTAAGTTCCTCAGGTTCGTTTTAGATGTTAGATCATGATTCGAGCTGAGCGATTCTTTTTTTATTTTTATTAAGGTGGCAGTGTGCACTACACACGGTTGTACTCTCAGTGATGCAAGACAGGCGCGGACAAATGCTGCAGGTAAAACTTGTGTTTTTTCGTTGCTTGTTTGTTTTTGCTGTTTTTTTTTTGCAAGTCAGCGAAGTGTTTAGTGATGAGTTTTCTTAACTGATTTATCTGTTATTATCTCAATCAGCACCGACAGGTTTTGCTGCTCCGCGACTCACTGCAGGATCAACTTTTATTGTTGTCCAATGGGGTAAGTTGGAATTTCTTGTGTTTGTATAAAAGTTTGAAATAGTAGAGAAACTACAAGTGAGGCGTTTGAGAAACGTTTATGAATATCTCTTCGTAATGTCTTTTTTCACTTTTTTAGAGCCACCATCTCGTCCAAACGGAATCATGTCTGGTTATCAGATTTTTAGAAGAATGGTGTACTCATGTCCAACGAGGTATGAATTTTTTTAATCAAAGCCTTTACGTGTGTCGTGTAAGAGTAGTTTATGCTCCAGTTATCTAGTTTCAATTAATTTAGAATTCTGAACCTCATATCGACCCCGAAATGACTTTTTTTTTTCCAGTCCCCCGCCAAACTCTAAATGCACTTTCATTGAGTGTCTCTTGTCAGAGCAGTTATGTGGAGTCACGTGTTACAATCCAGCCAATCAGGTAGGTCTCTTAAAAGTGAAACCGTGTCAAAAAGTTTCACATTTTTCAAAAGGCATTTGATTCTCTTCCAAGCTCTCTTGCTGACGGATGAAAGAGGCCTTGAGCTGTCTTCATCATACAATACTTCGTCGACGAAACGCTCAAGAAACATTGACTAAAATACAATTTCTACTCCAGCGAGTTGAATTGTGTGAATGCAGCTTAAGAACGTTATTTCATTCAAAATGAACCATAGCTCCGTGTCAAAAGGCTACCCTGACCCTGCATTCCAACCAACTTCTTGTTCCTAAAATTCTTTCCAGTATTTGCTATTTATACAAAAATGCGAGGTGATGTGGTAAACAGTCATGTACTAATTGTACGTTCAAAAACCTTTCTAGGTGTGTTGCAGTGGTGTTCTTCACCCACGTGACCCATCCAAGACTTGTTGTGGCGCGAATTATCTGCGTAAGAACCAGGCCTCTGATGTTTGTTGCGGTAACACTTTCCATATTCAACAAGCCGACTATCAATGTTGCTATGGCAACTACATCAGTGTTGCTTCGGGACGAGTCTGCTGTCCTAAATCTCAGGGAGGTAGTGTGGTGGGTCTTGGTAATGCCTGTTGTGGAGACACCCCGTATAACAAGAATGACCTCACTAAGGTTTGCGTGTGTGGAGCGCTGTACGACCCCATTCCCCCACGAAAGTGTTGTGGCGGCAAAGTTGTGGCGTCTGCTCAGGTTTGCTGCGGCGATGAAAAGAACGGAGCCGCCTACGATCTGGAAGCTAGCAAGACTTGCTGTGGAGCTCAATACATTTCTGAAGACACGAGCCTTTGTTGTCAAGGATCAGCGGGAGATGTCGTGGTAAGTGCGCAGTCATATTTTACTTGGTTTAAACACTGATCCGGGCTTAGGGTATTTGCATTCAGGGACCACCTACCCAACAGGTTGTTAGCCTCTGCCTGAATCCAAGATCAAAGTTGATTAGAGTTAAGGAACCCAATGATATTTATCTTAACTTGAAAATACTTTTTGTTCTTTTTAGGTTTATAACTACACCAGCGCACGCGATAAATCTACATCCAATCACAAATGCTGTGGTAAAAAACGAATTTCTAGTTTTCTCACATGTTGCAACGAACGTGGCTATAACTCTACTTACCAGACTTGCGCAGACATTTCCAGCAACGGAACGTTAGGCTGTGGAATGGGAACCATTTGTAATAAGACTGATGCACTCGCAGCAATGTGTGATCGATGTGATTTTGATAATTCAACGATGAACTGCGGATTTGTAGCTGGCCACTACGCTCCAACTCCTTCGACTGTTGTACCAAGAATCTGTGCCACGGATTACGAAGAAATACTTAAAAATCAGTACAATGCTGATATCCGTGAATATAACGACACTGGGCTCTCTCCTCATACAGAATATGAATACTACCTTGTCGCAATCAATAATGGATTTAATGTGTCAAGTCCAGAAGCCAAGAACCGAACGCTGATGGGTCGCCCTGAAGGTCTTTTACCGCCAGTTGCAGTTCCAATTTCCTCGACTGAAATCCGCGTTACTTGGAGTAAGCCAGCAAAACCCAACGGAGAAATCCAAGAGTATAGGCTGACCCGGGTCAGCGGTCAAATTAAGCTGCGTCAAGTGGTATATACCGGTCTTAATTTAACTTATACAGACCGTGGATTGGAGCCGTTTACTGGATATGGTTACGTTATCGAGGCATGCACGACGCACTGCTCATCAGCGGAAATGACGTCACTGATCTACACCGACCAAGCTGCCCCGGCGGAAGTGAACGCAGCCATTTTACTTCCGTTAAACTTCAGCGCTATAAATGTTTCTTGGATTGAACCTTCCAAACCTAACGGACAGATTATTCGTTACAATGTGAGCCGTGTAGTAAACAGCACGTACAAGATCCATTTGAACCCGAATGACAAAGGTTTGTCCGTAAGGAGCCTGGTAATTGGGGGTCTTAAACCCTATACTAACTATACCTTTGAAGTGATAGCTTGTACGCGCGTGGGTTGCACACCAGGTCCGCTGGCCTCCACGCTAACACTGCAGGCGCCGCCTGAAGGTGTCCACCCACCCAATCTCACAGTCATCGGGGCCAGGGAAATCGAAGCCACATGGATTGGACCAGACGTTCTAAATGGTGTGATTGTTTCATACTCACTCTACCGCGGAGATCTTGTTGTGTACAACGGGACGAATGCATGTTACAAAAATCAACACGGTAAAGACATTTGTATCTTCCAAGACCGAGGCAACGGTCTCCAACCAGTGACGACTTACAATTACTCAGTCGCTGCTTCGACTGGCGGGGGTACCACTAGGAGTGCTGTGTCTACTGCCACTACCCCAGAGAGTTCTCCAGAGGCCATTCCCAAGCCTCGTTTGACTGTGAAAAGCGCTTATAGTATTTTAGCGGAATGGAATGCTCCAGGTCAGCCAAACGGTAACATTACAAGTTATTCTGCAGTCGTTAATGGCACAGAGTATGTTGTCGCTCTCAACATGAGCAAGTTGATTACAGGATTGAATCCTTTTACTATATATTCTGTTCGCGTGAAGGCCTGTACCGCTAAAGGCTGCGGACTCGGGGAAAGAGAGCATGCAAGAACTGGCGAGGCTCCTCCCATCGGACAGGGGGCACCTACCCTGGTAGCACGAGAATGGAATGTTGTACAAGTCTCTTGGTCGCCGCCTTCCTTTCCAAATGGAATCGTCGTCCAATATGTAGTTTACCGTAAGACAGGTAACAGTGCCCCGCTTCCAGTTTGTTTCACGCTCCAGCGGTCATGTCTGAATAGTGGTTTGTTAGGTTACACGGATTATTCCTATAGAATAAGAGTTGTAAACAGCGCAGGCTTTGGAGAAGGCCCTTGGACCGACGTGCGCACTCCTCAGGGGCCTCCTCAAGGCATACGACCACCTTCTCTTACAGTACTCAACTCCACTGCAGTGTATCTTTCATGGACTGTACCCTCTCAGCCCAACGGTATAGTCACACACTATGAAGTGCGCTATCACAAAGGACTACAAACTCCCGACAACAGTAACGTTACAGTAGCAGCTCGGTTGCCTAGCAACGTACTGAACGCCACGGTGAGCGGGCTAGACCCTTATACGGACTATCAGTTCCTGATCGCTGCCATCAACAGCCGGCGTGAGGGGGTGAGCGCCTGGGCGACAGCAAAAACCAAACAAGCACCACCAGCAGACCTTCCTCTCCTTCGTGCTGACAAGACGAAAGATGGAAAGAGCATGCGCATGTTGTGGGATGAGCCCGGGTCTCCTAACGGGGTCATTACTCACTACAAACTGTACAAAGACAGTGTCTTGATTTATCTCGGCAGCATCCGAGAATACACGGTCTCAAGACTTGTTCCTTACACTGCGTACGAATTTCAGCTAGAGGCCTGTAATGTTGCAGGGTGCACGCGGGGTCCCACGCAAATCATTTTCTCTGCAGAGGTGAACCCACAAGGCCTGTCCCGACCTACAACAGGGTTTATCAATGCCACAGCTGTGGAGCTGAACTGGAGATCGCCAGCAATTCCAAACGGAATCATCATCCGTTATGAGATTTACATGACGGTCACGCCGCTTCAGAAGCGACGAAGGCGCGCTGTAACACCTCCCTCCGGTCAACTGGTGTATTCCACCAATGATACAAACAAGACAGATTTCAAGCACACAGAGACGGGATTGAAGCCTTACACAAAGTACGGGTTTAGTGTACGCGCGGTCAACGGTGGAGGTTTTACGGAAAGCGACCCACTGATCGTAACCACATCTCAAGCTGCTCCTTCGTCCGTCGATGCACCACTGGTCTTGTTGATGACCGCGTATTCCTTGAATGTGACGTGGAAAAAACCACTAGAACCCAACGGCGTTGTTCAGTTTTATTTTGTGTTCAGGAACAATTCTATTAAATATAAAGGAAACGAACTGAGTTTTGTAGATCAAGGTCTAGAGCCATACACCGTATACAGTTACACCGTGGAGGTGTGTACTAGCTGCAATGTTGACTGCTGTACGCAGAGCTCTCCATCAAGCCGCCGAACAACTCAGGCTGCACCGTCGGGTGTGTATCCCCCGGCCTTAGAAGCGGAAAGTGCTTTGGCTATAAAGATATCTTGGGTGACGCCTGACAAGCCCAATGGAATCATTACCCAGTACCAAGTGTATGAATTTGGTGACAGTTCTCCGATTTATACCGGACAGGACATGACGCTCACTGTAAGCGGGAAGGCACCTTTCTCTAAATATTCCTTTTACATTAGTGCTTGTACGAGCGAGGGTTGTACACAGAGTGCACCAGCTGAAGTGCGCACCAAAGAAGCTCCTCCGAGAGATCTCCTCGCCCCTGTTGCCACAGTCGGTGGTTCTTCGTTTGTGCGAGTAGAATGGAATGCACCGCTAAAACCATATGGTGTAATACTCCACTATCTCCTCACACGTAATGGCTCCCAAGTATACAACGGTACTGATCTGAAATTTAACGACCTTACTGTGGCCCCACACACCGTGTATATGTATGTTGTGACGGCAGTGAATTCCGCAGGCCGCGTGTCAAGTCCTCCTGGATTCAGCGCTGCTACTAATCCTGGTGCTCCAGACAATGTGAGCATCCCGACTTTATATGTTCTCAGTGCAACATCCATTAAAGTCCTGTGGACAGCCCCGGGGGTTCCAAACGGTGTCATCTTCAAATATGAAGTATTGTACAACTTCATGGGAGCGCAAGGCGTTGCACAGGTGAATGACGCTGGTATTGCCAAGGAGATTACCCTAAAAGACCTGTTGCCATATACGTTGTATGAAGTCAGAATCCGCGCTTGTACACTTAAAGGCTGCAGCATAGGAGAGGCGAACTATGCCCGTACATTTGAGGCTCCGCCAGAGGGTCAGAATCCCCCAGATTTCCCAACATCTAATATTGGTGCTAGGAGAGTACTTGTCACCTGGAATGAGCCTTTAAAACCCAACGGATTTATGCTGTCGTACAGACTTTACAGGCGTGGAGTATCGTTGTATGGTAACCAGGCGACAGTGTATGGTCCGGCAGAGTCTGTAGTAAACGTAACTAATGGATCTGCTCTAGCTTACAGTGATACAAACGTGAAGCCGTACTTCAAGTATAATTACCGAGTTATCTCTGCAAACAGCGCTGGTGAAACGGTTAGTCAGTGGTCGTTGGTTCAAACCTTGAGTGCAGCACCAGAGCAGCTTAAAGCGCCTCATGTGAACAAGACTTACCCTTACAGTTTGGAAGTGTTCATCTTCCCACCTGGTGAACCTAATGGAGAGATAAGAAATTACATCCTCGAAGTTTCTGGACGAAATGTATCTCAAGATCTAACCACTACTCGTGAGGTGGCGGGCCTTGAGCCATTTACGGACTATGTTCTACGTGTGTACGTCTGCACGGATGGAGGGTGCGCCGCGGGACCCACTGCAACCTGGAAGACCTCTGTTGGAGTGCCGTCAGAGTTTGCCGCCCCACGCCCGGTTGAAATAACCAATAACTTCGTCACACTTATATGGGACGAGCCAGGAAAACCCAATGGAGTCATCCAAAGGTGGGCAAAAACTCTATTTACTCTGTCCTGCATTTCCATCATCCACCGAGTTTATTCATGTTAGTGAAAACTGGAGGCAACGCTAATGAACCTTAACTTTGATTCTAAAAAATTTTCATTTTTTTTTTTTAGATATGAGGTTCTGTTTCATGAAACTTGCGCTGTCGGTTGTCCTACTGCAATGCCCGAGAGTGGACTGAACACGAGTTTGTCTCGGCGTTATACCGTTAGAAGCCTGTCACCCTATACTATGTATAACTTCAGAATACGAGTTCATAACTCACGGCATTCGAGTTTATCGGATGAACAAAGAGTGCGAACACTAGCTGCAGGTACGTTAATATCAGTATGATAATGTCAAAATGTTTGCGTCACTGTATGTAGGCAATGACCACGAGATAAACTTTTATTTGAGATCGTTAGTTGTTCAGTCACCTTTGATTTAGGGAGAAGTGGCGCCATGATGGTTGCTGCACTGTACTTCAAATCGCTCCTAAGCTCGAGCCCAGTCCAATCTCTGTTTAAAAAAATGAAATTTATTTCATTTAATTGTGTTCGGATCATTACATCGTGTTTCAAACAGTGCCTCTCTCTACCAAGGTGTACTACTACAATTTGCATGAAAGTATTTTTACCTTGTGCCTCATTGGTTCGTATTGTTAATTTAACGGAAATCGGTTATGATGCGTTTTTCGAAGAAATTCGTAATGATACTCTTTGACGTCCGAAGGTTTATATGTTTATGGTTTCAACCTGATATATTTTGTATTTTTGTAACAGTAAATCTAACTAAAATTTAAATCAATGTTGGAGCAATTTCCGAAGTAATAACCTTGTTAGGCAAAAATTCATTTTCGTCTACCTCCTTAGCAAATGTTTTGCTTTAATTGGTTCCAGGTCCACAGACGACAGAACTGAGGCCTCGAGTAAATGTGTCCGGGCTCCGAGTGGCCGTGGACTGGAGCGATTGCTTTATTTTGAACGGACCGCTGGACTCCTATGAGCTGTTAGAAAATGGATTGCTTGTCTATGAAGGACAGCAAAACAAAATGGACTTGGGAAATAGGAATAAAGGAGGTTAGAGGCGAAATCAACCAATCACATCCTGGTTGTTAAATGATCTCGTTTCTCTTAGAGTATTTACGCCACATTGTTTTGAGTTGAATTTTTTCGCCACTTGCTGAAATAACTTCAAGTTAAAGAGACTTCAAAATCATAAAGTCGTACGGTAGAAAATAATTTAAGAGGCAATGATAAATTTAAAAGGGACTCGAGATTATTCACTCTACAATATTCTCTATTCGTGATCTTATCACTTGGAATTTTCTCGGAACGAGATGAGTAACTTCTTTTCTTGGGATTTGTTTTTTAACGACATTTTATCCGGTTTATCTTTGTTACAGAGTACACCTACAAAGTACATGCCACAACTTTAGTGCAAGGAAGCAAAATGACTGTAGAATCACCTCCCAGTGTTCCTGTTCAGGTGCAATGTAAGTTGTCCGCCCAAACTTATTTATTGCTTGGTACAGAAAAACCGATCGCCGTTCTTTTTTACGTGAGGTTAAAGGCTGATAGTAACCTGCATCTAATTTACCTTTAAAAAGTACCATTCAGCCAATTAAATACAAGTCACTAGAACTGAAGGATATGATCAGCAAGTGAGAAAGGTCTTCATCGTCAAAGAAATTCTCCTCATCTGTTTCATATGAAACGTAAGAAGAACAGTGTGCAAAATACGTTAATTGATAGCAAGGTTGAAATGATTAACCCTCTGGCTCCTAAGAGTGACTAACAATATTACACAGTCTGAGTCACACGTTAAGGTCACGAGAATAAGGAAATGATCACCTACTAAAGAAGCTTCTGATTGTTTAACCAATTCTCTTCATCAGCACCTTAGGAAATGTGTAGAGAAAAGTGTGGAGAATATACATACTGATGTTAGGGTGTAAAGGGTTCACACGTTATCTCTATCTGTTCTCAGCTGAAGTTATTGCAGCAACATCAGCACCCCGCACTGCTTCGGATGAGTGGCAAAAGAGTGTTTGGTTTATTGCTGTCATGGCATTGGTCGCCATCATTATCCTGTTTGCGTTGATATTCTGTTGTATGCGGAAATCCACCGGGAGTAGAACAGTTTTTGTACGGAACAGGGAACCTTTACCTCCACGCACCAAACTGCGTTCCAGGCCTCCATCCATGTCCAGTCTTTACACGTCCAGCGACAGAAAGAGTGGAAGCATGACTGTAAGTGGTTGATGATTACATCAAGGGAAAGTGGGGGTGGGGAGCATGATTAACGTATTAACGTTCATCAAATATTTTCTCCGGCTCGCGATGATAATAATGCTTCTGGGTAACTTGGGAATATGCGTTGATTTTCCTAAAGCGACATTCCCGATTTTTTCCAGACTTACTTTCGATGCTATTAAAGTTTACGGTTAGAGTTTTATTGAAGATGATCCAGCGTTTTGTCATTGTTAAGAAGGAGGATATCGTTCTACTGAAGAACGCTTGGGAGTGGACACCAGTTTAGTTTGGCAGGCAGCTTTTCGAAAACATTGTCTCGCGGGCTGCAAAATATTTGAAGGTGAATGAACTGAACGAAATGCCCTCCATTTAGGATACAGATATGCTCTATTATTTGTCCATAAATGTGATCTGTTCCTCGAAGTTTATCGTTTTCCTCGAGGTTCGCTCTTAGAAAACTGTTCGCTCTTCGGAATAGATAATGTCCACTGGCAAATATCCACGCATATTTTCGAGCCAATTGTTTGTTTTTTGTTATCGCCCAAAAATTTAACTGAGCCCGCATCTTTGCTACTTTTCGACACGTGGCGCCTTCCAAGGGGTCAGTAGGACTGGTGACTAGCGATTAATTAGGTAAAGGGAGTGATTAATTATTGGTTGGTTTGTTACATCTCGTTCATTTCATACAACTTTGTTTATGTCACAGACTGCAAGAAGTCCACGCATAATCCTTGATTAACAAAGGCTTTCGATGTAACTTATTTTTTTTCAGGAGATGCATTTAATGAACCCGTACCACAGTAGTACCACAGCTTTGTTTGACAGCACAGAGAGGCTAAACAAGACTCCCGAACAATTTGACTTTTACAATGGCAGCATGCACAAAGTTCCCCCAGATATGAGTCAAGACTGGGACCATTATGTCAAGAGTTATAGCAACAGGGATTCTGGACTGGTAAGGACTCGTGGCTGATCTTTCTCGCTATTATAGTCCTTGAGAGTGTTTTCCGGTTTAACATCTTCGGCAAATCTCTGGAGTCTTTAGAACATCTTCGGCAGTGTTCGGAACTCCGAGTAATTTCTACTGACTTACCGACCAACCTACGTAGCCAGCTATCGACTTAACAGCTAACTCACCTTCTCAACAAACTGCCTAGCCATCTGCAGCATTAGACTCGGTTTAGTCTGTGTTACGTCGCTTAACTACTTGTGTTTCTATTCTTGCAGTACGATGACGAAAAACTGGACTTCTCGGACAGTGAACCAAGCACACCATATCAAAGCTTTAAGAGGGAGCAGTACTTTACGGATACACACTTATAAGAACAAATAGTCTTTCAAAGTTGCCAAGATTTGACTTTTATATCAGATTAATATTATTAATGAATAATTCTTGTAGTCTAGGTAGTGTATTTTCAAATCTTGATTCCGATTACGAGTGTGAAACGACTGAATGTATTCCTGAGAAATTTTTGAGCAGGGTCTGGAAATTCTTTTTTTCAAGAAAATATTTTTTCGATCAGTAAGGTACATAGCTTTCATAAATCGTGTGGAACTGAGTTCCCATTCCCTTAGTAATATCGATGCCACTTTCGTTGCTCTCATTGATCTTCTTTGTGATATACTTTTTGTCTGGAAAGAGCGTCGGAAAACTGTTGACAAACGTCGCCTAATACATATTTAATCGTTTCAGAAAATAACCTGTGATTGTATTTAAAGTTTTGATGAGTGTGGAATATTGGCAGGGACTTGTTAGCTCGTAGTCACTCAATCCTTCTACAAGTGTGTGATGATCTCAAAGTATTCGAGCTTTAGAAAAATATTTCAGGATATAGCACTTAGTAAAATTTCAGAAATAGATATTTTGTCCTGAGGACACTTTTTGTATCTAATTAGACGCCACCATTACGTATTTCATTGTTTACGTTAAACTTCTGCAACCATTTTCTTTGTTTTTTTTTAAACAAGACCCGTTCGTGGAAATTACAACGCATATATGCCGTTCTTTTACCCTAGTTTCTTTGAGAATATAATTATATTGGCTTCGTTCAAAATTTTGCGCTTGTATATGTGTAAACTACAGTTGAACTGTATTTAAGCTTGAAAGCTGAGCTGAAATTAAAATATGTTTTTAATAATACAAGTTATTTTAATGTTTTTATCCATGGGTTGATCAACAATACAAATGCGACACCTCATCAAAAACAGTCAAATCCTCAAATCTGGCCTTTACGAAGCCCTTTCAGTTCACGATCAAGGCAATGCTTGACATGAATCGTATTACCATAGAAAGGCGCATCCACGTGCAGCGTTACCAAACACTTCTGAAGACACCAACGATCAGCAAGCAGCGAGAGAGCCCCGTTGCTATAATTTAGTTGATTGTAGGCATCAATCTGATGAAAAGCGAGATGAAGTTAGTTCTTCAACACACCACAAAGGTACTCACACCTCACTCGTTCGTGAGAAGGGCTGCCAGTGAACAAGTTCGCTCAGTTGTGGGTGTTGAAACAGTGACGACGAGGGACTTCCAGATTGAAGGCATCTCCAGTTCCTCTAGAAGCAAAAATGGGGATCCTCCGTCCATCATTCGTCTGGAAAGAGTGTACTACTCCACTAAAACAATACCATACCATTATTCACACGACTCCTCCAAAACTGCTTTGCAAGGCTCAGTGTCGAGTACGTGTGGCATCGAGTTTCAACCGAGTTTCATTCCACAACAAAAACAAGTCAAAACGTTTCGCAAAGAAACGTGTAAGGCTTTGCATGCCGAAAAGAAAGTTGTCGCGATTTCACAAACATCCGTGGCCCGTCCGGTTAAAAGGAAAGCAGATTGCAGCTCTGGAAGACAAGAAGAAAACGGATTGAATATGGTAAATGCAACTGATCAAAAGTTTCAAAAGAGGCAGAGACGTGGAAACATCTCAACAAGCACGAAGAGGTAGATGCAGATAAACAGCTATAAATATAAGTAAAAGAAAATCATTGTATATAAAGGGAGGCCACTGGAAATGACAATTTTATTTATTATAAGTCATTTATAACTTTGGAGATAAGAAACTACCCTAAGGGTCCACAATGCAGACATCCGTGAAAACAAATTTTCAGTTCCCGCCAAAATTGATTCCAGCCAACGCCCTGGTTTTCCTTGGTTCTCCCCTTACTTTCTCTTGATACAACACAGTAATTAAAAAATTTGAGTGATGCCAAACACTGCCCTATATGCATGTAAGCATTTTACAAATTTAGCCAAGAAACTTTTCATGGCACTCTTAACACAATGGCAAACTATTTGTTGAAGCAAGAATCAATTAAGTCATTCAGTTGACACAAGAAGTAATGTTCACTCAAAGTTCAAACCTTTATGACAATTTCTTGTCTTCAGGTTGACGAAATCCTGAGCTGGAATCTACTCTGATTTGCAGCCGAGGAGATCTTCCTCGACCTGCTCAGGCATTCTTGTTCTGAACTACTGATTACGAATCCAACTCCGACGCTGACAAAACCAGCGTAAGCGGTGCTTAAATTTATTCTCACCGTCACACAATCAGACCTTTTTTTGACATACGTTCAAGGGTTACTAGCAAGAAGTTCCTCACGCTTTCACCTTAACTTCTGCGGTCGGCCCTCCCTGACTGCGGACAACAGGTGCTACTCTTCCTAGTAAATAAAACATAACAAGGAGAAAGAAAAGCGGAATGGAACTAGAAAAACGCCAAACAGATAAGACAAAGCAAATTTAATCTTCTTCTAAAAAAACATGCAGTATGAAACAGTATAAAATAAGGTCAACAAAAGCAGTAGTAACGTTTTATAAAGCTTTTGCAAAACAGATAAGGTAGATAGTTAATTTTTAACCATAACTGCGAGAAATCACAATTCTATACCAGGGCCCTTTATCTGGACGGATTCGAATCTTCAGGATCGTCAACACATTACCGTTTAACATGAAATTTCCGCTGGTTTTGATTCTGTGGATTGTTCTCCATCTGGAAAATAACTTCTCAGTGAAAAAAAAGTAGGAAATTACTTCATTCAGTATCGTAAATAGAGAGAGCGAATTTCTTCAACATACTGCACTACAGACACTTTATTTTATTCTTGTAGTAGCGTAGAATATTTCCCGCAACGTATCGGAATAATAAAACATCATTTCGATGTCGTCTCAGATTTTTGGGTTAGGGCAATTGAAGAAATGTAAATTGGTTTCCGTGTTTACATAGCCTGATGTAAACACTTGGGAGGTTGGGAGAACACGAGATAAGCGTAGGAAACCACGACGCGAAGCGGAGTGGTTTCTAGCTTATCGAGTGTTCTCCCAACCTCCTAAGTGTTTACATCAGGCTATGTAAACACGGAAACCATTTTACATTTCTTTTATAAAATAACTAATGAAAGAGGAACGAAAACCGTGTTTACATACGCTCATGTAAAATGGTTTATGGCCAATCAGAACGCGCGTACTGTTTGAATTATTTTATAAATATATTTGAAGACTACATGGAATCCGATGAAATGTCTCTAATAAGTCGTGCACCACAACTCAAGAACTAATATACTTTGAAAATATTGCATTACCCTCTTTATTCATATACTGCTGCAAGAAAAGTGAGTCTACATAAAATCAGTTTCAAGCCAACAATTTGCTCATCTGAAACCAAAAAATTTGTTTCCGCTGGCACAAAAAACATAAAAAAATCCGTCAAAATTTCATTCTACACAGTGGTTAAAGATTGGCTAGTTAGTGTACACCTACTTGACTCTCTGCTCAGGTTGGGTTCCCTGTACTAGTATCAAGCGAGATCTTTCTATCACGAGGAATATGACTTCGTTGATGACTCTCAGTTTTACTACCTGTAAATTCACTTGGGCACGATTGAAGCATTAAGGAAAAAACCCATCTATTAAGTTTATTGTACATAATGAAATTGCACCATGCGAAAATGAAATTTATGGCCACGAGATGAACAACTCCACGACGTATAGAAACAAAAATAATTTACTTTAACTCCTCAATGGTGAAATGATGCAGGTTGAAACTAAAATAACGAAAACTTACAAGAGTTTCACAATATCTGATGTAAAGAAATAACAAACAACACGACGGAAAGAGGACTATAAAACACTTACATCGTTATGGCCACAGAAAGACCAATACTAATACTGCAATATGCTATGGACGAAAAAGGAAAAGGGAAAGACAAGCGAAAATCGCGGTATGTTGTTGAACTGCGCTTAGCGCGAAAAACGAGAAGACAGGCATTTTGCTGATATATACATGATGATATATTATACAAACTGCTTAACACAAGAATGAGATTTTCTCATCATACACATGCTCCAACATTTCGCCGTTGCCCAACGACGAATATTGAATTCTTTTATGATACAATCCAACATTTCTGTGTTAAAAACAGGAATATTGAGGATTCATTTTTTATTTGATCCAACATTTGGCCGCGCTTGAAAGGCCCATATTGGATTCCATTTATCAAATGATCCAGCATTCCGCCGTTACTTCACGACGAAAATTGGATTTTCTTACTGCATGGCCAACATCTCACCGTAAATTTTGTTACGACGAAAGCTTGGTCATGTTGCTTCGTGGTTCAAAATTTTGCCGTTTTGCTAAACGGTCAAAATTGGAAAAGCGCCAATTTTTCTCAGAGAATAATAACCTGTCAAGTATCTTTTTTTAAGCAGGCGTTGTCAATTGATTTTGCCTGTGTATTGATAAAGTTTACCTGCGCATTGTCGACCATCTCCAACATAACCTTCTTTGCAGGTACAAATCAACGTACCATCCGTGATACTACAAGTCGCCTGTGAGTGGCAATCGTGGGTAAAACTTGTGCATTCATCAACATCTTAAAAATGAAAAAAGGCAGCTATTTGTTAGATGTTTCCATGAAAATAAAGGCAGTTGGGACATGACAATGACCTGCGTTACATTAGGGGATTCGGCGAACTAGGAACTGAAAAATCATGAATATACTGTCATAGTCAACAAATGTCCACGAACGTCATTGTTTTTGATCTGAGATAGTCTTGTAAGAAAGTCGCAGCAATTGAAAATAATTCTGAGGAATGTAATTGGTGTACAATGTTAATGAGGTGAAGCGAAAAGCAGCAGGCGATATGTGACTCTAAACACTCGAGTATGTATAGTTTGAAGGGCTGTATCAGAGAGCTCCGAGTTTCTTCGGGGACGGTATCAAAAAAGTCAAATTCGAAACAGGCAACCCCAAGAGTAACACTTGATCATTAAGTCTGATCATCTGGAAAAAACTTCTGTTGCCGACTGTGACTGATTATGACCTTTTCACAGCCTAAGAGGAAGTCGTCATGTGAGTCAAGTGATGACTTTCGCCTAGTTTGCTGCATGATCAGTCGTCGCCACCGAAAACAGTCGAAGTCGGAACAATCTGGTCACTTACCTCCTTTATCGACCCTTTAATACTTATCCTGACAGAATGGTCACTTACCTCCTTCAGGGGTGGACACAGTAATATTGTTACTCAGAATAAACCCAACAGAATTCGACGCATTCACCCAGAGCCTGTAATCACTGGATGGAAGAAGGCCATTGTATGTGAACAGTTTTTCAGCTTCCTCAACAGAAATAGCAGTTTCAATACGATCCTCAGTTCTCAAGTTAGCCGAGTCGAAGATGACGAATTTTCCATACAACATTAAGTTATAAAACAACTTTCCGTTCGGCAAAGCCACCCGTGTCCAGTTTGCGTCAACCGCTGTAGCATTGCGGACACGGGCAGTGAGAGTAACAGTTCCAATCGGTGTGATTTCTTTCGTATGAGCCTCAGCTTCTTTTCCATAAGCACACCCTTGTGCAGTGCAAGCTCGAACGCGGAAAGTATGAAGGCTGTAAGGTTTTAATTGAACCGCTGTGTAATTCGTAAGCTGTGATTCATTCAACACACGCTCTGAAATCGCATCTTGGTACAATTCATAGTTTAAGATGACACCGTTCGGTTTTCCCGGTGCCAACATAATCACAAATAGAGCATATGGACTGAGAGCAATTACAAGAGGTGCTGGGATATCATCAGGGACATCCTCGTGTGTCGTTACCTGAGCTGCTCCACTAAATGTCCCGCCACCTCCACTGAAGGGGCGCACTCGAACGTAATACAATGTCCCTGCCGTGAGATTTGAAATAATTGTGCTGAACACATCAGGGGTGGCGTTAAATTTTGAAACGTATGCGTCTAAAATTTCACAGGTTGCAAATAGTATTTCATAACGTACGATTACCCCATTTGTAATATTAGGGTACCGCCAGTTTACTTCAACCTCCGTTGTACCACGCACAAAAGCCACTGGTGTATAGACTCCCTCCGGGGGTAGTTCCCCGGTTCTTAAACGGACTTCCGGTCCTTGAGCGCAGCCGATTCTTGTGCAGGCTGTCAGCTGTAAGAGGTATTCTGTATAGACCTGTAAGTTCCGTATTGTGAAGTTGTTGTCTGTTCCGCTGAACACCAATTGTCTATCCAGGGTCAGACTATATTGGATAATAACACCATTAGGGCGTCCGGGCTCGGTCCAGTGCACCTCAAGCTCTTTGGAACGTCGGACAGCGGTAAGGCCTCGGACATTCTCTGGAACTAAGAGGAAAATACAGTTGGTAAAGTTTTGGTTAAGAGTAGGGAAAATTCACGCTAAAAACTGCAAGTAGGAAATTATCGTGGATTGCCAGACATGGCAAAAAAACAAACACACACACACAAACAAAAACACTTGCATGAACTGCTCTTGTTGTCTACTTCATTTTTGTTTTTATCAACTGTCAAATTAATGCGATTTTCAACTTAGTATCAAAAGTAATCCGGGACACTTCGCTCTGTGATTGGTCCAGAAAACTCGCACCTCCCTCTCAACCAATCAGAAGTAAAACCGAAAAAAAATCATCATTTCGTTTCGCATTCATTCCCACGCTTCAGGCAGTCTTCATATTTTTTATTTGGATTCTCATTAGTTTGTTAAGGAATTTTTCTTAATTTAGTCCGACTGGCTGTTGCAATTAGTTTGTTCTTGCTTTTACGACACTCAATTAAACTGATATTGAAATATTACCACCAGGAGACCATGAGCTGTTCATGCTTTTTGAGTTCAGGGACATTAAATGAGCTGCAATAGTAAGGTGAGTTTAGGTAGAGGTTTATCACTGGCTAAAATACAGAAATATATTCTTGTTTCTTGTTTGTTCGGTGGTTCATAAGTGCACAGTATGTTTGATTGATGACTTCTCGTCTTTCTTGAACTGATGCACTTTCAGACTAGAACCCAGTTTCTGCAGCACAGAGCAAATAAGAGCAATGTTACCTCTTGCTTAATGGGTGAGATGCTTATCCAAGACAGTGTACACCCCTACATCTCTTCCAATTAACTTCAAAGTTTGCCGAATAAAGTTCCGTAAGGTACAAGTGTTTTATTTGTCCAGGAAAACTACGAATGACAATTTATCCGCTATCACAGTGTTTTGGGTATCCCCGAGTTTTGGGTATCCGCGTACCCTAAACACTAGTGTTTTGGGTATCCCCTCTGGGGATACCGCACTTGAGATTGTGGTTGACGAAGAAAAGCGTTCAGTCATTTGTCTTGAAGCACCTTGGAAAGAGCGATACAGTCAGCAGTTTCAAGTAAGTTGCTTCGCATGTAAACAGTTAATTCAGCCCATCGATTTGAAACACGCACGAAACGGCGTGGACAAAACGTGATCGACTCGACGTCTCAATCGTTCGCTGCGCTCACTCGTAAGCTATCGAGTTGAATACTCGAAAAGAACTTCCATGTGTACGCGGACTCAGGTACTATTCTCTATATATGTGAATTGTCTCACATATTGTAGTTTTTTTCTTTTATTTTTAATGCATTATATTTTATAAACGATTTGACTTTTTACTTTTTCAAAACTTTCTTTTTTTCGATCCGTGATCCGATAAGTGATCTGATCCGTGATCCTGAAGTTATAGGAAAATTTCCCACACACACGCACACGTGGTAAATAAGTCAGAAAGTTTTGAATAATCAGAGTTAATCGAAAAGTACAAGGTTTCGGTCATTTTCTTAGACGCGAAATTCCATCAAGTGAAAAAAATCCTCCTTTCATGCGTGTCTCAAATCGATCGGCTATACTGTTTACATGAGAAGCAACTCACTTGAAACTGCTGACTGATCGCCCCTTCGATTCTATGATACATCACAACAAATGAACACTTCTCTTAGACGACCACAATGTCGAGCGCGAGAATTAACTTTGGATCACAATTTTTTTGACATCTGCAAGCAATTAATTTGTCCACGACAAATGAAAGAACGATGCTATGTTACTTGATCCAGCCTACTATTTAATTCACTTTGAGCGTATTGGGTTTCCTCGATCGCCAGTGTTTTGGGTATGGGGGTACCCAAAACTCGGGGATACACAAAATACTGTGACGCCACTTACCTCCTTGCGCACTACGTTTCAAAATCCACTCGCTTTTAGCTGAACCTGAACTTCCATCATGGTAACTTTCCACACGGTACAGGTAATCTGATACAAAAAAAGATAGGATGTGTGCATTTTCTTTTCACGAATGACAAGTTAATTTTCATTAGGTTTTGTTTTGTTTTTTTCGTTTATGGCGGGGGTCGACATTTCTTCCATTTCTAATTTCCTGCTGAAGCGATAACAATATTTTTGATCAGTAACTAGCCTAAACTTAAAAAAGACTACTCTATTCATCAATCAACATACCGGTGAAAATGTCCACGGATGAGTCATTAAATCTGTCAGTCTTCCCAGAATACACCACAGAACTATTAAAGGGTAAACATTTTCCTATTTGACCTCTGGTTGCTAATGCGGGCGCAGGGCGGCAGCCATCAAGGTCCGCATTATGCATGGCATTGACTGCAGTTATGTAATCGATCTCTTTTGCCAAAGACTGAACAATTATGCAACCACCAAAAGATAACTCCACAGTCGCCCCAGCCTGTTGGGCGACTGTTTCGGTCGAAGATCCCCAGGGGACCCCTCCGATGAATATGCTAGATTGTATGTTTAGATTAGTTATTCCAGTTCCAACCTCAGTTTTACCATCGAGGAAGACAGTTAACCTGTTGTTGAAATTAGTTAAAGTCATGTTGTGCCATTCTCCATCACAAATTTCACCAGATGGCGAATAAACTGTCACATTGTCCTGCACACTAGACGTGACGTATTTCGTTTCAACTCGATTTTCAGAAAATTGAATGAAAAATGTGGTTGTTGATCCGTGCATAAACAGAAGCAACCCTGATGACAGCTGAGTGCGGAACTTCAAAGTAAAGCTAAATATATTATTAGTAAAAATGTCCGCTACATTTGAGTCCATAGCGACATAGCCACCGCCTCTGAGGAACAAGGCTCTTTTGTTGTCTCTCTCTGGACATCCATTTCTCTGAGGCTCGACACTGACTGCTTCTAACGCAGAAGTCCAATCGAGCTGCTTTGAAACAGAAGCAGCCTGTTCTGAAGTGACACCACGTATACAGCCGATAAAGTTGATCTTGTCAATTTTGGAATTTCCTGTGTCCGTCCGAAGAATTTTAAATGAGGAAGGAAGACCGCCGATATAAACCCCAGTGTTTGCCGATATCACGGTGGCGGCGCCTGGACTATTCTGACTGGCTTGGTAACCGTCCACCTTCAGGGTCCCTCGACGGCTGACACGTGACACCTTCAACAGATGCCACTCGCCATCGTCAAAGCGGACTGGCTGGTTGATCGTAAAGGCAGCAGGGCCATCTTGACAATCGAATATTAACCATGGCTTTCCATCCTTTAATTGAACTGCTAACATGTCAGTCTGTGAGCCATCTGAAGCCAGAAAGAGAAGCAAACCTGACGCATACTGGGTTTGAAACCAGAATTGAATGTCATTTCTTGCACCGGCTCGAACAAAGTCTGAAGGAAACTTGTAGAATCCAAGACCTGGATAATGCACGCCTTCTGACACCACAGGGGGTGGGAAGTGCAGGGCTGAGTAAGCTCGGCTCAGGTTATAACTCGGCGGTATTGGGCCGTTAGGGATCTGAGGTTGAGGCCATCTAAGGTACACCGAGGATGAATCAACTGAGAGGACCGAGGGAGGTCCCTGTTGTTCGGGAGCTGTTAGAAAGTAAATCAGATACACCGCTGTTAGTAAAGAATATGGACGTCATGTTAAATATGATTCAAAAATAAGGATAAAATTGCAGCGTCATGGCAACGTGATGTAGTCGCTTTGGGACTCTATTAGTGAGCTCTAAGAAATCAGAAAGAAGAAAAATCTGTTTAAATTCACTCCAATGTCAGCAAAAACCTCAAAATTTGGGAGAAATTGGCGAAAAGTGTTTCTCACTCCGCATTCAGCTTTACTCTACCGAATACACTAAGGTTCTAAGCTGTATTAATTTTCCTGTACTGTCGCACGGGTTTGCAGTACAGTTGGGCCGGATTCTTTACACGACGCTTAAATTTATCTCGCGGGTAAGAAACACTTTCAATATAGTCGTATGATTTTGGGGAAAAATGTACTGTTTATTCTTGGCTTGTAAAGGGATGAACTCTAACAAACTCATCTTCAGCTAAAAAAATCAAACCAATGTTTAATTTTTATTTTAGCATAAATCAAAACCACCATTCGAAAATTAAACCTTTTCCAAAGTATTGAATTTCCCGGAGATAGTATCACTGAAAGTTTAAAATTTAGACTACATACTTGCCGCTGATGTCCGTACAAGAGCTTGCGGACTTTGCCCAGAGCAGGCAAAACTGTTACATGCTGTTACTGTGAACTTATATTGAGTGTACGGCTGCAGCCCTGCGACCAGGGCCTGTCGCTCAGACCCAGGCAACTCCACAGCTATCACGGCAACTGAGCTAGAGGGAGGTTGGCACTTGTAAATGACGTAGCGACTAATGACCCCCTGGGGGATCTGGGGAGGACTCCAGGAAACTATTACAGCAGTGCTGTTCAAGAAATGAGCACCAGTGTTCATGGTATTTTCGCCGAGTGGAGCTGAATAAGAATTGAAAACCATTAAAAAACATCTTCGTCATAGCATGTACAGCATATGTGTAAACACATACATTTCCATTCCTTTTTGAGGATATTTTTAGTATTTCCCTAACACCACACGGAGGCCGTCTAACATCTTATAATCAAAACATCTCTCAACTAGATTTAAGTGAAAACAAGACAAAGATTTAATGCCTATCCTCAAATGTAGCATATGTACGTATAAACCGGAAACTGTACAGAAAGTCTATTGTTTTCATCCAAAAATTGGAAGACGCTGTTAGCGCGCTGGAGCTCGAAATGAGACGTCTGGGCTTCCCACGGCTCTAGTCAGGTATCAGTACATGTTAAGTTACGTCCTTAAGGAAGACTCTTGGCTCTTAAAGGATCAGTTAACTAGCTGCATAAGAAACTTGACAGATGCCACTTGGCACACGTCCCCACATCACTTTTCACTCTTTTTATTATTCAATAATTCTAGAATGTTTCAGTTTTTTCTTGTATCTAGCGATCTCATTAACGACAGGTACTTGATTGATCAAAGTCTGAAGCGCTTTAGTTCTTTTTTAGCACTCCATATCTGTTGTTTATTTATTGAAATAACTTACTTCCTTCGCCAGTCCTATGCCTTGTCCAATTACTAACTCGGTCTCCCATGACTTGCGCAACAAATGTTCGCACCCTGAACTCATATACCGTGAATGGAACCAGTCCTGTCACGTTCGCTTCTCTGAAGATGATAATGTTCGGGTCATGGGCAGAATTGCTATTGAACTTCAAGACTCCGTCGCTTGTGTCTTCGTCTAGGCGCATGTACAGCTCATAACGAAGAATTCTACCGTTCGGCTCGGTTGGCTTGTCCCATTCTACCCTCACTGCAGTGCCTCCCGGAAGTGACGTCACATTTGGTGCCAGCTGGAAATCCGGAAGTGTTGGCAGCGTCAGGATGGTTGTAACGTTACTACGAGCGCATCCACCATTGGTGCAAGCCACCACTGAGAAATTGTACACAGTGTATGGTTTAAGATTCCCCAACTTACACATGAAAATAACACCTCGACAGTTTACAACTTCAACTGAACTTCGGCTATTGATAGATATCAGCCGATATTCGGTGACACGACCATTTGGCATGTTGGGAGGTTGCCATGAAACAGTTGCATTCCTGGGTAGAATATCTGTGATGACCGGTGCAGAAATTCCACGTGGTGCGTCTTGGAAGGTGCGGTACACGTATCCGTCGTCTAAACTTCTAGTCTGACCAGATTCAGTGTAGGTAATGATGTAATAATAGTAGACGGTGTCAGGAGTGAGACCAGTGTCATTGAATTTTCGGTTCAGTCCAGTGTAGGCCAGGGTATCATTTCTGTACATCTCATAACGCAGGATGATGCCGTTAGGATTGTCTGGTGGAGACCATGTTAACATTATTGCACGGGACGAGAGAACTGTTACAAACGGTGCAGGCTGCTCAGATGGGGCTGAAATTAAAGGAGAACACACCTTAGTATGAGGTAAAATACACATTGAAATCAGAATAATCTTGGATTATCGACACACTATTAAAATCATTCTTATTATGGCCATAAATTTCCGTTACCTCCGCTGCAGCCATACTTGTTGTTCTGTTGAAGATTTATGGTTCCGTTTTTACACTTGTCACACTGTTTCCCTTCGACATTAACTTTGCATGTACACTGTCCAGTTTCATCACATTGATTGGTAAGACTGCCAGCCACATTACAGTTACAAGGAATACAGCTGAGGGTGTAACGAACAGAATATCATTGAGTTAGCAACTAAGTGAAGGGTAAATAGGCTGAATTACATTGTGTTCAGTTGCCAGAGATAAATATTCTACTCACTTCCCCGTTGTTGTAAAGCCGTAAAAACCATCTACACATCCATCACACCGCCGTCCACCAATGTTTGCCTTACAGGTACACTGGCCAGTATCATTGCAGTTTTTCCCAACAGACCCGGTTGTGTTGCACTGGCACTGGACACAGCCCTGTCCTGCTGGATTCCAGAAGTATTCCGCTGCACAGGAGTCACAGCGCAGCCCAGACACACTGGACAAACAGAAGCACTGTCCATTATTGCTCGAACATTGGAGTTCATCTGGAGAGGAAAAGCGAACGTAAATGAACAAGTATAAATCGAAGTTGATTATTTCACAGAAGTTTCCCCCGAGAAGCAACTCGGGCTAACAGGAATTGGTTGGTAAATATTGGTCAATATCTAGAGGAATAACACTTTGTCAAGAGGAGAACTGTCATCAATAACTTTGAAGGTTTTTCCGTTCAACGTACGATAAATCAATTAACACTTCAACCCCTAAGAGTGACTAGCATCTAGATTCTCTCTACAATATCACCCCTGTATTAAACAGTTAGTTCACGAGAATGAAGGGAATGATCACTAACAAAAGAAACTCTTGATTGTTTGACAAATTCTCCTTGTCAGCACCTCAGGAAATGTATAGAGAACAGTATGGAGAGTGTGCAAACTGACTTTGACTGACCTGGATTCTTTTTGTCACCATCTATGGTTCCCTTGGGATAACAGTTACATGGTTGACATCCGTTAGGATCTGATTGGTTAAGACCAAACGTTCCCGGCTTACATTGGTTGCATGTCTGACCAATCACCAATGGCTTACAAGTACAGTTTCCAGATTGCTGTTCACATTGACCTGACCCTCCCACAGTTCCTTTAGTGTCACAAACACACTGTGTACACCCCTGTGGATTGCTCTGTGACAGATTGTAGAATCCCTGTTTGCACTGGTCACAGTTTTTGCCTTCCACATTGAGCTTACAGGTACATTCACCAGTAGTTTTGTCGCACTGATCCAAAAGCGATGATGGCGTACCAGCAATAGAGCAGTTGCATGATGAACAACCATTTGGCGTAAGGCTGTGGAAACCATCTTTACACTGATCACATTTGCGCCCAATCACTCCAGCTTTGCAAGAGCACTGCCCTGTTACTGAGTTACAAGTGTTTTCATTCCCAGCTGTTGTTCCAAACGGATCACAGTCACACGTCTTACAGCCTAAAGGTTCATGCCCGGACAGACCCCAGTACCCTGCCTTACATGTGTTACATGTTCTCCCTGTCACCCTATCTTTGCAGTAACACTGTCCTGCACAGGAGTCACAGCGCAGCCCAGACACACTGGACAAACAGAAGCACTGTCCATTATTGCTCGAACATTGGAGTTCATCTGGAGAGGAAGAGCAAACGTAAATGAACAAGTGTAAGTCAGAGTTGTACACTACATACGCGTCTGCCACGAAATGCCATTTTAGTCCGACAGGAATTTATCGATAAATATTGATAAATATCTGGTGTAAGACTTCTTTGTTGAGAAGAGAGTTGTCACTGATAGGTCAAGAGTTTGTCAACAACACGTACCACTGATTGGAATAAATAGCAATCTATTTCTTAAAAAAAGGGTCATCCACTGCAACATTTTCCTAGACCACACCAGCTAAAAACCTCCGGTTTTCAGAAATAGCAAGACTAAAAGCAACATTACGCACCATCTGATGCATTGCGTAATTTTTCTTTAGAACTTACTGAATCAGTTGTGTTGCGATTAAATGACAGGTAAAGATCATATAATGTATTTCCAATAGAGGTAGTCTTAAATACTTAAATACATAAGGACTGAAAAGTAAATGTCAAGAAGCTTAGAAGACACGTGATAAACGAACCAAGAATGTGTTAAAAAATGTTTTTAAAAATACACATTCTGACAAATGGCTAACAAAGATTCGTCTTAAAAGGGGTTTAAGTTAGGTCAGGTTTGTCTGACTTTCCGTCAATATTCGTTTATTCTCCTACGTGGGGAGAGCCACTGCAAGAGGTAATCGTCTTTCCATTATGTTTTAATTGGTTCTGAATAGAATGAAAATCTAACAAATTTCCGCCATCAACATTTGTACATTGGATCACTCAACAGCCTGATTTTTTGCTTCATAACAAAATTTCCTTCATTCACTTTGCTCCCACTTCACCAACAAAGAGATAAGCATGTATTGCTCTGACTTGTGATAAAAATAAAAACATCTAAAAAGTACACTGAGGCTACCTGGTCTCTTTCTGTCTCCATCTATTGTTCCGTTGGGAAAACAGTTACACGGTTGACATCCGTTAGTATCTGATTGGTTCAAGCCAAATGTGCCCGGCTTACATTGGTTGCAAGTCTGACCAATCACCAACGGCTTACAAGTACAGTTTCCAGATTGCTGTTCACATTCACCCGATCCTCCCACAGTTCCATTAATGTTGCATACACACTGTGTACATCCCTGTGGATTGCTCTCTGACAGACCCCAGTACCCTGTCTTACAGGTGTCGCAATTTCTTCCTGTCACTCGGTCTTTGCAGTAACACTGTCCGGATTCTGGGTGACATGAAATATTTCGATTTATGGTGCCATTAAGAAGACAGCCACATGAAATGCAACCAGTTGCATGGCTAGCTTTGAGATCATAAAATCCATCTTTACACTCATCACATTGACGGCCTTTAGTGTTGTCTTTGCAAACGCACTGTCCAGCAACTACACTTGAGTTGGAAGCTTCCTATCCATTGAAAAAATGGTTTAGGGAAATATATCTTCAATACTGTCAAAGAAATTAAAAGACCCTTGCATTCAGCAATCACATGAAGACAAGAAACATCCAATGATGAGCAAAATTGGCAAACCTGGACATCATAACTTAAGCATCTTCAGAAAAAAATAATTTGCTTTGGACGTATCAGCTACACACAGTGTGAAATTTGCTCACCAGTAAGTTAGGTGTTTCTTGTATCATGTGATGGCTGACTGCAAAGTGCCAATAGACATTTCGACAGGGCTTTTATGAATTAACTCCCCAAACTCTATGTACCCTTTGATTGAGTGGAAGGGCCGGACGGGAAATTATTTGAAAATATTTTGCTCGAGGTCTTAACGCACGGAACGATTGCAGCGAAGAGGTGATGGGTCATGACGAGAGCCGACTATTTTCCCTTTCGATCAGAGTTGATTCAGTCAATTATATGACTGTAGTATTTTCTTCTTTTGGCTCTGCTAGCGCCTTCGCGCACGGCTCTTATACGGGAATTTTTCCTATGTTTTCAATTAAAGTACGCGTATAGTGGAGTATAGATATATGTGGAGTTTAAGAAAGATGTTTTTCGTCTTGTCACGAGCGTGAGACAAATAAAAAAGTTCTGAGTCCCCATGAGGAATCGAACCTCAGACCTCTGATTGGCTACTAAAACTCCGAATATCCCTTGTTATTCACTTCCGAGCGACGTGCGCGGAATTTGGGTCCGAAACCATTGTAACAACTGTAGGAATAAATGAGTGCTTTATCATGTCACTGTTTTAGTACATACTAAAACAACTATTCACCTCCAATTCGGTGAATAGTTGTAAACTATAATTTCTGCTGAAAGCTTGTTTCAGTGACTCCTGCTTATGAAGCACAGCACTCTCTCCGATGAGCAACACACAAAGTAATCATTACAAACCTTGACACAATCCAACTCTCCAGGCTCTACCCCAAGCCCCTCACATCCACAAGGCGAACACACATCCGGTGACTTTAGACTCTTTCTAGACTCCCTGTAGAATCTCTCCTTGCACACATTACAAAAACGACCAGTAGTGTTGTGTTGACAGTTTATACACACACCTCCTCCCCCCTGGGTACGTGAGTCAGGGCTGGTGTCCAGAGTTTGATTATAAACACAACTGTTGGCATGATTATTACACTCGCACTTGACACAGGGGTATGAGTCATCATGATCACCTCTTCTAAATGGTTTGTCATTGTATAGGGGCTTGCAACGATTGCACTGACATGGAAAAAAATGGCAACATATGTTATAGAAAAAATACATCTGAAACAATTCAACTTACCAATGACAATCCAATGATTAACACTGTTTGGCAAATTGTTTACAGTGGTCTGAAACCATAGAGAATAGTATTTCGTGCCAGGTCGTGTTAAATAAAAACAGAGCTTCGTTCCAGACAATAACCGTACTTGTTTGCCCATAAGACAGTTTTTTTTTCAGAAAAAACTGATTGTAAATTACGCAAATGAAGCAAACCATTTTATCCAGAGACATTACATTAGAAAACAAATACATCTTTGCTCATCAAAATGTTCTTACAGTTTCTCCCTCCGTATTAGTTGATGGATGACAGTCACAAATACATTGTCCAATGTGCGTGGAGTTCCCTTCAATATAGCTGAAGGATGATGCATGACCGAAACATTCACACCTACAAAATACAATATCAGAATGTAACAGTAAGTACATGTACGTAAATTAACTAACCAGTGGCTATTGACCTTGCTTAATTTAGTCAACTGCAGTCAACTACAGTTACATAAAGTGCCTTTACTGAGAGAGGACGTTCTCAGGTTCATAGAGACTTAATTGAACTGTGTTGCAGCATACTCTGGCGTAATAAAGAGATTTTTCAGCATTGAATACACGTGAATTTGCTAACCTTCCAGTGACAAGAATTCTTTCCAGGCCATAGTACCGGTGCAGAGGATTCTGTACCAAAGTATGATTGTAAAAGTTAAACTTGATATGAGTAGCTTTTAAGAACTGCAACAGTCTGTCTGAGCAGTAAAGATTACCGCATCCGGAACCAAACGGTCGCACTGGAATGTTGGAGCCTGGAGGCGGTGGATATTCTGTCTGAAAGGTCAACATTTCTTGACTGAACTGCAAGGGTCTGAAATAAAACAATCATTACTACAAGGTAACAACTTGAACCAAACATTTTCCCACAATTCTTTAAACAAGTTCCAAGTCCAGTTTAACTGCAATCTATCAATAGAGGCCAGAAACTTGCTTCATTTTTTCCTGAATCAATAATGCTATTGTTAATGAGAAACGACAACTTACTTTATGTATTGGAAACAGTTCACAGAGTCAGGTTGTGTCAATGGACCATTGTTTTGTAAATCAAATGAGGTCACACAATCCTCAGCAAAATACTGCCAGGACTCGTAGGTATGTCCGCTGTCCACTGATCGCTCAATCTTTATTGCTCCAGGTACAGGTCCATAGAAAGTCAAGACGATGTAGAACACCTAGCATAGTATTAAAAAAATATATACTAGTCCCTTATTTACATTTAATTTGGTTTAAGGGCTGGGTTATGACCAACAAACTGCCCTATGAAATTAATTTGATGTAACATAATTAATCAAGGCTAACATTGAAGAAGTCAGCAATATTGATGGACGCTTTATTCTTGAATCGTTTTTCTTGGTCATAAATAAAACTAAGAATTGAAAATCCCACCTGCAATCCAGCATATGCCAAATTTATGTGAATGGTTGCATTTTCTGTGATCTCTGACAGCCAGTAACTAAGTGAGTCACCATCAGTGGCAAATTCAGGTGGATGAGCTGTGTCGTTTAGCCTGGATACTGTGTCAGTGTCTCCATCTAAGTTTTTCAGACACTTAGCTGGTTCAGCAACATTTATTTTTGGATGAGTGGGTGGGCATCGACAATTGCTAGCAACATAAACTGTTGGAAGGACACCTGTGAATGCCTCTATCGCTTCCCTAGAAAGAAAACAGTAATCATTTCGGCGAGAAGAAATAATATCCAACACATGTTAAACAAGATACTCTCCTTTCATATGTGTCATGAAAACTATCACAACAAAGTTGGTGCATGATACGTTTAACCAGGCAAAATGATTTTGAGACGGGTGCATCTTATTATTTTAAACTGAACTGAAATAAAAGTGCGCAAAAACTTTATGTGATTAACCAATATATTTCTTAGCTTGTTGAGTCTGCGTTTTTCTGTGGTGGATAAGAAGAGTTCTGCGTCACCTGAAATAGACAAGGTCAGCGGATGTTTTTTATATACTTAATTTTTATTAATTACAAAAACCGATAACGTATTGATTAACTTCGTCTTTTTGACATAGGAAGGCTTGGAAAAAAAAGTATAATATAAAAGTATAATGCATGTGCACAGCCGTTATAATAATTCTCATTTATTTTGCGTCGCAAGGAAGATACTTACTCAGAACCAGGAGTTATGAACAATCTTACTTCTCAGCTGGTGTACCTACCTGTTGGTCAAAGCTCTGTCATACATGAAGATATCCTGCATCAGGCCTTCATACTGCCACTCTGCATCACCTGGAGGAATTTCTTTAGATTAATTTTTGTGATAGAGGAAAACATCATAGTATGTCTTTATATTTATCTCATTTTTACCATGACTTTGCTTTAATGAAAGAGCCAAAATATAATATATTTAAGGTTAAAGTAAAGCTTAAATATATTCCGGTAAGTAATTAAAAAAAAAAAAGGCATAAAATATCTCGTTAACTGTTGATGATTATGTTTTAACCCTGGCATAAAACTTTCTTTTTTGTGCTGTCGTGGGTGTACGGCAAAGAAATTCTTGGTGCTCCGATGCGCTATCATTGAGCCAGAGAGACCTTACGATTGGTTGGGCCATAACTGATTTCATGTGTGACACGCATCCTAGCTGCGTACTGCTGGGACCAACGATATCGAAAGCGTCACATGCGTTGTTGGTATTAGAAAAATGGCGAATTTTGAGCTGAAAATTAACCGTTCTTTCTTATTTTTTCGACATCGCCAATACCCTATGTTCATTTATTCCACGTTATCAGGTGTTCTTGCTAGTATATACTAAAACAGTAGATTTATTATCTCATATCCAACACGCATTCATGGAGTGATTGTTAACTATTTACCTCCGAGCAAAGCACGCGGGATTTGCGGCCTAAAACATTGTTATCGTTGCAGGAATAAATGAGCTAAAATAATTTTTTGTGTGTTCTATATGATCTCACTGTTTTAGTATTAAACAATTATTTAGTTCAGTGTCAGTGGTTGGCGGTGGATATTTACCGCGCTGCTTCGCTGCTCATTGAATACCTACCACTAGCGACCCTCACTTCGATTAATAATTGTTAATTATCTTCCTAATGATGTCATGATGACAAGCGGGAAACGTTGACGTTTGCACTACAAAGCTAACTACATGGACAGAGCTAATGACTTTGATAATCCTTAAGAGGCTCTAAGCCCTTAACTAAATAATTGTCACTGACCCCCATATTTCTGTCCAATTCGAATACCACCAGCAGAGTTATTGATGTAATCACTCAGAGTCACGAAATTTGCATTCATGAGTTCACCATCAATGTAATATGACAGTGCTTTATCAATAACTGCTACAGTTATTAAATGCCACTCATCCTGTTGAAGCTTTTCACTTTGGCTTTGCAGAAGGTTGTATGTAGCAACTGATGCATTCCCAGTGGCAGGTCGATAGTAAAACATCAAGTTATAGTCCTTGATAACAAGTTGAAAGACATTGGCAAAATTTGGAGGAGTAGTCTCATCTTTAGACATGATCGTCCTATTAAAAAAAAGTTGATAACAAGTATTAATAGTAGTATGTATGTATGTATGTATATGGAAGCTAGAATCTTTCCGAATAATTTTGGATTATCGAAAATAAAACCAGCTTGAAAGGAGTATATGTAGAATTGACTTGTTTATACGAGCCAAGAAAACGAAAACTGTTATAAGGGATGAGTAAATAGGAATGAGTAAGAAAGGGAAATGATACATATATGCGAAATGTACTCAAAAGAACTAAGTCCAGCTGTTTTTCCCAGAGTATAATGAAAGAATCAAACACCCCCTTACGTAAGACTTAAGAGCAACAGTCTGTAACTTTCGAACTTTTTCAAAGAATCGCGGCCACTTAACCACACCGATTGGCTGAAATTTAGCATGAAGGCTGATTTTAAGGTCCTAACCACGAGATTGGTGTTTCAAAGTTCCAGTTGTTTTTGCTCGGCAAAAAATCAGTAAAGCCGGCGTAGTCTGCTCATACTTGCTCGCCAACATGGCGTATAGAAAGTGTTCCCATGACTTCAACTCGAGTCCTGTCGTAAAGATTTCCTAAAATCCTTATCCTTAGGTCAGGAATAAAGTCTAATACCACATTCAAAGCTTAAAGTTGTTTTGTTAATTACGGTTTAATTTTTTTTCTTCGTAGAAACTACTTAACCTAATACTTTTTTGACTTAAATTTAGCACATTGGAAATGCAAGTGAGCAAATACTTGAATCCTATAGAAAATTAACTTTTTCAGCTCTCTATTTATGATTTTCATTCAGTCAAAACCAGTTTAACAAAACATGTTTCGTTGGTGTGAATAGGGTATAAGTCTTATTTCGTCCAGAATAAAGGCAAATTCCAGAAGTTTTCTTGATATTATGGAAGTATCTGTTTATTTTGACCAAAAGCAAATATCTCTGAGCGACATTGCAGGAACGGGATAAATATTTGGTTACCGAATGAATTTAAAGAATCGATCCGGCAATAACGCTTGGAAGGGAGAGCGAAAATTTTTTAAAAAAAGAAAAGATTCTTCTGAATTCCAACCTCTTCATTTGGTGGTGATTGGTGACTTACTCAAATCTGATGCCTATAAGCTACACTTGCAGTTAATCCTACTCGTCACGCCAAAGGTTTAGATATTACGTAAATTACATCATGTTTTTGAGTGGTTCTCAGTTTCGTATTTCGTATAACAGTATAAAGAAAACCCAACCTTTCAGCATGTCTCCTTGCAATTTTTTTTTCTCTTTTTTTCACAACGGTGAGCGCAAGATGCCTACATGAGGCGCTCTCACTAAGAGCATTGACATGAATTGAGTGTTGTTTGAAACAAACATTACCTCGCGGGAACGCGCACGCAATCGTTAATTGAGTTTACTCTAAGATCTATTTTGCTTTGAGAGACTGTTCGTGAAGGATATTTTTTAAAACTTCTTTCAGTGGCTCTAAACTAGCTTTAAACCTTAACTGTATGAAAAACGAAACAATTAATTCGAATTAAATCGTCGTTCATCACTGAACTGTCGGTTGTTGCGAAAACTAAGACCCCCGAAAGCTAAGAGCCACGAAACCATAATTAATTTATTTTTCGATGACGTGGGCACGACGCATGTGGCTTTTAGGTTGAGACAGCTTACAAGTTCGCACTGTTCTCAGTCTTAAATAGGTTTGTGCCTTTATGAGTTCAAGTCTTACTAGGTGTCGTGTTTCGCATCCCATTTTAGAACCAAATACCTACCCCTGACACAGAAGTTTTCAAAGAAGGGAGTACATGTTAAGGAACGAAAGCGAAACTAAGAAATGACGCATCGATGATGGATGGTAAATCTGAACCTTCCCTGGCTGGGGTGGGAAATTTGTACGGAAATGTTAAGTCTTTCCAGCGGATTATACGTGCTTTATCGCAAAATGTGGAGGAGTAAATACTTCATTTTCGCGTGCGAATGTCCCAGAAGTAAAGGTTTACGAGGTCTAGAGTTTTAAAGCTAGGTAAACAAGTAGAAAGTTATGGTCGCTGAGTTTTCCTTTTTTTCAAAAAAGTGAACTTTGGTAGGGCGTTTGAACAAATTACCACCCCGGGGGCGGAATATCATTACGTTTATGTCAAATCAAAAGATATTTCCATGGTATTAGGAAACTTTCTGGATGATAAATGTACTTTAACTGTTTACTTCTGATCGGTGAATTGATCTTAGAGCTTTTAGGACTAGGTCCCAAACATAGCCAGGTCCTTACAGGTTGATAATTTTTTTTCCTTGACCGTTTCATTTCCCCCATTTTTTATTTACGAAACTTGTTCATCTAGGAACAAACGTTCTTCATAGTAGGTGGTATCTCCTGGATCGAGGTAACACTGAGATATTAAGTTACTAAGCTGGGGTAACTGTTCAAGGCGGCCTAAAGCGACCTTAGAACGTTGGGATCACATGTTGTCAAAACCAGATATTTGCCATATTTTTTTAAAATAAATGTTAAGAGGAAGGGAAGATCGTTTCATGGATAACACAAGATTTTGAGAAATCTTTACTATAGGACTCGAGTTGAATTCAAAAGATCACCTTCGCCATATTGGCGGGCAAGTATAGGCAGACCAAGTGCACTTTCCCTCTTTTTGGCCAAGCAAAAATACCTGAAACTTTTTAAAATTCATTTCGTGATTACGACCTTAGAGCAAGACTTCCTGCCAGATTTCAGCCAAATCTTTGGAAGGAAGTGGCCGACGAAGATTCGAAAGTTAAAGACTATCGCACTTAAATGACCATCACGTTGCCAAACTTTATCAGGTGGCTTTGTGGGCTGAGTTTTGTGAAATTTATTCAAGTTCGGAGGTTTCTTCGATTAATTTAGACACCCTTAATTTCTCTGAGCTTTCTTCACCTAGAATGAAATGCTTGGGGGTGTAGGGGACGGAGGGGTGGGGTGGGAGAGGATTTTAGTGTCTCTATTTGCAGCTGCCAGAGTAACACCCATTAGACTGACAAACCTTAGTAAACAATAGAATAGCATAGACTACATAAGTTCACTGTTCAGCCTCTTTTTTATCGGACGTAGCGTATCCCCGTTCAAGATTTTAGATTTATTTTCTCCAGAACATCATGAAGAAGTCTGCAACGATTTCAAAGTCGTATTGAGCTAATTAATTTCGTGCTTAAAATTTTATGATTGATTACTGAAATTAATCGGAAAGAGTTGCATCGAGCTCAAAAAAAAAACCGATTTACGAAGGAGTACAATTGATTTTAACGTCGATTCATGTGCCTCCTCTCACCTCCTCTCCCCTTTAACTGGAAAGTAACTTTAACATGGTAACATAAAACTTACCCTTTGTTTCCTGCCTTCTGTTTAATCCAAACGCTTATAGTGAACCCAGGATTCTGAAAGTCTATAAATGGAATCCTTAAAGGTTGTATGGATGAATTCCCTTGAAATCGGAATGATCTGACAATAGTTCCATTCCTCGGATCGCCATCTTGAGTGACTCCAACTTCATTCGAAGTTTGCGCTAAGTCTGTGGGAACAGGTTTGGCTGAACTACAATTTGTACAACAAGCAAATTCACAGTTCTTTTCAACGCAAGTCGTCAAAGACGTCTGTTTAGTCAACGACTGACAATATTTACTAGATGTTGCTCCACATGTTGAAGAAGAAGTGATCGGTTTTAGTACAGCAAGATCCTCTAATTTCGGAAAATAGCCTCGGCCATATGTCGATGAAAGGTTTGAAAAAATTAACATCAAAACGTTAAAAAGTTTCATTTTGACTCTCCAGTGAAAGTTGGCAAGCAGAGTGTTGCAGTAATTAACGATTGTAAATGTAAATTTCAATGCTCAAATAAAGTCATGATTGCGGAACTGTCAATCAATCTGTCATTGCTGCTCATTGATGCCTGGCTTTTACCTTTCCGCTCCATGAAGCGGGAAGGAAAAAAAAAAAAGACCGTGGCACCACAGGCAGTCCAAGCTTCAGCTGTGAGATCATCTTGCGAAATACGAGTCGTGTAGAAATATGAGCTTGCTAAGCTTGTTCGATCCGATGTGACATGACATTTCACAACGGAAATGACATGTTAAAATTATTTATTCAATAAAGTAAAACTGATCAGTATAGGGATCGCTTTTTAAGTGTCATGACCGCTGGGCTAATAGGGACTTTAAGATTGTCGACGACGGTCGGCTACGACGGTTAAATGAGTGTCACGCAACGTTTCACACCTTTGAGATGTCACCGTCGGAGCTCTGGGGCAGTGTGTTTCTTGTTTCAAAAGCGTGACAGTTGAAGTTCACGGTGAATATACTACGGCGGAAGTGTTGATTTGCAGACGTTTCTGTGTCTACATGTCCGGCAGCCGAACAGGTTTTTGAAAATACTCCGTGTCCGGCAGTCAGAAATTTCTACAGAAACACACCTGAAATGTTCTTTCAAATATCTAAGGAGTATTAGATGTTTCATTTTAAATGTCAAGCGATTTAAAAACTTAATTTGGATTTTAAGTGGAGGAATTTTCTAAGCTTCTGCATAATGTAAACTCGCAAGCTTTTCGACACTTACAAAACAATTCTGACCTAGTCTATTGAGACCGTGCCGGTAGTCAGAAATATTCTCCAAATTCCCTGAAAATACCTAATACAAACCTAATGAATGTGCTCGATGGGTTTTTTTAGAAATGCCGAGCGGTTCCAAATTTACGATGCCTTTTTAGTGGACAAATTTTCCCGAGCTTGTGCATATCATAAAATCGTATGCGTAAGGTATTTAGTTTTCTCGCGTGCACCGCTTTTTAATTTATCCTAGTATCTATTTAGTTGGTCTTGACCGAGGGACCGTTGTATATGGGGGTACAGCTGGCCTGGGATTTTCCTCCTTGGTGCAGGAGGACGTACGGGGAGGTTTTTCACTCAGCTGTTGTTCCACGACCCTAAGTCAGTTAGCTTGTGATTTAGATGTTTCATGGATTGTATTTTATTTTTCTATGATACGTAATGTATCCTGCGGTTAAGAATATATGAAAGTCATATATTTGAACTGCGGATAAAGACATGAATGAAAGTGATCCTCGCAGTGATGTGCACTACTTAGGCAGTAGTGAAAATAAGGCCTGAAAAAAATTTCAGGCCCGTACAGGTGCCAACTGAGCTGTCTTTCATGTCTTTATCCGCAGTTCAAATATATGACTTTCATATATTCTTAACCGCATATTCATCACTTCACGGGTTTATTTAGAACCACTATCATGACCAGCTCCCAGTTGGCTTGTTAGCTCAGTTGGTAGAGCGCTGCACCGGTATCGCAGAGGTCATGGGTTCGAATCCCGTACAGGCCTGAAACTTTTTTTCAGGCCTTATTTTCACTACTGCCTAAGTAGTGCACATCACTGCGAGGATCACTTTCATTCATGTAATGTATCCTGTAGTCTTTTTTGGAGAATAAACTGAGCGCTTGGTTTGAAGCAAGCAGTACGTAAGGGTTGTGTGTGTTAGTGAGATCTAGAGGAGAGGAGGAGCTCCGCGTGAGAGGACTTGTCACGCAATACGTCACGATGATTCTTTCCCAGAATCGGGGGGGAATGATAATCAATAATCACTGCCTAGTCTTTGTGTTCGCTTTTCAGAGTTTCAGAATCCGTTAACTATGGGAAACTCTTTAAAAATCGAGGGAATTGATATCAAAGAAGAACTTGGCGGGGGAAGTTATGGCGTAGTTTACAAAGCCAAATGGAATGGACGCTTTGCAGCCGTTAAAGTCCTGAGAGATGACATGTTTTGGTGTTATCCTAGAGCAGTTGAGGATTTTAAGAAAGAATGTGAATTCCTTCGAGTGTTAAAACACCCCAATATCGTTGAAATGTACGAAGTTCTTTTTCCAGAAAACAGATCGCCTGTTCTTATCACAGAGCTCATGCTTTGCGATCTACAATCGCACTACAAGAACTCGAAAACTACACCTAAAGTTTCGCTGGACGAAGTCATTAGAATCATGTTGGATGTCGGCGAAGGACTGAAATTTCTGCATGAACACGAGTGTCCCATCATTCACCGAGACATCAAATCTAAAAACATTTTACTCAACACGAAACTAAAGGCGAAGATTGCTGATCTGGGCCAAGCAAAGGAGTCTCCGCTGGGAACTTCCCGGCATATGTGTAAGACACCTGTCCCCGGCACGACAGTGTACATGGCACCGGAAACATTCCCTCGCGGAAATCGTCAGGTCAGAAGTGATCGCCCTACGGTTGATTATGAAACAGAAATCGACGTCTTTTCGTTTGGAGTTGTCTTGCTGGAAATTATAGTCGGTCACGTTCCGTCCCCCAAACCAATTTGTACGCCATACAAAGGTAAGTGTTGAAAGGAGCAGGGGTTGAGCGGCGGAAGGGGTGAATATTTTGGTTGAATATTCTTTATTATTGTTCCTACATTCTCCTTATTGGGTCCTAATCCTTGGTTACTTTGTGTGTCAAAGGCGGAACAGTTTTCCGAACTTTTAGAACTTCCAGTCTTTAAATCTCCTGTCATGTCCTCAGTGCAGACCATATGTTTGTATGATAACTCGCTTGGATTATCGCTTGGAGTCTCCTAGATACATGATAAATCTCCTCTAGAGTTCACTTGATCTCTTAGATGAAAGTGAATCCGGAAAACTTCTCTCCTAAAGGGTAAAAATCAATTGAATTTCATGCTTAATCTTAACCATTACAATTTCCCCAAACGTGATTGTTGTATTGGCTTCTTCGTTTCTCACTAATCATTCTGTAGAGCTGTAACCGCTCAGTGTAATCAGAAAGTTGGCTGTGATCGGACGCCAGTAATTGGACAATTGAAGTGGCCAATCATACTAAGTCCTCTCAGCCAAATCCACCTATCACAGAATTAATCACAATAACCATAACAATGACCACTTATCCTTAGAAAAAATTGAGGAATTTCCAAAACAGAGAATTTTTTTGCTACAGACATTGTCTCTACAGGAGATATTTGACCTAAATGTATTTGTTGTTTCCAGAAATTGTGATGGTTATGATTAACTGGTAACAGGACTTCTATGTCATCCAGTTTTGTGTCTGTAATCATACTTGTGATTGATAAATTGGACTCCTGCTTCATGGTCGTCCAATTTCGCTAACTACTCATATAATTACAGAGCAAATTGGACTCCACTTTAGGTCCTATTACCATTATTAATCAAAACTATAACAAAATTCTTGAATGTGATTGGTTATCACTGGCCCAATTTGAGCACTAAGAGGACATTGTACACAATATGCTTGTAATTGGACTGTGTATAGAACAGTTGACATAATTATAATGCCTGTTTAAGTGGGCAGTATGCATCATGTGCGTGCACTGTTTTTTCACATTTCACCAAGTTAACTTTTTTTTTGATAAAGTATAACCAATGTCTAACTTTTTCTCAAATTTTGTCATAGTTTTGATTAATTGGTAACAGGACTTTGTGTCATCCAATTCATTCTGTAATCACACTCATTATTAACAAATCGGACTCCCACTTTGCAGTTGTCTAATTTTGTTAATCACACTTATAATTACAGACCGGATTGGACTCCACTCAGTCCTATTACCATTATTAATTTACAACATTTATGAGTTTCCTGTTTAAAGTTGAGTGTTATTTTGTCATTTCAATTAGGATTAATATGTATTCACTTTAGCTTCTTCAGTAAGAGGGGCTAGAATGGAACAAAGCAGTTGGAAAGATAATCCATAATTGTGACCTAGCTCTTCTGAGTATGGTTTATCAGCATTTGGTTTTCTTGACTGTTCTGTGGGCATCAATCAAAGGCAGAGAATCATCCTCTCCTCCCATCAGTAAATAAAATCCTTTTGGGGGCTGGTATGTCACTTGGTGATGTCCATGGCTGAGAGATTGTCAGATAAATGAATATTTGACCAAGAGGTGTGGCATGGATCATCTCTCAGCAAAGGACACTATCAGCCAACTTGTCAGCAAGCCAGAAGGGGCTTTAAATATTCTACAAGCCTTCCATTAATTTTTTTATCATGTGTTGACAAAAAATTTTGTTGACTTCCCAAGCAGCATTTGAGAACAGCTTTTTAATGTCACTACCACTGGACTTGACAAAACGAGTTCCTTTTTCTCCCATGCTAAAGAATATAAATGAGTTTGTTGAGCAAATTATAGCTTACTGCAGGAACAGAGTTATCCCCTTCTCTCCCAGGAGTGACCAAGACATAATCTCTCCTTACTTTATCAATACAAATTAAGCTGACTAGTAATGAGAATAAACAAAAATATCAACCAGGGGATGTTCTATGATTTAACATTTAATTCTTGAAACTAAATTTATAAAATGTGAAAGACAGTAAAGAGGATTCCTTTTAATACCCTGGGAATGGGGCTCAGTGTCAGTGATCATTATTTTGTTGACCCCACACACAATTAAATGTTCAAATTTTCCTTTTTACAAAAAATTAAAAGTCCACATTGAGTGCTCTTGGTCTTCAAGATCACTTTTTAATGAACTTGGCACCTTATCCAGCCCCAGAAATGAAGAACTGAGGTAATTGTGCCTCTTAAGAATGCAACTTTCCCAAAACCTTAGGGAACCAAGACACAGACACTTAATATCCCATTCAGTGCCTGAAGATTTAACGATAAGGCTAGTACTGTATCTCTCAGGAACAAATGCACTTCTGGTACAAACTCCCCTTTGATGCTTAAGTAAGGATAGGTGGAGAGGAGGGGTAGGCCTTGCCATGATCTTTTAAAAAAGAAATTAAAAGAAAAAATCTCAGAAATGTTTTTAGTTCATGTTACTCTTGATGGATGATGATTTGTGGAATTTTAAAATTGTTGTTGAAGTTCCAGTTTCAATCCCTGTCTTACCAATAGAATCATGAACCTTATAAAAACACCTTTGTTCTCTAATTTTTGATGCAGAATAGCACAACACTGAATCACATTATTATTTCACCAATTTACCAATATTTTAACCCTTTAACCACCATGAGTAACCAACAGAGAATTTCTCCTTACAATATCAATACAATATCAAGTAGACAAGTGATGAGAATAAAGAAAAATATTAATTAGGGATTAATAGTTGATCCAGTACCAAATTCTCCAAATCAACATTACATGAACTATATAGTTGACAGTAAGGAGAATTACAAATGAGATCTTGGGAGTTTAAGGGTTAAAGTAAAACTCCCACGAAACCTATGGAAAGTGGCAAATGTGCCAAGACCTACATAATTGATCCTGTTGCTCCCAGATCAAATTTGTCATTCTCCTTACTGTAAATCACACAATTCTTATGATGTTAGCTCAGAGAATTTAGTATTGGATCAACTAATTATCCCCAAATTGATATTTCTTTATTCATATCACTTATCTGGTTGATATTGTATTGATATTGTAAAGAGAAATTCTGTTCTGGTCACTCATGGGAGTTAAAGGGTTAAAAACCTAAGAGAGCTCATATGAAAGTTCCAAAGCTTTGACTACACTCAGCAGGGTTGCCTCTTTTTTGAGAAAAGGGCTGGAAGGTTCATTGTCATATTAAGCATGTTCCCAGGAAAATTATTACTGCTGTGTCATCATATGCCATAGTAATTTGCTGTTCCTTGGTAATTGGGTTCTTAATTTTATTACCATTTAGAGGAAAGTAAGTAAACACAAGTCCAATGTAATGAGTAAGCCCCTTGCTAAATCAAAAATACCCTATGGATTGTAGAGCCTCACTAAAAGACACCCTGATGAATTGTGAACACCCTTCAAAATAACTTGAGGTAAAAGTTATTTAATAATGAGTCAGTTGGACTTACCAACACCAGTAATAGTGGACTAGGTACCTAAAGGTGGGGTTATGCCACAATTACCTAAGGTTTGTAGGACACTGCTGGTATAGTGAGAGGATGGTCACATTAATTGTTGCATCATATCATATTTCCTTAGCCCTGCCCCACTCCTGGTTACAAAGCAATGTTGGTTTCCTTGCAATGTTATTAATGTTTTCATTTAGTTTCTGTGATCCCCTTCCTGATCCTCCTTTATCTGTATCACTCTTCACCCTGTGTTTTTATATATGTATTATGTACCAGATTTACCACCTGGGCCCAGTTGAATAATGGTCGGAAATGCTATCCAACAAATAAATTGCTACACAAGAGATAAGTGGTAGAAAAACCTATAGAGTAAGCCACTGCATAGAGTTTTCTCCAGTGGATAGCACTATCCATTTTCAAACAAGTGGGGCCTGGCTGTTAAAAACTACACGCTTTGTGAAATGCTGTCAGAAATAAGCTCTTATGTAGTTCTGTTATTTACGTTATTGGGTTTATTACTGGTACGACTGGCACCATCATGTAGACTGATCTTTGGGCATGTTATTTAAGAGGGGTGGTGGGGAGGTCTGAGGGGTGGAGGGGTACTAAAAAGGTACTGTTGTCTCTACTAAGTCAGTATCTTTCCTTATTTTGTATCAGATGGAAACATAGTACGGGAACACAATCGACGAAGAAAGGAACTTGGAGAGATGGGCACTCTTCACCCTCTACGAGAAATAGTCCTGCAATGTCTGGAAAATGACCCATCAAGAAGACCCTCGATTAGCCAAGTGATTAATGATTTGCGCAGAAACGACGGCAGTCAGAGACGAATTGAGTTGAAAATTGTTTTACTTGGAAACTCAGGCGTTGGAAAATCTCTTTTGATAAAGAAATACATCAACAAGGACTTGCCATCAGAACTTGTTCGTTCGACAATCGGTGTGGAATTGCATCCAGTGCCGCTTCAAATTGGAAATCAAATGGTAATTCTGAGAATTTTAGACCCGGCAGGCCAGGAGAGATTTGACAGCATTGCTCCAGCCCTGTTCAGAGGCTCGCATGGAGCTTTCCTTGTCTATGACATTAGTGAGCCGAGAAGTTTTTCTGATCTCCCAAAGCACTTGAGCTTTATTGAGCCTGTGTGCGGCGAAAATGTCAAAGTTATGTTAATTGGGAACAAGAAAGATCTTCAAAGAAGAGTCCATAATGAACTTGCTCAAAACTATGCTGAAAAAAACGATATGGAGTACCTTGAGGTTAGTGCGGTAACTCTTGAAAACATCGAGGAAATGTTCGAGGGCTTAGCGAAAAAAATTTTAGAATCACTAGACATCAGCGATGTACAGATTATGGAAAGAAAATTACATCGGAGTCAGTCTCGAATCCATCTCGGTGAAGATGATCAGGAAGAACCCGGTGGTAAATGTTCGTGTTAGCGCAGTCTTTATGGACCTTAAGTTGTCAGGACTGCAACGTATTCAGGAAGACGTGTATTCCAAAATGAATTTTTATTTTCAGTTAAAATTTCACGCGAAGGCTAGAGGTGTTTACAACTGTCTCTTTTGGTTCCACACAGGAATCACTGATGAAGTACGAGATAAAGTTAACAAAAGAATCATGTATGTAGAAAAAACTATCAATGAGTAATGAATCATCGCGCCAAAGGCAGGAATTACGAACCTCAAAGGTCAAATAATTGTCACGATTCTAATTTCACGCATGCCCAAACTCTTAACGGATTAAACAAATGAAGAATCTCTCCAAGAGATTATATGCTATTGATGATACTCGATACACGACTGTCTTTGTAGTGTTTGTATGTTTGTTTGTCCCTGAACCTAACCTTCTGACACATCCTGACCAATCTGACTATATTTAGTATCCACTTGGTATTTTAACGCTGCTCACGTGGGTTAACCCTTTTCTCCCTGATGTCATTATGCATATTCTCCATACTGTTCTTTATACGTTTTCTGAGATGCTGACAAGGAGAATTTGTTTACTGATCAAGAGTTTCTTTTGTTGGGCATCATTTTCTTCATTCTCATGACCTTAATGTGTGATTTAGGGGTGATGTGAAATTGTAGGGAGAAACTAGATGTTAGTCACTCTTAGGGGCTGGAGGGTTAAGCTGAAGTTGAGGTGAGTTTTAAACTCAAAATTTCATGAACCCTTCCACTTGAGGGACCAGGGAGGGGGGAAGGTCACATGGATTTCAGGGGGAACGGGGGGTGGGGGGTTGGTCGTCGTTAACAGAGTTTAAAGAGGAGACTGTAGGAAAAATTGACTGCCAATGAGCTCATCACTAGAGTACAACAGGGGGAGGATCAGCTAACTTCCCCTCTCCTCCCCCCTCCCCCCGGTGACAAATAATGACCAGTCTCTGAACCACTGGCTCTGGTCTTTGATGAAGATAATAGAGTTCTTTGACGACGAGGGAGGGACTTGCGTCTGAAATCGGAAACTTTCGCTCAGAGTTGAACACTACGATCTAAATCCGACTCCAGTATCTATCTATAATCACAGCTAGTGTCCAAAATTGGACAATAAAGACCAAAATCGGACACAGGTGGCCAAGATCAGACATCAGTGCTTAAAGTATGACATTGACATTAGATGATAGTGTCCACAAGCGAACATTATGCAGTAAAGAGGATAACGATGAATATTTTTAAGTTGAGAGGGGAAGGGGTATTTCTAAAGACGAACGCATGAGCTTCAGCCAACGGGGCAGGGGTAAGGGCTTGCTAAATGCTTAGTAAGACGAGTCTTTTTCAAAAATGTGGGAGGCCTAAACCTCCTCCCCCCCTCCTTCCCGCGAATCTAATGTTCATCCGTGTTTAACATCGTCCTCGATCACTTTAGTTCAACAAACAGCACCGTGATTTACTTTTCCTGCCGTTCTCGTCATGTTGCATTGTTCCCTTTTCTTCCTTGAGTTCTATGACTCCCAGATTGAGGGCGTCACGACGAGGGGTACGGAAGCGTTCAGCAATGGGGGACTTCTCCTGGCTGGCATCCCTGTTAGAAAGGGTTTCTCGCAATGATACCAGAAGACTATTAGCCGTAGCTTCACCTTCGTTTTTGTTTTCACATTCAATCATTAAGTCTATGAGAACAGAAAATATTTCATCAATGTTCTTTCCAGATTTGGCACTAGCTTCAGTGTAAAACATACTCTCTCTTTCGGTAAACTGCTCCACTTCTTGCGACCCAACCTTTCTCTCCAACTCCTCATCTTTATTTCCAACTAGTACGATGGGAATTTCTTCATAGCATCTCTCCCTGACGACTTTCACCCAATTTGGCACTTCCAAGAAAGACTTTTTAGAGAGTAGATCGAAGGCAATGACCGCACCCCGCACGTCCCGAAAAATCTGAGGCACTAGGTTGGAGGCTTTGGTGAACTTGTGACCGCCTACATCGACGATATGAAGATGGATTGACTTATCAGGGAGACGCAGTCCCACAAAGTGATCTTCAGACTCGACGTTTCTTGAAAACGATTTCTCAGAAAGCTGGCTGTTGGTATCCAGGAATCGGGTCACGATAGATGTCTTACCCACACCTGCCTCGCCAAGTACGACAAGCTTAAACTTGTGATCATAATGATCAATGGACTTAACGGCATCCCTAACATCAGAGGGGCTACCTGATAGTGTCTCGCTAACAGCCTTGCTGAGTTTTTCTTTAATCTCACCTGCGCTGGGCCTTTCCTCAGGAGAGTTTTCCAAACACTGCAAAACAAGATTGCGTAGAGGGTGGCTCGGACCCATCTCTTCTAGGTCCTCATGACGGCGTTTGTACTCTGGGACTATTTCCCCATCTGGAATTAAAGTTTTTATAAGGAAAGCTGTTAAATTCAGCACAAGACGATGATGATGGGAAAAAGGCACTAATCGCAGTAGGCCAAGGAAAGAACCTATCTGCATTCGTGCAGTGGTATACCCCAATAGCCTCAATTTGGCGCGAAAACTTCAGGATCGACATGTAATGCCTTTTAAACAATCATAGCTGTGAATTATAGGCATCAATAGTTTACGCTGAATTAAACAAGTCACGCAACTATTATGCAGCTGATAGCGTGACTTGAAACAAATTAAAGCCCAATATGTCTCACTTGAGCGACAATTTTTGAAAAACTTTGTATCATGATTAAACCATCTAGAATTGCCCGGTAGTCGCATTATGAATTAAGATTATAGCGATCATGAAATAAACAATGATTCATTTTTTTTTGGAGGAGACGTTAAGATGTGTTCTGTTTCCGATTTGAGAGCCTCATAAAATGAGTGACCGCTCGAGGCACCTAGCTTGAATTAATGAGAGTTGCATCGAAGTCTGTCAACAAGCGTGAAAAAAGTGGAAATGCAACTGTTTTCAAGAGAGTCACGGCAGTCATTCGCTGGGTAACTTGATCAATCGCTCGTTAAAACACGGCCATCCAAATTTTAAAACAAAAACCCGGAGGCAGTTACCTTCAAGAACCGGGTCAGGCAAATTACCCACTGGTAAATGACCAATAATAATCTCCAGCAGCATGGCTCCAAACGAGAAGATGTCGATTTTGACGGAGTATCTCGCTTTATCGCCCCTCGGTAGTCCTCCCAACCCCGTGGGATACGTCTCTGGAGCGGCATACACGGGTGTTCCCGGCATGGCGGTCGCGTACATTGCACCACGAGGGAACGCTTTCGCCTGACCCAAATCTGCAATCTTCGCATGCAAGGTTTTCGTCAACAGTACATTTTTGCTCGCCAAGTCGCGATGTACAATCGGTTTTTTTAGGGTATGAATATAGTGTAAACCTTCGGCGACGTCCAACATGATTTTAATTACGTCTGGGAAAGGAACCTTTGGTTTAGTCGTTGAGTTCCGAATGTGTTTGGCCAAATCGCACTCCAGCAACTCTGTCACAATAATGGGGCTCTCTGGAGAAGGGGGTAGAATAACAGTGTAATATTGCACAATGTTCTTATGCCGAATACTGTAGAGAATCTCCCATTCCTGCTTAAACTTTTCTAAGATGGCTTTTCTTTGACTGACATCGTAGTCTTCCATCACTAGGATAGGTAGAATCCGTTTGGCAGCAACTTGCTTGCCTTTCCACACGGCCTTCCACACTTCGCCATACGAACCTTCTCCGAGTTTGTCTCCGAGTTTTATTTCCTCAATCGACGACGTATTTTCCATACCGTTTCAGAAGCAAGAGAAAGATCGATATGTGAAAGTCTGTTCGTCATTAGATACTAACAGTAAATAGTCAATAACCGGAAGTGCAACCGAGCGAGGCCTGGAGCATAACCATAAACGGCGCGGCCGAAGTTAATTATTATTTGATGACGCCAAAAATTCGTTTGGCGTTACTTATAGTTAATTCGTACTTTTCATTCTGTCAATAATCTGTTTTTTTTTTCCTGCATAATTCTTCACCGTGAATTTTATTCAATCGTCGTTTCACTATTTTAATCATAAAAAGGGGTTGTTGCTCATCGTGGTGGTAAACCGTACAATTGATGTAGTCACTTGAGAAGTTTACTATCGAGTTAATCTGCTTGACTGGCTTAAAAATATGTACTTGACGAGGAAAAAAATTAACACTATAATAAATTACCAAGTGAATTATGCCTGCTAAAGTCTTCTAACGAGTGTGTGTGTTTTTTTTACTTTTTTTTAAAAAAAAGAGGATAATGATATAAATTTATCGACGATGCCCCACTGTTTGACACTGTATCTGCATTTTACACGGGGAAATATTTAATTTGCAGTAAAATTCAAGTAATTTCAATCTTGAAAAACTCTCTTCGAAATATGTACAAAAGAGATAAAAGAGAGAATGCGTTGAAATTTGCTTGGTTTGCCTAAATTTTTACCTTTGCGGAGAAATCACTTAAATTTTGTTGGTTTTTACTACCTGATCATTTTCGCCGCAGAGATTAAAAAAAAATTAATCCGCTTGACTACGTAACTTATGACTTATGACTTATAACTCTTCCCGTGGAATATAGTTAGCTGCACACTCAGGGGAAAGGGCAATTTCCCTTCGTTCAGCATTACCATAGGAAGCCTAATGTATCAGTCTCGCTGAATTTATTGCTTAGAGTACAACCTGCTTGGTTGTAAGACTACTGATAAATGCGTGCCTCTTGTTCTCCGTCGCCAATTTTCTTTCCGATCCACAATGCTTTCTTCGTATATCCTTGAGCCCCGTCATATTTTGCGAGCAACTGAAACATTTACCTCCTATTCGCGCATGCTGTAAATGCAGGAGATTGTTTGTTAAATGTTCATCCCTGTTCGAGACTTGTAAAGAAATTTTTCATCAGACATATACCGCTTTTTTTCATGATATTTACTAAACTCGTACCAGCTCTGCAATCATTGATATATTAGTTTTATTCATGCTTTCACGTCTCTAAGGACCATAATAAAAATTAGAGCGTTTATATCACTCTACGTTCACCACACAACTGTAGCTCAATATTATTCAGTTATTCCCGATGCACATGAACAGCAAAAAGCGAGGAAGAAAAGGCGCTAAAAAGAGCAAGTCCACGGGAGGAAGGAGTTAAAAATAAAGTCATTGGCGAAAAAGTTATAGGAATTTCGCCATATGACTCAACAAAAAGTCCATTTCATCCTAGTTAGCATGGGCACCAAGGGTATTGCCTTTCGTCACCAGGCACAACCCGGAAAGTCCAAATCTCTAAAAGATTCTTATTCAACACTGATATTTTATTCGAAACGACGCAAACAATGGGAAAACATTTTCCGAGGAACTGATTTTCACTGATCGGAAGAAAAAACCCGCTGTAATGTCTTTATTATCAAAATAAACATAATACAGCGATATATAAGGTAAGGGAAGTGACTGTGAATGTGAACAAAAATCATCGCCATTTTGTAACCCTAAAGTCTTTCAAAACTGGCGAATCTAATGTTCATCCATGTCTAACATCATCCTAAATTACTTTAGTTCAACAAACAACACCGTGATTTCCTTTTCCTGTCGCCCCCGTCTTGCTCCATTGTCTCTTTGTTTTCCTTTTCTTCCTTGAGTTCTATGACTCCCGCATCGAGGGCGTCACTACGAGGGGTAAGGAGGCGTTCAGTAATGGGGGACTTCTCCTGGCAGGTGACCCTTTCAGAAAGGCTTTCTCGTAAGGAAGCCACTAGATCGCTTGTCTTAGATTCACCTTCCTTTTGGTTTTCGTATTTGATCATCAAGTCCACGAGAACAGAGAATATTTCATCGATGTTCTTTCCAGATTTGGCACTCGACTCTATGTAAAACAGATTCTTTCTTCTAGCGAATTCATCCACTTTACGCGAATCAACCCATCTCTCCAACTCGTCATCTTTGTTTCCAACTAGAACAATGGGAAGCTCTTCCCCGCACTTCTCCCTCACAACCTTCACCCAATTCGGCACTTCCAAGAAAGACATCTCAGAAAGGAGGTCAAAGGCTATGACCGCGCCCCGAACGCGGCGAAAAATCTGAGGCGCTAAGCAGGAGGCTTTGGTTAACTCGTGCCCGCCTACATCGACGATGTGAAGATGGACTGACTTATCACGGAAACGCAGTCGCTCAAAGTGATCTTCGGACTGGAGTGTCCTTGGAAGTGTTATCTCGGAGAGCTGGCTGTTGGCATTCAGGAATCGGGTCACGATAGATGTCTTACCCACGCCGGACTCTCCAAGTACGACAAGCTTAAACTTGTGATCATAATGAATGTGTGACATGGTACCAACTTTGTCCCCAGTGGGGCTACTGGATAATGTTTCATCCACAACTTTGCTGAATTTCAGAAGTTCTTCTATTATCTTTCCAGCACTGGGCCTTCTCTCGGGAATGTTGTCCAAGCACTGTAAAACGAGGCTGTGGAGGGGATGGTCAGGACCCATTTCCTCCAGGTCTTCACTACGGCGTATGTACTCTGGAACTGTTTCCCCATCTGAAATTAAGGTAATGATAAGAAACCTGCTAAACTCAGATCGTAGCAAAAAGAAGATTACGCGAAGTAGGTCGAAGGAAAGAACCCATTTTAACTGCCCTACCAACCCCTCTACTAAGGAGGGACTCATGCTTTGCAGTACACCTCATTGCAAGTGCATTTTTTTAAAGCTGAACTAGTGAGCAGCACTCTGCGAACAGTAGTTGTAAAACTTATTAGGGTGAGTCAACGTTACATGCTCACGATCGTTGGACTGGCCATGTTTGATTTAGATATTTAAGTGGACAGTGGGTGGAGAGACTCACCCACTCCTCTCTCCTTCCTTTTGACGGCTGGTCACCCCTTTGGTACAAATTTCTATCTTTAATCAGCCTTACGCTGCCGTTAAAATCAAAGATGGCAGCTATACTTTTTACCATGAAAAAACTGATCACTCGCTCGACAAAATTACGCCTACTCTGCAGGCTATCGAAAAACTTTCCCGTATTTCTTCAATAAATGGATCCTTTTCAACAACAACTATATCAGATGATCTGGGCTTTCCGCAATAATTTAGAAATAAACGTCTTTTATTTATCTTAACCACCTAATATAGGCAAATGGACCGTGCAAAAATCCCGTTTTGCCTTCTATTGCCTATTTTTGTGTTGCTCTTGGGTCAAACCTTTAGTAAACAATAAGAATCAATATTTAAAGTCGAAATAAAGGCTAGTCACGCAAGTTGTATTCGCCTATGACGTAAAGATTCATTGCGTGACGCGCAACAGATACGTCAAAGGTTTAGAAAGCATATTTCTACATAACACATCCCAACCAGATGTTTTTAACATAAGCAAATCTCGTTTAAAACATTATATTATGGCTAAATGTACGTTTAAACATGCACAGTGATATTTCGAGGACAAAATCGGTAGCATTTACCTTCAAGAATCGGGTCAGGCAAACGATGCACTGGCAAGTGACCAATAATGATCTCCAGCAGCATGGCTCCGAACGAAAATATGTCGATTTTTTCGGTATATCTCACTCTACGCCAAAGAGATCCTCTTAACCTTGTGGAATACGTTTCTGGAGCGGCATACACGGGTGTTCCCGGCATGGCAGTCGCGTACATTGCACCACGAGGGAACGCTTTCGCCTGACCCAAATCTGCAATCTTTGCATGCAAGGTTTTTGTCAACAATACGTTTTTGCTCGCCAAGTCGCGATGGACGATCGGTTCTTTAAGGGTATGAATGTAATGTAAACCTTTAGCGACGTCCAGCATGATTTTGATAACGTCTGAGAAAGGAACCTTTGGTTTAGTCGTTGAGTATCGGATGTGTTTCGCCAAATCGCACTCTAGCAACTCTGTCACAATAATGGGACTCTCGGGAGACGGAGGGACAATGGCAGTGTAATATTTCACAATATTGTCGTGATCAATGCTGCGGAGTATCTCCCATTCCTTCTTAAAATTTTCCGAGAAAGCAACTCTAATACTTCCATCATGATCACGCTCGAAGAAGTCAGGTCGAATCCGTTTGGCAGCTACTCGCTTCCCGTTCCACACGGCTTTGAACACTTCACCATATGAACCTTCTCCAATTTTATTTCCGAGTTTAATTTCCTCGGCTGAGGATGTGTTCCCCATATCTCTTTAGTCATAAGAGAATAACAACCCTCAAACAATCTGTATTCCTATCTGATTGGGGTAACCAAATGCTCGTAATGTCTCAGTAAACCCGGAAGTGACCGAGCAAGGCCTGGAGTTAAACCCAAGCCCCGCGCAGCCAAACAGAGTAAGAAACCTATACAGGAAGCTTATCTGTGCATAATGAAACGCTCGCAATGGTAAAATAAACGACTATCACAACGAGCTCATTCTCACATATAAAATTGATATGCTCGTGTGGAGCGCGTGAAAATCACCTGAAAAGCCTATGAAACATTTTATCTCTATCACAATGTTTTTTTTTTCGATGGTTGACAATATTAGCCTCACAGCTAAACCAACCCAGCATTAAGTTCTTAGTCAGAATGGTCCTCAGTTCGGCTTGCTTGCATTATGGAACCGTAAAAGTAGCATGTTAAGCCACTGGCATTGCTCGATTTTTTTTCCAAATTATACTCGTTTTTGAAAATTATGCTACTTTTTCTTGAAGCAAGACCTTGTGCTAGCACAATTCATAAGGGCCTACCTTGAACTGCTCTCTAAAATGTTCTTGTCCTCAAGGTTCAAGGGAGGACTATGGCCACGAGAAAGACGCTGCTCCCAAAAACATTAACTTATAAGTCAAAACTGTCTATTTTTCTGTTTTGAAAATTTTTTTTTTCTTCTTTAATCGACCTTAGTTGATAATAACAATAATATTTATATATACTTTATTCATCTTCGTTTATGGTATGCCATGTCACCCGAGTGACAACTTTTGCCGATCTGAGTTTGCGTGGAAGTTGTCCACGCAATTCACGAGTGTTTTCATGTTCTACTCAACAAGGAATTGTCAGGTGACTGTTCTGCGAGCGCCATCTTGAATTGCAGCTGTTTTGTCCTTGTTGATCCGCTTTAGGGACTGAGCTTTGCGCAAACGAGCATACGTGGTGTCAGATTGCTACTTGAGTAAACAACAGAATAGCTTGATTAGGATGTTTAAGAAAACTTGAGTGCGTTTTATTAGCAAACCTCTTCCATGACACGTGTTAAAAAATTGTTTATCATCGCCTTGCGATTTTTAAACTTATAGCAATTCGGATTTAAGCAAAAATACACGAAGTCCAATTGGTTTTCACAGTTTATTGCAGCATACGAAGCTGCATGCACTTTACTTTCTTCAAAAGAAATACTGTAACGGTTTCTATTCTTTTTAATGTACAATGAACTCCCTCACTCACCTTTTGAGAGAAGCGGTACGTACCACATCGGATAAAGCTGATTAAAAGAAATATAAACAGTTCTTTAATGTTTCATTACCGTCAATGAAAGATGAGGCTCAAAACGTAGAAATTATCTCGTTAATTTCACCTTTACCATGGGCAAGAGCAAAAGATCAATTTTAACAATAGGGAAACTAAGGAATTTTAAAAACTTTTTTTGTTTTAAACATGCAATGAATTTTCAACACAACATTAAACCGCAGCCAAAGCGCATAGCTTTGTCAAGACCGTGGTTGTATCGTGTTTTCACCAAAAAGAAGCCAAATTTTTAGCTCCATCAGGTGTTCGGCGCATGTTTACCTTGGGTGGTGGGGTGGAGTTGCACTCTTAAAGAGCTTCTAGTAAGTTCAGGAAGTGGTGAATCACAGTTTGTGTCAGCTGTTGAATCAATCAGGGAAAAGAAACACCGTTTAAAAAAAACTTAACGTAGATTAAGACAAAACAATGAAAATTTTATTTAAAGTGGATATTCCACATCATTATGGAAAGTAACATAGTTACCTTTATCAAGGTAGGTAAGACGGACATTTCAGGCACTGATAACTTGTCATGATTTTTTTAGTTAAATTTCACGCCAAGGCTAGAGGTGTTTACAACTGTCTCTTTTGATGCCACACCTCAACTTCAGCTTAACCCTCCAGCCCCTAAGAGTGACCAGCATCTAATTTCTCCTTACAATATCACCCCTGAATCACACATTAAGGTCATGAGAATGAAGGAAATGATGCCCAACAAAAGAACCTTCTGATTTGGTGAACTTGTGACCGCCTACATCGACGATATGAAGATGGATTGACTTATCGGGGAAACGCAGTCCCACAAAGTGATCTTCAGACTCGACGTTTCTTGAAAACGATATCTCAGAAAGCTGGCTGTTGGTATCCAGGAATCGGGTCACGATAGATGTCTTACCCACACCTGTTTCGCCAAGTACGACAAGCTTAAACTTGTGATCATAATGATCAATGGACTTAACGACATCCCTAACATCAGAGGGACTATCTGATAGTGTCTCGCTAACAGCCTTGCTAAGTTCTTCTTTAATCTCACCAGCGCTGGGCCTTTCCTCGGGAGAGTTTTTCAAACACTGCAAAACAAGATTGCGTAGAGGGTGGCTCGGACCCATCTCTTCTAGATCCTCATGACGGCGAATGTACTCTGGGACTATTTCCCCGTCTGGAATTAAAGTTTTTATAAAAATAGCGTTTAATTCAGCACGAGATGATGAAGATGGGAAAAAGGCACTAATCGCAGTAGGTCAAGGAAAGAACCTATCTGCATTCGAGCAGCGGTTTACCTCAGTGTAATAAAGGAACAATAGCCTCAATTTGGCGCGAAAACTTCAGGATCGACTTGTGAATGTCGTCGGACAGCTTATAATCTTTAAAATATATTTTTGGTCATAATACTCAATATACCTCACTAAAACTGAGGAATACAAAAACAATAACTTGTAGTTGAAGCGAAAATATGCACGGATATTTGTCTGTGGACATTTGAAATGTTCCGAGAGACAAACAGTTTTCCTAAAGCAAAGCTTGAGCAAAATGGTGAGCTTCAGGGAACAGTCAATTCTCAAAGATAAATGTTACGTGCATATGGCTGGAAAATAAATGGTCGTGTGACGCCCTTTAAACAATCATAACTGTGAATTATAGGCATCAATAGTTTACGCTGAATTGGACAAGTCACGCAACTTTTTGTTTAGCTGATAGCGTGACTCGAAACAAATTAGACCCCGATATACTCATTTGAGCGACAATTTTTAAAAAACTATGTATCATGATTAAACCATCTAGAATTGCTCGGTAGTCGCATCATGAATCAAGATGATAGTTTTCTGCGATCATGAAATAAATAATGATTCATTTTGTTTTGGAGGAGACTTGAAGATGTGTTTCGTTTCCGATTTGACAGCCTCATAAAATGAATGACCGCTCGAGGCACCTGGCTTGAATTTAATGAGAATTGCATCGAAGTCTGTCAACTAGCGTAAAAAAGGTGGAAAAGCAACTGTTTTTAAGAGAGTTACGGCAGTCATTCGCTGGGTGACCCGATCAATTGCTCGTTATAACACGGCCATCTAAATTTTAAGAGAAAAATCTGAGGCAGTTACCTTCAAGAACCGGGTCAGGCAAATTACCCACTGGTAAATGACCAATAATAATCTCCAGCAGCATGGCTCCAAACGAGAAGATATCGATTTTGACGGAGTATCTCGCTTTATCGCCCCTCGGTAGTCCTCCCAACCCCGTGGGATACGTCTCTGGAGCGGCATACACGGGTGTTCCCGGCACGGCAGTCGCGTACATTGCACCACAAGGGAACGCTTTCGCCTGACCCAAATCTGCAATCTTTGCATGCAATTGTTTCGTCAACAATACATTTTTGCTCGCCAAGTCGCGATGTACAATCGGTTTTTTTAGGGTATGAATATAATGTAAACCTTCGGCGACGTCCAGCATGATTTTAATTATGTCTGAGAAAGGAACTTTTGGTTTGGTCGTTGAGTTCCGTATGTGTTTGGCCAAATCGCACTCCAGCAACTCTGTCACAATAATGGGGCTCTCTGGAGAAGGTGGATGAATGACAGTGTAATACTGCACAATGTTCTCGTGCTGAATGCTGCAAAGAATCTCCCATTCCTGCTTAAACTTTGCCAAGATGGCTTCTCTTTGACTGTCATCGAGGTCTACAAGGATAGGTAGAATCCGTTTGGCAGCAACTTGCTTGCCTTTCCACACGGCCTTCCACACTTCGCCATACGAACCTTCTCCGATTTTGTCACCGAATTCTATTTCCTCAATCGAAGAAATATTTCCCATACCGTTTGAATAGCAAGGGAAAGACTGATATCTGAAAGTCTGCCCTTCAATTTATTCGGGATATCAGATACTAACAGCTATCAGTAAATAACCGGAAGTACAACCGCGCGAGGCCTGGAGCCAAAGTTAAAACGGGCGTAGCCGAGGTTATTTTGTTGCCGCCAAAAATTCGTTTGGCGTTACTTATAATTAATTCGTACTTTTCTTTTTCTCAATATTCTGTTTATTTTCCTGTATAATTTGCCTTTGTTTATATCACTTGTATAAGTTCCTCACCGTGAATTTCATTCATCCATCGTCAGAGGTTGGTGCTCATCGTGGTAGTAAGTAATAATAAACTGTAGAATCGTTTGTCTCACGATTTAGTCTCTTGAGATCGCGATTAAATCTCGATCTACATCTCAAGTGACTTCATTGTGAGACAAACGATAATACAGTTTTTCAATCATATCTCTCGATCGCTTTACATCGTTTATATCATCAATTTGCCATTTTTCCTGGATGTCGTACGACGTTTGTAAGTGTCTTTTTTTTTTAGTTTTCTCGTGTCCTTACGCATAGTTGTAAGAGCATATTACTTGTAATTTATTTCTTCGATCCTTCACCTCGTTTCGTTTTGTATTTTGGAAGTAAATTAAAGAGTACGTTTATTACTGACATGTGCCCCAAAATTGTAGACATTGGGTTCTGTGTACCACACGGTCAGATCCTTGACCCTGTTTTGTTCAACATAAATTAAAGGTTGGAGACCTCCAAAGAAATATAAATGCTAAAAACTTCCAGAACGCCGACGATACCATTGTCTATGATCACGCTTACATCTCAGATATATGTCCAGGCATATGTCAGGCATGGATCCATGCTCTGAGTGTGTGAAGAGAAGAAAAACAGGCTAAGAAGTATTCAAAACGTAATAAAATCTCATATAGGAACAATTGGTTTTATTGAAAGGCACCGTAAATTTGGTCAACGATTCTAATAAAGGAATGGTCCAGTAAACCAATTTTGACAGAAATCATGTTAAATCTGATGGAGCTCAGTTGAGATTGTTGCGGCGCGCAGTCAACTTTTTAAGTCTTAAAATAAACCTCTATAAAAAAAAAAAGAGAGAGAGATTCTAGATACTTGTGCTTCACTGTTCTACAGTCAGGGCCAGGCCTGTCGCTTTAAAACCGACTCATGCATCTTATTTCTTCCAGAAGTTTACTATCGAGTAAATCCGCTTGACTGACTTAAAAATATGTACTTGGCGAGGAAAAAAAATTGACACAATAGTAAATTACCAACTGAATTATACCTGCTAAAGTCTTCTAACGAGTGTGTTTTTTTACATTTTTTATCCAAGCTTAGTTTTAACTTAAACCTTTAACGTTCATGACTAAAATAAATTATCCATAAAATAATTTTCAAGCCCATAAAATTTATTGTTTTAAACACTAGAGTCGATAGGTACCTGAGGAGCGCCCAAAAAGGTTACTGTGATTTAACTATTTGTTTCCTTGCAAAACAAAAAAAAAGGATAATGGTACAAATTTATCGCCGCTGCCCCATTGTTTGAAAGTGTCTCTTCATTTTACACAAGGTAATATTTAATTTGCAGTAAAGTTCAAGTAATTTTCAATCTTGAAAAACTCTCTTTGAAATATTTACAAAAGACATAAAAGAGAGAATGCTTTGAAATTTGCTTGGTTTGCCTAAATTTTTACCCTTGCGGAGAAATCACTTAAATTTTGTTGGTTTTTATTACCTAATCATTTTGGCCGCAAAGATTTCAACAAAAATTAATCCTCTTGACTATAGTTAATTGCACACTCAGGGGAAAGGGCAATTTCCCCTCGTTCAGCATTACCATAGGCAGCATAATGTATCAGTCTCGCTGAATTTATCGCTTGAAGCACAACCTGCTTGGTTGTAAGACTACTGATAAATGCGTGCCTCTTGTTCTCCGTCGCCAATTTTCTTTGCGATCCACAATGCTTTCTTCTTATATCCTTGAGCCCCGTCATATTTAGCGAGCATTAAAACATTTACCTCGTTACCGCGCATGCTGTAAATGCAGGAGATTTTTTGTTAAATGTTCACCCCTGACCGAGACTTGTAAAGAAATGTTCCATCAGACGTATGCCGCTTTTTATCGTGATGTTTACTAAACTCGTAACAGCTCTGCAATCATTAATATATTAGTTTTATCAATGCTTTCACGTCTAAGGACCATAATCAAAATTAGAAGTTTATATTACTCTACGTTCAACACACAACTGTAGTTCAATAACATATGATGAACGCCAATCAATATTGTTTTCCACGTATAATATTTTAAGTGTAATATTTCTCCTCAAATATTATTCCCGATGCACATGAACAGCAAAAAGCGAGGAGGAAAAGGCGCCTAAGAAGAGCAAGTCCACGGGAGGAAGGAGTTCATAATAAAGTCATCAGCGAAAAAGTTATAAGAATTTCGCCATATGGCTCAGTCCATTTCTTTCTAGTTAGCATGGGCACCTAGGGTATTAACTTTCGTCACTAGGCACAACCCGGAAAGTTCAAATCTCTAAAAGTTTCTTATTTAACATTGACATATTATTAGAGACAATGTAAACTGATTTTCACTTATCGGAAGGAAGAACCCGCAATAATGTCTTCATCATCAGAATACACATAACACAGTAATGTATACGGTAAGGAAAGTGACTGTGAATATTAACAAAAATCATCGCCATCTTGTAACCCTTGAGTATTTCAAACCGGTGAATCTAATGTTCATCCGTTCTAACATCGTACTTTCTCACTTTAATTCAACAAACAACACCATGATTTGTTTTTCCTGCCGCCTCCGTCTTGCTCCATTGTCTCTTTGTTTCCCTTTTCTTCCTTGAGTTCTATGACTCCCGGTTCGAGGGCGTGATGACGAGGGGTAAGGAGGCGTTCGGCAATGGGGGACTTCTCCTGGCTGGTGACCCTGTCAGAGAGGCTTTTTTGTAAGGAAGCAACTAGATCGCTTGTCTTAGATTCACCTTCCTTTTGGTTTTCGCTTTCGATCATTAAGTCCATGAGAACAGAGAATATTTCATCAATGTTCTTTCCAGATTTGGCACTCGACTCTATGTAAAATAGATTCTCTCTTCTGGCGAATTCCTCCACTCTCCGCGAATCAACCCATCTCTCCAACTCGTCATCTTTGTTTCCAACTAGAACAATAGGAAGCTCTTCCCCGCACTTCTCCCTGACAACCCTCACCCAATTCGGTACTTCCAAGAAAGACATCTCAGAGAGGAGGTCGAAGGCTATGACCGCGCCCCGAACGCGGCGAAAAATCTGAGGCGCTAGGCTGGAGGCTCTGGCTAACTCGTGCCCGCCCACATCAACGATGTGAAGATGGACTGACTTATCACGGAAACGCAATCGCTGAAAGTGATCTTCGGACTGGAGTGTCCTTGGGAGTGTTATCCCAGAGAGCTGGCTGTTGGCATTCAGGAATCGGGTCACGATAGATGTCTTACCCACACCGGACTCGCCAAGTACTACAAGCTTGAACTTGTGATCATAATGAATGTGTGACATGGCACCAACCTTGTCCCTAGCGGGGCTACTGGATAATGCACCATCCACAACTTTACTGAATTTCAGAAGTTCTTCTATTATCTTTCCAGCACTGGGCCTTTTCTCAGGAATGTTGTCCAAGCACTGTAAAACGAGGCTGTGGAGGGGATGGTCGGGACCCATTTCCTCCAGGTCTTCACTACGGCGCATGTACTCTGGAACTATTTCCCCATCTGAAATAAAGGTCATGATAAGAAACCTGTTAAATCCAGATCGAAATAAAAAGAAGATAATTCGAAGTAGATCTAAAGAAAGAACCCGTCTACTTTCGCACAGTAGTCAACTGCTCTACCGACCCATTTACTAAGGAGGACTCGTGCCGTGCTGTACACCTCATTGCGATATGTGTGGGAAATCACATGATTACGAGTACCTTGCACGATTGATGCTTCGAATTTTTTTTTTAATTTCACGAGCACCAGGCGAGTGCAATTTTCTTATGCTGAATTTGTAGGTAGCACTCTGTGAACAGTAGTTGTAAAACTTGTTCATTCTCCAACACGTTTCGTCTAACTGTCGTAGACTTCAGTAATTTTTACTGTAAACACTCTACGCCTGTATTTATTAGCCATATATAGTTAGCGGCTATTACGGGAGCCAATAACCATAAAGGCTCGACCAGAATTACGAACAGGAACAGACTAGAGCGAAGTTGTAAGAAGCTTCCCAAACATCCTGAATGACCATGAATGCAAAAACAGTTCATGCGAATTTTTGTTTACCAAAATACGCCAAATACGGTCTGGGTGTACATTACACACACCCCCCCCCCCCCCCCCCCCCCCCCCCCCCTCCCAAAAAAAAAAAAAAAAAAAAAAAAAGGCGTCTTGTCAAGATGACTCAACGTTATATGCTAACGATCGTTGGACCAGGCATGTTTGATTTTGATATTTAAGTGGACGGTGGGGGAAGAGAGCGGGAAAAGGCGACTAATTTGTAGTGCCTCCCCCACTCCTCTCCCCTTCCTTTTGACCGTTGCTCACCCCTTTGGTACATATTTCTTTCTCTAACCAGCCTTACGCTACCGTTAAAAGATGGCAGCTATACTTTTCACCTAGAAAATACTCGCTCGACAAAATTATGCCTCCTACCGAAAAACTTTCCCCTATTTCTTCCATGAATTGATCTTTAAAACAACAATTATAACAGACGATCTGAGCTTTTCGCAGTAATTCAGAACTAAACGTCTTTTATTTGTCTTAACGTGCTAATTTTGGGGAAAAGACCGTGCAAAACTCCCGTTTCGCACTCTATCACCTATTTTTGCGTTGTTCATTGGGCTATTCTTTAGTAAAAAAAGGTTAGTCACGCAAGTTTTATTTACCTATGGCGTGACGCGCAAAAGATACGTCATAGGTTCAGAAAGCATATTGTATATGACACATCCCAACAAAATGTTTTTTACATAAGCAAATCGCGTTCAAAATATTATATTTTGACTACAGATACGTATAAACATACACAATGTTATTTCAAGGGCAAAATCGGAGGCATTTACCTTCAAGAATCGGGTCAGGCAAATCATGCACTGGCAGATGACCAATAATGATCTCTAGCAGCATGGCTCCGAACGAAAAGATGTCGATTTTCTCGGTGTATCTCGCTTTATCGCCCTTCGGTAGTCCTCCCAACCCCGTGGGATACGTTTCTGGAGCGGCATACACGGGTGTTCCCGGCATGGCAGTCGCGTACATTGCACCGCGAGGGAACGCTTTCGCCTGACCCAAATCTGCAATCTTTGCACGCAAGGTTTTCGTCAACAATACGTTTTTGCTCGCCAAGTCGCGATGTACAATCGGTTCTTTAAGGGTATGAATGTAATGTAAAGCTTCCGCGACGTCCAGCATAATTTTGATTACGTCTGCGAAAGGAACCTTCGGTTTAGTCGTTGAGTTCCGAATGTGTTTCGCCAAATCGCACTCTAGCAACTCTGTCACAATAATGGGGCTCTCGGGAGACGGAGGGACAATGGCAGTTAAATATTTTACAATATTGTCGTGCTCAATGCTGCGGAGTATCTCCCATTCCTTCTTAAACTTTTCCAAGAAAGCAGCTCTAATACTTCCATCATAGTCACCCTCGAAGAAGACAGGTCGAATCCGTTTAGCAGCTACTCGCTTCCCTTTCCACACGGCTTTGAACACTTCTCCATATGAACCTTCTCCAATTCTATCTCCGAGTTTAATTTCCTCGGCGGAGGATGTGTTTCCCATGTCGTTGCAGCAACAGTAAAATTATTTATTTGGAACTGATCAGGTTAACCGAACTGTTTTCGTCTTTGGAAACCCGGAAGTTCGGCCGGGCGAGGCCTGGAGCAAACCCAAGCCTCACGCGGCCAAAATGTAAAGCTCATCGAATAAATCATTCCCTCTGATCGCTTAAAATCTGCAATTTTTACCATGATTAAGTTTGGAGCTTCTAGGTGTTTTGTCCCACACGTTCCAAAACATTTGACCATGGTGAAACACTCAACACTTCCACTGGAATGGGCTCGTGTAATAGGCATATCAGGAGCCATTAGTGGGTCCTGGCACATATATTTTCGCAAATGAATAAAGGGGATAAGCCTCCAAGGAAACCGTGGTGCTCCGTCTGTGGGGGAGTGAAACAAGATAATTTGAGTTGATAATGTAAAGTGGCCACCAAAAAGTTTCAAAGCTGACGTTTCGGGCGGTGGCCAAGTTACATTATCAACTCAGTTGATAAAACCAAAATTATCTTAATATATTTTATATTTAGTATATAAAACTCTCATCTTAAAATTCTTTTCTCTGGTAGCAGGGGTGGTTTTGTACCGCCCTAGGCATTGCTCAGCCCTTTTCCCGGTTTGTCGGGACTATTTTCCAAATCAAACAAGAGTTATTATAGTTGAGAGGTTAGGAAAGCCGAAAAAATCAAAGGTAAAAACGATTGTTCAGAGTTTAGGTTAAGGGCTCCCTGACTGCACTCAATCTTTTGTCAAGTGGAAAACTCAAATATTGGCAATCACAATTTTGGACAGGCGTTGTAACAATTCCGTTCCCAGGGTTCACCCTCGTCCAAGAAAAGATCATGTTTGGCTCCTTGTCACATCGGTACTTTTGACCATGCCCATATTGACAGGAAGATAGGTCCGAATATTCCATTGATACAAATTGAAAAACAACGTTAAATAGTGGAAGGTTAGTTTCTTAAAAAATAAGAAATTAACAGCCTTAAATTTTATGCTTTAAAATGGTTTTGCACCCTGGGTCATTTTGGCTCGTTGTCAGCGGTATAACTAAAATAAATAATCATTATTATTTGGACCCTGGGCTCGAGATTGTAGATTTGCCGGTGCATATCAAGGTGGGGCTCGACATTGGACTGGAACTAGCAATTTCTTTCTTAATGCGAATCTCTTTCAATTTGTGACGCTCGGTTTCTTTATGAAGAAAAAACATGGAGGAGTACTCAATTTTCTGCGTTTGAATTGTTTAGAATTATGGGGAAAAGGGTGCGAAGCAGTCAAAGGTACGCTGATCTTTGTATACTCAAATGAATAAGATTTTGGTCTGTACAGTTCATCGGCTTTAATGTCTATGTGTATTTAGTACACCAGCTGAATCACGCGAACCCAAAGCCTGACATAGTAACATTTGACAACATAGAACGTGCCATTGACTTGCCTTATTTACACAGCTTTTTTAAGTTTCCTTATTCCCATAGCTTTAATGGTCTATCTTCATTTATCTGTAAGTATCTCGTCACACGATCGAGGAACGTTTCACAAATAACAAAAAGTGGAACGGAATTCCAACACGTACGAGTTTTAATTAGGCTGCCTGCAAATTCCTAAAGTAAAAGGAATCGTATCTGATGCCTTCACTCACATAAACAGTCGAAAAAATCGGTTTTTTTGCGCAGCAAGGGAGACTCTTTTACTTGAATTTACAATATTCTAGGCGACACGCATCGTCGCCGTCATGTTTTATGGGGTCATGTGATTTATTTACGTTATAAAACAGAATTTCAATTTAGTTGTTTAGTCACGTTTCACGTTGCATGTCTTGAGAGGTTGGAAAATGCAAGTGAGGAATAAAACGCGAACCTAACGGAGACTCATATGGCGAAATTAAGAGACAATCATCTTAGAGATGATTAGAAATAACCTATAATTCCGTCAAAAGCCTTAGTTCTCCATCCGTTTGCAACAATGCCACATATGAAATGCAGTTCGAAGCTAAGAAAATTAATTAGTCTTCCTTTTATTGTGATTAATTTGATGGATGTACCTTAAATCTTGTAGATTTAAACTAGAGAAAGGGAAATCCCTCCTTCCTGCTCAGACTCTCGTTGGATTTTCTGGCAAATTATCCATAAGGAAGTTGAAACCCTTACGGAGGTCAAAATCGGACAAAATTCGAGAGAAAGCTTTGGAGCAAGATTATTTCCAGAAGGTAATAAAGTGTTGCTTATTATGAATCCAAGAATTTTTTTTGTTGGTAAGATGAGCCTAAAGTTGCACCTTGAAATGATGTTTAGATATATGTTTCCTAATTTATCAGAACACAAATGGTGTTGAAAAAAAATAATAATTCTATCAACTTCCTTGTCGATCCACTATCATTGCTCGGCCGGTTTTAACCTCCCATAATTATCACCCATATCAAAGTTCCCAAAATAACTCTTGTCCTTTGCTTGCTTTAGGTTCGTACTTGTGATAATCTTGCAAACCCTGAAAAAATATGAACAAAGAAAATTCAAACTTAAAATAGACTGTAATTTTTTACTTAAGCCCTGGTAATATATCTTTTTCAAACTCTGTATGACACCCAACTGGTTTACTCATTGCTGATACAGTGCAGCAATAATTAATAATTACCCCAAACTAATCAATGCTATCATAGACTAGACCTCTCTCTTTTGTTTTCTTGCTTTTCAATTTAGTGTAGCACTCTTGAATGTCGACTACAAGATCACTGGCACTTGGTTGAGCTTAAGCAACAATTGGTATGTTGCAATGGAAGGGATTTTTGTGACTCACCTCTGTGTCAGGTATTGTAAGCCTCTACTCTTGTTAAACTTAATCTAATTACCTAAATTATTGATATACATATAAGGTCCACCCCACACATTGACAGTTAGATTGCTTCAGTAGACTGCTTCATAAGTCTAAAATTGAAGGGACCTGCTCAAGAAAACTTGACTGTCAAAAGGGAAAAAACTTTTGACTTTTAAAAGTGGCAAATGGGTATTTGATATTGCAATGGTTTACAGTCAAGTTGCCTAAAAGTCATCTTGCCCAAAGTCATGTTGCTTCAAACTTTTAGTCATCTAACCTGAATTGTTATCACATAAATTTATCATTTAGAAATGGCAAATTGTGGGAGAAGAGAAAAGAAAAAGAATTTTAGATTAGTTACACAAACATATTTCACTGAGAAGCATATGATTGTTTTCTGTATAGTGTCCATTGGCTCTGACAAAGAGCTAATGCTCAAAATGTCTGCTTTGTAACTCTTTACAGTGGCCAATTTACATTATCAACTCAGTTGATAACACTAAATTACAATGTCATACTCTCTGAACACCACACCACAGCACCACAGTTTCTTTAAAAAAACATACAATGCTCAACTTTGTTGTTAGAAATAAACATCGGTTTAGAGTCCTCATCACTCAAAGTCTTCATAACATTGTTGGAAAAGAGCAGCAAAAATATATGGTCTGTAAGTATGATCTTTCAAGTAATTTTTTCTTTGGGCATAATGACCCAGAATTTTTGGTGACATGACTAAAACTTTTGGGTGACATGACTTCATCAACTTGACCAGTTACCATTGCAATCCTGTAAAAATTCAAGACAGCAATGGAATAAAAAGTACACACAGACATGTTCAACCTATGGAGAAGTAAGGTAGCTTAACTGAACTAGAATTAGCTTTCTTACTATCGTATGGAAGATAGTTCAAAGCTGACTCAAATTATTGCCAATATTTTGGAAATAAATTGATAAACTTTTGTAAGTTTATGAGCAGCCACTTCAGCTAAAATCATCCCTCATGGCAAATGTTCTGACCAGGTGATAGTCTATTTATTGAACAAGGATTTTGTTTGGAGACAAACTGTGTGAGCCACTCATTAAACTGAAAGATGTATCTTTTTTCTGCTTTTTGTATGATTCTGTGTCATCTTTAGCAAGGACTATGTGTAATTTTGTTTTTGTGCCTATCTTTTTATTTAGCATTTAAATAAAATTCTTGAATTGAACACTGAACCAAAGTTATTCTAATTTGCCCTTAATTGTTTGCTCCAGATTTCAGCCACATCATATATCCATTTAAATGCATGTAAATTTCTATTAAGGAGATGCCCTAATTAAAAGGCTTAGGCAAAGTAAATAAATGAGTTTTACATTGGTTGGCTCCATATTTTTTTGTAGCTCCATATCTGGGACTTTTTCATTGGTTTGTCTCAGGCCCTAATAAAGCTGAGCTTTGCAACATACTAAAATGTCTCTAGGTGATATGTTTCTGGCAGAATCAATTACCTTTAGTTTTTTTCTCATGTACACAAAAAAATACCTCTCTTAAACCATGATTTCTGCCAATTACCTGTTGAACAATGTGCAGTATTGTAAGTGAAGGAGACCTTTGAAGCTTTGAGTACAGACACCTGCCCAATAATAATTATAAATTGGAATTAGTGTGTAAAATCATGGAACAACATTCCAAAGAAAGTCAAAATGAAAAGGTAGTTGAATAATCCAGAATAACCATCAAATTATATTTAATTTCATTGCATCATAAAATACTTCAGGAACTGAATGAAAGGCATGCTGCAAGCATTAAACTAATCAAGTTTCTTCTTGAGCAAGTGGGAACATCTCTAGAAGTGCTCCCAAAGCAAACTCAAGGTATTTTGCTTATTAAGAACATTTTTAGCAACCTACTTAAGACATTCTTATTAGTGAGAGAAGCAACTTTGGTTTGATAAAATGTTACTTTGTCGAAAGGTTGTGATTATTACTCATTAAGAATACTCAATGGTCAGGATTTCACAAAGCAAGGTAGAGTAGTTTGGGCCTTGTAAACATAAAGTATTCTGAGAAGTTTGAGAGAAAAACTTCTTTTAATCAACACAGAGTCAGTAATCCTCATGTTTCTTTTGTGTTTTGTTTCTTTTGACAACATCTCATAGGAAAGTAAAAGGGATGAAAGTACTCCCTTGTGGCTCTAGGAAACAGTTACCTTTCTTAACAAAAGGACTGTTTAAAACTTGTAGAGTTTGGAACTTAGGGCAGTACTTAATACAGGACTTAGTACACCACAGCACAAAACTTTGTCAAGAAAACTTTACCCTTGAATTCAAATTGTATATATGTGTAACTGCCTGCTTTGATTTTAGCTACATTGTGCCAGTTGTTGTCTGTGGACAAAAGGCTGAGAGTCAAGTTACAGAGTGGTTTTTGGCTCACTAAAGAACAATTGAAGGTACATGTAGGAAGATAATTCCTTTTTAAGTCCCTTAAAGAAAGGAAATATCCCTAGTCATATTTATGTCTCAACAATTGATTTAAGCAGTTTTAGAAAGTTATATTTTTAAAGATAAAGTGCCCAATTTTAAAAAAAGAACACAATGTAAACATTATTTTGTCATAATAATAATGAAGGCAAATAATTTGGTACTAGAAAGGAAGCTACTCAAACAAAGAAATGCTGATAGGCCTTTTTTTGGTGTATGAACTTCATTGTTAGATAAATGCCATATCAGTTTCATTGTCAGGAAGATTTCAGGTAATCTGTTTGCTTACTTTTTATTTCACCAATAAATTTGTCAGCATAACCTGTATCATTCAGTGATATTAGAGGGATAAAAGCATACCACAACTAGCTGTGCAGAAAATGTGATACATAAAATAATTCACATTGTGAATAACATATTCAAGTATAAACAGTCAAGCATTACCTTTGTAGTAATTTTGTATGATCAACTGGGTGATAATTTAAATTAGCCTCTGCAAAGAGTTTCAAAGCTGATGTTTTGAGGGTTAGCCTTTCATGAGAGGGAATGGAGGAACTATAGATTGTGTGTGTTTCTATGCAGAGAGAGAAGCCATGCTATTAGTGGGAATATGGTGATGAGTAAACAAGAATAAAATTTATTCTCGTTTACTCATGAGTTGAATGAAAAGCGCTCATTGATTAAAGAGTGCCAATTTAAAAGGTAAATTTTTGTTTTAGAGTTTTGCGATTACTCCATTCACTCTAACCAAGGGCTAATACTTGAAAAGTTAGCTTTGAAACTCAGTTGATAATATCAAATTACTCTGTTATACTCTCCTACAAACGCAGCACCACAGTTTCTTTAATAACTTATGGGTACTCCTTACCCTTTCTTAGAAACTTACTAATTTGTCCTTTCATTTCCTGAGTATGTGGACCTATCAGAACAAAAGAAAAATTCAGTAAAAGGCACATGTAAAGTGGGAAAAAAATTCTCTAAGAAAACTAAGAACTGAGGAGATTTCTCCTCTTACTGGGAAGAGAATAAGAGTGATTAAAGAAATGTTTGCACCAAGAAATATAACATTTCAAAGAAAATGGTAATTCTTATCCTCTCAATATTGGTATTTTTTCAAGGCTTCACCTGCTACCCAGGGAGCTGACACAAGTTCAGAGTAAGTTGTGCAGAAAAAATATTACATCTATTTACTTTAAATTGTTTGTGCTGTGATGACTTGAAAAGGAGCATATGCTCTTTCTGGTTAAGTATAACTTCAAGTCATTAATATTTATCTCAGGGTAGATTGCTTCATTGTTAGTGAGAAGTTTTGTAGTTTTCCATGTACTTTGATGCACCTGTGAAAAAGAATATTGGGTTTTCTCTAAGAACTACCATGATAGGGATTCCAGGATCTGTACAATAAAGGAGCTTGATCAACATGTTGATTCTTCCACAAGGATGGATAGCTGGGAAGTCTATTGTACTTGAGAGGAGGGGGAGGGGCAGGGAAGGGTGCCATGTACTCCTCTTTATGGGGATGCAGTGTCTAATAAGCATTTGGTCTGGAACTGATCACAGATTTAACCATATGGATCCAAAATCCATTACAATTGTGAGTACCTTCTGTTATCAAGGTCCAGAACAGTCTATGTTTTGCTGTTCTTGCTCTTATTTCTTTTTTAATACACACAACTTTTGATTTTTTTTTTCAGTAAAAAGGAAGGTTAGGGTTTTAAGGGTTTTAAATCGTCCAAAAGTACTCTTGCACGTTTAAACATAAGAGGTGATCCCCATTACCCTTCTCAGGCTGAGATGGATTTATTGGTGAGGAAATAGTTAATCTGCCAATAAAATATATTTACCCTGATGCTGTTTACTTTCCAGAATTTGAAACAAACGATGGTGGGAAACGAGAATTTACCAGCATTCATGAAGTAGAGTAAAGAAAAAATATTTCAAAAGGGTAGAACATTCAGCTCAAGGCTCCATAGAGGCTCTGCATCTTTATTATTAGTTTTGATATTTGAATGTAGTAACATGGATCATTTTGAGTGTAATTTGGTGTTAATAAGCATGAGTAAATTTTTTCAAAAATAACAAATTGCAAGAGCCTGTAGGTCGAGTGTGGCAGTCTTCGTAAACTTTACAAATGCTTATTTACAACAAATTGCACGAGAAACAATGTTTTTACTTATTAATGATGTACATGAAAAAAGCATCTCAGAAAGTCAAGACATCCGTGTTACGAATTTGCACTCGTGTTACATGAAAAAAGGAATCGTTTTCAGCCAATTACAAGCGCGCAATTTTTCACTTATATAATACGATATAATCGTGTCCAGTAGTTCGTGGAAATAACATATGTTTGGACAAGGTAACCTTTCTGTTTGCCATATGAAAAAAAATATGGGGAAATTCGATCCTTCTTGTCGATTTCACAGGGCTTATCCAGTAAGGGAAAGTGGGGGAGGTGAAAACTATGAAAAGAGTTATTTGACCTGTTTCAAGACTCACCTTTTTTCAAGGAATAGTTCTATCGTAGCAGAATAGCAGCATTATTCTGACTAACACACCAGGTCGAGGTCATCTGCGATCCCATGACCCCTCAGGGGCCGTAACATGGAAGCATATTACGTGTTCGACCAGCAATGTGGACTAGTATTATGCCTTAAGAACTGAGTGTTTAACAGGGAATTAGGTGAAGTTAATGTCAAAGATAGTACAACAATCAAATTTTATAACAATAGAGCTGCGGCTGCTGGAAAATTTCATGTTATTCATTCACGGACACTACTGCAGAACCAATTCTTCTCAAGGCTTAGAGCTAAAATCCGGAAATGAAATCATCCTCGAGCATTTGAAATCAAAAGCAAAGCAGTCATTCAAGAAACACCCTCAGACTGAATTGCTGCATTTTTTTAGTACATTAGGGGGTTTATGCTGATGTATATAACCTTGCTGATAAATTATTCCTTAATTAGAAGCTTATTATTTTTAATATAAATTATATCTATTCGCCTTCTTTTCCAAGTATTGCTTTTATTTAATTCCTTTCTATTATATGTAATGATCTTACCCTCTCTTTATGTATTAATTTTTTTTCACAGATATGTGTATGTTTTCCCATATTTATTATTTTATGTTGAATATAGCATAAACTCTACACAGCCTACATTAGCTATGCTATTTGCGGTGTACAGTTACCTCTCTTTCATTACTTTTACCAAATAGAACTTGGTGTGTAGTGATGTATTCAAATTAAGTCAATCATCGAAAGTTTCCGTCAGCTTTCTTTTTAATTATAAGTACGTATTGATGCTCCCTAACGTCGCTAAATCTACAACAGCAAATTCTGCAACTGCAACAAATCTTTGTCTTGACAGGGGAGCAGTGGTCTACCAAATATTTGTGCATGGAATCAAACATGACTCACCGTTAGTTTTGATGCTAAAGCAAGACGATCTTGGTCAAACCTTATGGAACATGGTTATGAAAAAATGTCCTCATAAGATTTCATCTTCCTTCATTCTTCTCCATCAAGGGCGAAAGGTATACATGTAGACTTATTGCAATTCATGTCAGAGCAGATGATGTTTTAAGTTGGAACGAGAAGAGCCAATCTGAACACTCCCAGTTAGGCGCTAAGGCTTGGCTGTTTCCTAATTGAGTTAGAATCGTTCCGATACGTTATCAGTTAAAAGTCAGATAAAAGTTAGAGTTTCCTCCGTCGAACTAGAAATTTCATTATCTCTGGCAGATGCTAAGAGTGAGTCTAAAATGTTAAGTACAACACGAGGAGGTCAAGAAAGTCGTGACTGGAAAAGGATCTGTTAGTTATGTACAACTCGCTCGGGTACAAAAGGAATAGATTAGTGGAATTCACATAGTTCGAAATGAAATGTCATATTGTAATGAAATATTCATTAATCATTGGAGTATTTATGTGTTTGAGAGTGTAAGTCAATGACCAGAAAATCATTTCTTGATGGGAATTTTAAGCTCCAATGTAAGCTAAAAACGAAACAGATAAGAGTGAGGTGGTTAAAAATCCAAACTGGCAGGAGGCAGATCTCTTGGCTTATTTGCTGATTGTGGTGAATATCAACAAGAACCAAGACTAGATAGCTCGTCCTCAGAAATTCACACTACAAAAATAGAAGGACCTAGAGTACATAGAACATTTTTTTTTTCACTTCAATTTTTTACTTTTTTCCCTGACAGATTACTCTGGGAAAGACCCTTAGAGAACAGGGGTTAGCAACAGATTGTAATATTCACGCGCATTTCTCGTTATGCGGAGGTAAGTCGCAAACATAACTTTTTTTAGGTGCTTTCATGTTTGGTTTGGTTTCTCTGTTTGCTCTCGCATTACTTAGAGAAAAATTCCCATATGGAATGGTTTTTCTCAGCAAGAATTTTTTGTTTCTGTAGGTATGGAGAAAAAGGAAAGTTCCCAACCCAACAAAGGAAAAGAGCAGAACGATGAAGGTAAAGATGAGATTTTAGTTGTGTGATGCAAAGTAATGGCTAAGAAACGGCCAGGATGCTAGTGTCTCCTCGTCGACGTCAAGGGTATATTTGGACTACAATCAATGGTTGACCCATCAAGGACTCAGTGACAGCGTAAAAATTTTTCATGCACAATAATGGATAAGTAACTTTTTTACATCTCTTCAGATTGACTAACCTACCTTGAAAATTTATATGCACACAAAACAGTAAGAATGTACAGACAAAGTGAGATGTACATTCATTTTTTAGACCCACAAAAGTGGACAAAGGAGCAAGTGGCAAAGTGGATTACTGATGTTTGTGTAGCTTGTGCTATCGACGAAGCTGAAGTTACTATACTGAAGACGCTTTCAGGAGCCGAGCTCAGCAATTTGAGCAGTGAGGACTGGACAGAAAGGTCACCCAGTCAAGGTGATATCCTTTTTACTATGTGGAGAAAACGGCTAAAAACTTTACACGCGAGACCACCAATGACTGATGGTACCTCAAAAACCGTTCCTCAAGCTTCAACGACGAATGGTATGTTTTTAGACCGTCATTAACTTAAATCCATGTGTCATTACCTATCGATATACTTTTCCTCTGTGGTATATGAATTCAATCAGAGGTCAAGATTTGCAATTTTTCTCTTGTTCGTTTATCAGATTCAGCGATGTTTTCCCTTGTTTCGTTTTCCTATCCAACTAAAGCTCTTAGACTTTTTTTTATATATCTACTCAAGTTGTTATTGAAGTATAGATCCACGCATAGGTGTTTCAGACAGAGAAGAGACTGAGGGCTTCGTGCACCCTTATTTACCATGCATATCGTGGTAGAGGTGGTCTACTCATGGATTTAGCCATGGAATATTCGGATTTAACTAGGTTGCTCTAACTTTAAGCAAATCATGCCGTTTCGAGACTCGTGTGCTTTCAATCACCAACAACTCGTGCGTGTATTCCGTAGAACACTGTAGAACATGACAGAACTAGACATTCACAAGATCTACAATTACTTTTGATGTAGGTGCTACAAAACGACGATTGGGAGTGTTTTCCCTTGAGCAACATTCAATTATTTTTTGTAGGTGCCAAAGATGAAAAGGCTAGCGATATGCCAGTTGGGGACTCACTGAGGGATTCTCTTTCGAGAAACACCTCCACTGGTGGTGAGCAACTTCCAATACCCTCAGCTCGCAGTTCTGAAAAGAGGTGATTGTTGATAATCTAGAGATATTTTCCCGGATATGAACACCAAAGGGGCCATCGTACCAATTTATCGAATTTACTTCCATTTTTCCACAGTACATTAACTATGTACAGTATTTACAACATCTAACATAGGGAAGTATGTCAATATGGTTCGAGCTCATTTGTTAAATAGGGAAGGATATATTCGTCTTAGATTTTCTTTTGCTTTGCAGTGTTTTGAGCACGCAAGGTCCGTTTGGGACTGTTGAGAATATCGACAAAATCGAATTTTATCGCAACGCTGACGAATTATCCAGACAGCCACCAGCTGATGGAACACTGATCTCCGCCAGAGGACTGTGCTCCTCCACACCACGAAATCTTGGCGGTGCAGGCACTGTGTTGCTCAGGAATAGTCCTGTAGAAGGTGGAACATTCCTAGAACTTAAAGTGGATATTAGAGCTTGCCCTGAGTCTACTGTTCTGACCAAGCACATCATTTCAACAATTCTTAATCTGAAACTCGGCGAGGAGTTGTTTGTGAGAGGACGAATAGAGCGTCTTGATAAAGGACTTAAATCAATGAAGAAAGGCTTCGAAATTCTACCTTTCAAGATAATCGTTGATTCGGATCAACATGCAGCGTTTAGACAGGAATGTAAATTGCAGCGTTCATATTTACGCCAACTGTCTGCGCCATTGCCAACCCATTGCGGAATTTTCAAGGCCGAAGGGTCGACACAAGAGCCCATTTTTCAAAATGATACCTTAGAGATTACACGGGGTATTCTATATTGCCCTCCAGATGCATCCCTAGATAAAATAAAGGAAAATGCAGTGGCGCTGAAAAACAGTCAGACTGGGGATATTTTTGTGGGTGTGAGCGATGAGGGAATTGTTCTTGGCTCTAAAGTGTCTCAGAATGGCGTAATTCAGAAGAGAGAGAATATAGTTAGAGCCTTGAGTGGAATATTGCCAAATGTAGACCACCCTATTACCGTTTGTACAACCGCCGCGCAAGCGCATGAACTTGTTGAAAAAGAGAAAGACTTTGTGGCTGCTATGTGGATACCGAGCGACAGGTGCAGTTCGATAGATGATCTAGAAGAAACGGATGAAATTTCTCTCTTGTTTCGTATACATGTGCTAAAGGGGTCGTCAGTGGTAAGCTTTGCAAAAGCAGAACATACACATGCGTATGTACGGGTCGGTGCCGAGAAAAAACTAATGACAGATTATGAAGACTTGTTTAACCGTCTTGAGTCACTTGCAAGTCGTAACATCCCCAAGAAAACGCCTGAAGCTATAGATCAAGAAGTTAACAAAGCTTCCGTGTACCAGGTTAGCGAACAGAGTTACCACCCTTTTAAAAGGATAAACTTTGAAACTGAAAAGACAGAATTTAAAGCCATCTACGGTGAGCCAAAGAAGATAATTCTGACTGATTACGTCAAGAAATACTCTGCATCTTTTCTTAACTCTGACGGAGGTGATATCCTGTTCGGAATAGAAGAGGATCGAACTTCAAAGGCTGGTTATACTGTAGGGGTGTCCATTTCAGTAAATGATCGAATAGAACTGGTCCAGGAAAGCAGCAAGACGGTTTGCAACTTTTGGCCTCCGGTCGATAGCAGTCAGTTTTTCATGAAATTCATCGAGGTGAAATGCGATATCACCAAGAACGTGTTAAAGTACCCAGATACCGACGCTGAAAAAAAGGGAACTTTCGTTGCATTAGTTCTTGAAAGTATGTCCAACGTTCAAAAACTAACGAAGTCTATCACATCAAAGAAAAGTCAAATCTCACTTCTTCGCTTGTCAAACAATCGTTTTGGGTTATTAACAAAAGATTCAAGTAAAGTGAATGTAGAGGACTTCTTGTCTGAGATGAATACGGAGAGTTCCAGGCCTAACTATTTTAGATTACAAATGGCTTCATTTGAAGAAATAGAGGCGGCAGTGGGAAATTTGTGCGTCGTTCATCTTCATGTTAGTAAATCGCCATACCCCATTCATCTCACAAGTCCACTCTACACGTTTTGTTTGGATAGAAAGGGTATGGTTGCGGAAATGGACCCCGACCAACTAATTGAAAGATTTACGAGTAGAGATTACCAATATGAGCCAGATGAATTCTTCAATGTTGTGAACGGGTTTGAGAAAGTGAACACGTCGTATGTTCTGGTTTGCTCACCGTTTTCTCTCCCAAGGCAGGAGCGTGATCTGTATGGCGCAGTAGTCCCTGAATGGGCCTTGGTGCTGGATTTTGATCAAACCCCAAATGAGGATGGCCATTTACTGAACATCTTTAAGCCTCTTCATGATCTCCACCAAGTGGAAAGAAATCTTTTCATAAAAACTCCACTTGATCGAAAACTCGAAATAAATCCAAGAAATGGCGTCTGTTGGTGTGCAGTGAGAGGGTACGAGGAAATCAATAAAACTCTTTCCACAGGTGGACATGCCTCTTGGTTGTCCACCCATGGTCACAAGATGAGAATTCTTATTGATCACCTTATAACTCATATAAACCCAAATCAGTTGGTGGTTTTGTGTCTGTGGGCTGACGGTCACAGAGAGTTGCTCCCTTCCCTTGACTCTATTTTGCAGTACATCTTTTCTCGTTGGGGTCCCACCAAAGTGGTCTTTGTCTGCTCTGACTCGTCTACGAAATCTGAAATCTTGTCAGGACTCGTAGAACCGCTAGAAAGAGCCGGTTTCGGAGTGAAGCGAGATAATATTTTCGTTGCACTGCCCCATGAAATGGCTCGGCACGTTGGGTCTAAACTTCCTCAACCCTACCGCTCAGAGGATGAATTCCAGATTCCACGGAAATTCCATCTTCCAGACGGCGGCGAAAGAACTATTCCAGATACTTTGCCTCAAACAATTAGACAGGCGGTTAAAGGCCATTTACAGATCATGTATCAAAACACCGGAAAACCCTTCAGTTAAAGCCAGACGATGAGGACAAAGTCCGGGTTAAGTTTTATTCTGGTTCCGAAATCGATGAGACTGGTCTTGCTACTGGAATTGCTATTGAGAGAGAAAAAATGAAAGTGTTGAAAAGAGAACTCAAATCATTTTTGAACGACAAAAAGTCGCATGTCTGCTTGACTATTCTCAAAGCGGAGAGAGGTGCTGGTGCAACGACCCTTTGTCTACAGCTCTTGTTTGAATACCGCAAGCAGTACGTTTGTGCTAGACTACTGGAATTCCACGACAGCCTTGCTGCCAACATAGAGAAGATTAATCAGTATTCCCGACTTCCTGTCATTCTATTCGTTGACAGCGAGATGGCATATCTACAAGAATTCAATGATTTCAAGAATGATGCAGAAAAAAGGAACCTAAACTTGAAGTTACTTGTAGTTGAGTCAGATGCGTTGTTCAGCCAACAAGCAAATTCACCTCGAAAGAAGCAACCCATTCCATATTTCGTTGGGTCAACACCTTATAAGACAGTTGAACTGAGCCGCGAACTGACGTCGGATGAAGTGTCACAGTTGATCGAGCAATTTCTAAAGATCAGGGAAATTTCCGAGGAGAAAAAGAGGAAGCTAAAAGATCTTAAAGATGGGGTATCAGGGGACTGCACTTTACGTAAATTTGCATACTTTAGTCTCACAGCTTTTGGTAGAAAGTATGCTGGTATACGAAGCTACGTAAAATATCGCTTACATCAAACAACTGAATTACAACTCCAAATTTTAGAGTTCCTGGCTCTCACCCACGTATTTACCGATTTCTTGTTTCCGGTGAACGCCTTGGCGCGTTTGGCCGACAGGGACGTTGTTATGCTCGAAAGCATTTTCAGCAACGATGACGTACGAGAGTTGCTGAGTCCGCCGTCCCCAGCTGAGTTCAGGAGAATTTCTTTTGTTGAAGTTGCAGAGGAACTTCTTCAGCAACAAGCCAAGTCGCTTGAGATGCGCCATACTCTTTATCTTAAAGATGTTGCGCTTCGATTGGCAAAGTGTGCTTTGTCGGATCCACGACCAAGCAAGATGATTGAACGTATCACTAGACGTTTGTACGTCACCAGTGAGTATGGAAGTGAGAAATTCTCACCACTTGTGCGATACCTGAGGGACGAACATCCTGATGTAGCTCGTGACATGTTACATGAGTTGATTGAAATTTTTGAGGAAGGTTCCAGTGTGTGGGCTCATCTTTTGGCTCACTTATCAAAATATTACATGATCCAATACGTCGATTTCGAAAATGCTATTCCTCTTATCGAAAAAGCAGTGAGAGAAAACAAAGATGACGTACTACTTCATCACATTCATGGAGATGTAATTCGCTTACACATACAAAACCTTAAAGATCAGCTTGAATTTTCCATGTGCGAAGTCGTCCGCTTTGCAATTCAGAGCAGTGATTGTTTCGTGACCGTGAAGACAAAAAGACCGCTGATGGAACATGGCTATTCTTCAGATGCTTTGGTTAGAAAAGTAGTCATGCTTGCAGCAATTAAATCTGTTGGCGGCTCGCATTTTGTGGACTTCCTCAAGGATTTTCTAAACAAAAGAAAAGAAAAGGATACATTTACAGCCCTCACTATAGAGGACAAATATGTCCTGGCTTTGGTACCAGAGTCATTTGCTAATCTCCGAGCAGTACCAATCAACGAATTCAGTGAAAATCTGAAAGACAGTTTTTTGAAATATTTAGGAGACCTCGATGACCTAACATCAGTTTGCGAAGATCTCAAAAAACTATCCAAAGGTACCAATGACGAAGCCTGGGTGGATAGAGTTGTTCTCAAAACTACCTCATTAGTGTGTTCGCTGGAAGTTGAATGGAAACAACTTGACCCAGAAGAAGCTGACGAAAAAATAAAAAGTCTAGAAGACCTGTTGAGGAAGACCAATCATGACGAGGATTCAGTTAAAATCTGGATTAGGTGTGCGAGGCTTGGCTCTAAAGTTCCAAGTTTAAAATCGGTAAGGAGCACAGTGAATAATTGGTTGAAAGCAACTGGAAAGAGATCCCCAACTGCCCTCTTCTACAAGTAAGTGGCTACTTGCCGATATACCTATACTAATTTAAGAAATGTGTATATTTTTAGCAGCGCTTGTTTCTAATCTTCAGATGTTATTTGCAAATACTGTGTGACTAATGACTCATGTGTAACAGTCACGTGCTTAAAAAAAGTTTGAGAAAGCTCATAATTCATCACATACCAAGATCTTAGACGTAAGTTGCAACGAATTGCTAATTGATTTTACGTTCGTTGCACTGGATTTGTTCATTTTCTTTATGAAAGAGCTTTCCTACTGATGAAGTCTGAGATTAAAATAGTTGTATGTAGTTGTAGATTTCCTGTGCTAATGTTCAAGTTCTATGATTTTACATATTTATAAACGTCTAGATCGCAGCTTGGATTATGTTGTATGGATTAACTTTACACTTTACTTTCCAGCTATGTTGTTGCAATTTTGGAAGCTCTAAGTGACCCAGATGATCCAGAGAAAATGACCAGAGCTGACGAAAGTGTCAGACAGTTGCTTCGGAAGAGAAAATCGCCAAAGTCCGTTGGCGTTTCATTGGACCCCACTGTACCAGTAGAATGGCTTCATCCAAAGGAAGGTCGACATATTAATTCCTTAGATTCACTACTATATCACGAAGACCTGGTGAGAGATTACTTGCAAGGTAAAACACCTCAAAAGCAAAAGCGAGCTGGAAAAGAAATAATCGAAAAAGCATTGTTTGAAAAGGACATCAGTAAATGGGAAGGGGTCGTCAGTGACATATCCTCTGATTGGAAAGGAATGATTACTTTGAAAAAGCGCATCTACGTACCCTTTGTGCCGGTTAATGTTTCGCCCAACATGCCAAATGAGGGAGACGTCGTCAGGTTTTGCCTCGCCTTTCATTGGACGGGTCCGTGTGCCTGGTATGTCGTTTGTCAACCTGGAGTTGCCAAAGCTCAGAAAGCGGCTGAACGTTCCCCGATCAGGCTTCTAGAGGATGAAACCGACAGCGAAACAAGTGACAAGGATGACGAAGACGGTCTTCTACCTTTAGTTGGAGAATCTCTTCACATACAGACAGTTCGACCTCAAAAGAACTTTGCAATCACCGAAGACAATGAAGGTCATCAGTGGAGCAATTACCTGGACTGTGAAAGACAAGGGATCATTTCCCAAGTCTTTCCCAGTAACGGATACGGGTTTATTCGTCATCCAGATTTTAAAGATAATCTCTTTTTTCATAAAAAGCAGATAGTTCCTCCAGTAGAAAATCTCAGCTCCATAGAGGTCTATTCAGTGGTTTTGTTTACGGTTGGTAAAACGGAGAGAGGACCTCGAGCGATGAACATCAGAACAGTGGTATGTTACTCAACACTCTTTATTTATACCGTTGTGTTAAACTATATATATATGTATAATTTACTGCTCGAAGAATGAGTTGTACTAGATGCCAATAAGAGATAACTCAATAAGGCTTGTTACACTTAAAGCAAACCATACATTTGGATGCTCCATAAATCCAATTACTGGTGATGGTTTTGCGAGATTCAGGTCTTCATCAGTACTCCCAAATGTCTCCTGTCGACTTTTTGTTTCCTTGGAGGCATGTGACCAACGGTCTTTCGGAGTTTACGCGCCATCATGACCATCCAGTCTCAACCAGGAGCAACCACGGCGCAAATAGAGCTTATTTAGGGAGGGTCCATGTGTCCGTTAACCATTGAAAGCAATGAGGCGATTTACTTTCAATTTCGACTTTTGTTCACTTTGGAACCATTGAATTATATAATCTCTCTTAGGATTTTGTTGCTTACAGTCCTAATTCGATTGAAAATAGATACCATCCTTGTCGTTTCCATCATTCTTTGTAAGTGAACCAGCCCTCTCTCATGGCCACAGAAGCCACACAGGAGGTGAAGGGGTTAAGGCGGATAAATGTGTGACTTATAAATTTGTCTCTCTATCTATACTTCGTCGTCATATGCAATCCAAAACAAACCTCAACAGATAAATCCTAAGGTACATTTAATTTTGACTTTGCAGGAAGAAAAAGATTTTGACTCACAGTTGAAAATCTATCGTGAAGAATTGCGCAAAGACGAGCACCCGAAGAAAACGTCTTCATCTGCATCAGTAGTTCCTCGATGGTTTGTTTTGTAACTTTGTAACTTTCCCTTATGTCTTTCATGAGATCTTTCACAAATGGAGGCTATAGCTTAAAATTATCGTGACAAGAACTCCAAATTTTATTTATTTACATGTTTATTTATTTTGTATATGTCCTTTTGTTTATCATTATATAATTTATTTCATTCATTCGAATATTCAGTTATTAAAACCAATAATGACTAATGTCACAGGTTTATTCATTTAGAGAGTGCATTGAGTGTGTCATAGCTGAAGCTATAAAACACTACACATAATCTAGGGTCTTTCATCGTTATGACTTTCTCTACAAGCATCATTCTCTCCCTATTTTCCACATGCAGTACATACAATATTGTTATATACATGAAACCTGCTCAAAAGCATTGTAGCATAAAGATTATTGGAATTGTTTTATCATTATTATTATTATTATTATTATTGTTATTATTATTATTTTTATTATTTTTATTATTATTATTTAGCTCTGAAAAAGTGGTGCAGTTGCCGAAGACACTACAGGACTTTCACGAATTAGGGTCTCGCCCGGAGGGGCATGTATGCGAAGTAAAAGTTCCACCTCGTTACAACACAGTTCGTGGGTATATAGCTATACCATCAACTTCAGAACTGTTGTATTTTGAAGAACTTTTGTCTGGTATCCCAAAGAAGAAGGTTGGTAATATTCAGTTGAAAACAATCGTCCAGTTCAGTGTGGCTAAGAATAGACATGGCTTCTTCGCAAAGGATCTTTTCATTAAGGTAAGATTTAAATTGTTTAAGCCGAGCAAAAAAGGCATGATCTGTCCTCAGTTGAAGGGCGCAAATTAATGAAAAGAAATACACACTGCTGAAACGTAAATCGATTTTTTCCCCTCCTACAGCTGCCTGAAAGTAAGACGGTCCAATGTAGATGTGGGTGGGAAGATCGTATTGACAAGGGAATACAGGAAGGCTTTATTGGTTTTCTAAAACCTGGAGGTCGCTATGGTTTTATAACTAAGACATACGCCAGAGAACGGAACCCTACAGGAATCTACTTTAACGAGTCACACTTACGAGGATGCTCGTTTGGGCAGTTACAGTTCGGCGACAGAGTACATTTTGTTGTTGGTCAGAATGACAAAGGAGGATGTGTTGCCGAACAGATTGATGTTCAATTTCCTGCAGTCTCACAGGTATAGTTATCCTGCTTTTTTCTTGCCTTCGCAGAATTTCGGGTCAAACCAGATATCACAAATGTGATAAAATACTTGCAAAAGATGTATCCATGTTCACTGGCCAATTACTGGTCAGTTGACCCCAAAACTTACAGAAAGTTAAACTTTAAGTAAGTAACATAAACTTCATAAATTATGTATCAAGTTAGTTCCACTATTCGCGCATTTTGATTGGTTATTACTTATAAACTATTAGAGAATAGACGCATCGATGGCGTCACCACTAGCAATCGTCTGCTGCTTTATTATACTGATAAAAGAAATAGATTCCTTCTTGTCGCGTTTCTGCTCTGATACAGATCACTGAAGACGTGAAAAGCTAGTAAGACATCAGTGACACACCTGGTCTCGCGTAGCGTCGCTCTTTTGTTCTTACCACATATTGACTTCGTCTATGATCTATTACAGAACAGACGCACGGTAACATGGAAACGTTTTCCATGTGCTTAATTAATTCTGAACCGTACATAACTACTCAAATTGTGCCAGAAGTTTCTTTGAAAAAACATAGCTGAGCAGGACATCGCACATTAGGGAAGTCAAAGCACTGCTTGAAGAGTGTCTTTATAGCCATTACACCGTGACGAGGCTAACATATATTTCTTTTAATTTTTTTCCAGGGAAATTATCCTTCCGGTTTACCTGATTCGCGTTTGTTTCCCAGAAATCCTCACATGTTTTTGCACGGTCAGCCAAGTCTTGCACAATACAGCCCCCTTTCCCCGCCCTTCGATCCAAATGCGTAAGTATTTTTATCATCTCTTTTTTCAAGATGCTCCTTAATTATGTGAATCAGATGTTAAGTATGCATTTTAGCCGTTATGACTAAGGTCGTTTAAATTTGTGTGGTGGTTTTGCCAGTTTTATCCGTTCGATGAAAGGCGTTATCTCTCACCATCCATCCCTCCGTTTCACTACCAGGAGTGATTTTAGGGAATTTCCCCTTGCGGAAGCAATTTAGGTAAACACTGAGAATCAATAGCGATGTAGATTACAGGCGTTTTGCTGAATATATTGAAATTTTCGGGGCGACTAGGTATGTAGAGAAGCACTATAAGGGGACTCTCACAACTGAAGACCTTGCTGTTCTCAGGTCGTCAAAATAAAAAATGGGACTACCTCCCATGAGCTTACGGGCTATAATCAGATAACCTACTCTAATCAGGGTAAACAATATTTCACAAAACCGATTGCATCTAAAATCGTTATTATAATAATCCGGTGATCTCAAAATCTGGTTAAGGAACGTTTTGTGTATTATGAAATAACCACATAACTCTATAAACTCTTTAAAATCATCAATCTCCTAACTAAGTGCTCGGCTAAAAACTAAAAAATAGGCTCGAAACACGTCCGTGACACGTTCACCAAGAGAAGTTCTTATCTGCAGGAAAAGTCGGCGGGTCCCTCTTATAGTTTCTACCCGCCCTGGCTTTAAATGTGGCAAAAAAGCCACTTACCGTTGCCAGATTATTAGCAGCATACTGATCTAATTGCCTAGAAAAATTTATAATAGTTATTGTTATGAGATAAACAGTTTACCGTTCTTCTTCTTGTTTTCTCCTCTGTGTTTTCGCTTCTTTGTTCGCTCTCCTCCGATGAGGCTTCTGACAATAAGTACAAACGGGACGGCTGTTCGGTTGACTTGAGATGGGGAACGACGGAGCTTGTATGCTCTGGCTGAAATTGCGGCACATGCAGCGACAAAGAATACAAAACACAATAAAGTTTGTGACTGATAAACCGAGGGCGACAAATGCAATGTACGCGACGTAATTAGTTTCTGTCGTTTACTGTATACTGTCCATCAGGCTATCTGCTTTCTGTATGGTTTCGCTAATGTCATCTTAGTAGATAAGGGCAAATCGATACTCGAAACCTCTCAAGGTATGACCCATACGTCTTTGAAAACTTGCTCCGGAGTTTGTTAATCCAAACAGCATGACTAAAAATTCATAAAGACCATTGTGTGTAACGAAAGCTGTTTTCTCACGAGCGGAAAGGTGCATCTCTATTTGCCAGTAACCAGCTGATTTCATGTCTAATGTACTGAAAACTTTGGTACCGCTCACAGGTGGCCCAAGCTCCAGCATGGCGAAATTATAAGAGTTTGTATGGGAATAGTTACGACCGCTCTTAGGAATAAAAAAATGCAGTCCAATTCTCAGTGAAAATACCTCACCTTACTTCCACAGTGCATCGCTTGTTGTCTGGCCGCTTACTATGCTGAAAGGAATCCATTTTAGCGAGTTATCCATTTATAGGTTTACTGACATAAGAGAAGCCCAAGGCTGTACACTTCATTTTCGAGCACCCTATCTGAGAAGCGGAAAATCCAAGCTCTAAATGACCGGGCGGCCAAAAATCCAAGCACGTACACTGCAGTTTCATTTCAATTCACTACCAACTCAATTCTCCCGTGAAACCAACGCTAAGCCGCAGTTGCTTCCAAAATTCCCAGTCTAGACGATTCTAACGACCCGCGTTCGCATTCACCACGACACGCGGCCGTTGAAAACCAGCTTGGCAACCCTGCCTTCTTTGTAAACTTTCTCTTTAGGATTAACAGCCTTTAAAAGTTCCTCTGAAATCTTCGCCCAAACTTCCTTGGGATCAAAGTCCGTGCGTCTCCCTGACGAGGCAAGCACTGATTCTTTTAACTTTGCACTATTATCAGCGGCTTCCAAATTTTCTGGCTGCTGTAAATAAAGTATTAGCGTATCTCGTTGGCCTAACGCCTGTCTTAAACGCCATTCACTAACTCCCAAATATTGGATCATCTCATCTCCTAAAGCTAAATTTTCCTCATCCCAGCTGCTCAGTCGACCAGCTCTCATGTAGTCGTGTACGTCTTCGCCTTCGTCTCCCCAAAAACCTGGAAAGGTGCCTGAGGACTTAGCGCCGATATTTCTATTCTGTACCGCAGCAGACGTTTGCATTTGCTTAAGTGCTTCGCACAACTGACTAACATGATCTTCCATTCACCTAGATCCAAAACAGTTATCCCTTGATGCCAAAACAGATATTGGTGGATGTACACTATATCTCTTAATTGAATCCTCACTAACACCTACGCGGTCAACTTCTTCGGAGTCTGAGCAATGATCACTGTCGTCCAACTTGGAGTTGGAACTGACCCGACTGGGTGCGACTGAACTTTTTCCTTAGGTGATGCAAGGGATTTTAGAAAGTTGCTAAACGAGGGTCCCTTGGACTGTGGGACTGGAGGAGGGGTCCGAGGAATACACTCATCGTGCGATAAAGAAAACCGGCCAAATTTCCCTACTGAGCAGCCTGTTCAGCCAAGGCGCGCGCTTTTCGCCTAGTTGGTGGCACGATTGTGGCAGAAGTGCAATTTTTAGAATAAATACGTGATTCCGAAAAACTCAAACATAGCAATCCACCTTCGAAATTGACTAACGTTGTGAAGTCTAAAACGACGCAACTAAGCAAACTACCATCAAGAATCTACTTACTTCACAACATTTTTTTACAGTTCGAAAGCTTGTATCGGAAAGGCATGCAAAAGGAATGGAAAAGTTCCACTTGCGAAAGACGATTTCAATAGAGTTCTCCATTAAGTTTGTAGAGAAGCACTAAGGGGACTTTTGCAGCGAGAGACACCAAGACTCTTCTTTTGATTTCTCCTTTAATTGTTCTTCTCCAGCATCTAGACAACTTGACAAATTTCTGCTACCACTACAGTTAATCACTCTAGCACACCTCCTTAAGTATTCTATTAGTGAACATGTTTGGGTTATGAGCCGGTTGGTTTTGGGGAATTAAGACTCTTGGTAAACTTGCTAACCCAAGTAATTTAACAAGAATAATAGAATGATCAATAAAGCACTTAATGATTTAAACAAAATAAAAGCCAATCACTGAAAACAAAAACCAAATCAGGAACTCTGTTGTTGGTCCAGACCAACACTGCGAGACAAACCCAAACAGGAACACCATTGACAAACAAGGAAAAAATTACAGAAAGACAATAGCTAGATGTTCGGTCTCGCCAACTTTAGAATCAACTAAACTATTCAAGTTTTCAGACCACTGGACATAACATACAATAATCAGGAAACTGCGCGTGAAAAATGTACTATCTCTAACGATCAACTCCAAAACAGGTATTAAAATATTGGAAATTGAAAAGGTGAATGGGTAATAACGGTAGAACTGGAGCATTTAAATCTACGTAGACAAAAGGTCTTTCCTCACTTATAATCATTCGAATCTATCTTACTCTCTTCGTATTCAAATGAACAGGTTAGTACAATGTTAAGCTGTTAGTTATAAGTGTATCTTATGACCCTCTCTATGCCATGGTTTCAGAATGCCTCGTCATCCTCTGCAAGACCCTGGTCGACACGCCGATGGAGGCTTTCAACAAGTAAATTACAAAAGACGGAAACGTTAAGATGTATTGTAAATGTCACCAAGAGATGGAAGAAACCGTTATTTATCATTGGAAGCCATTTTGAATATGTACTACTCGACCCAAAGTCTTTGGTAACAACGAGGATACTAAATTATTCAAAGCAAGTTCTCCCTGTAATCGGATAGATAGAGTAGCTGACATTTCAAGGCGTAATTTTATATTCTCTCACTCGAAAAAACTGTCTCAAAGTATAACACATGACATATGATACCAAATTTCGTACTACTGGGATATTTTTCCGCAGAAAAGATCAATTGAAATTCGACCCTGTTTTATGTACTAAGATTATCCTAGTATTTTTAATTCTCAAAAGAACTCATTTACATATATTAGATACAATTGTTAGTAGTATTGGTAGTCATGTCAGTGTTTACCACTACTTAGAGAAATAATTACTGTTTCGATAATTTCGAGTCTTTTCGACCTGTGGGGTCAGTGAGAAAAGGACCCTCGGTCCGTCTGATGATTAAATTTCGTGTAATGTCTCTAAGCAATGGACTGGTATCTGATACACCAAGATACATAATACGATTTGAGATTATTTACACTGTTATTATATTCGTAGATGTTTGTTCGGTACCATTTCCTTTCCCCACCACTTAGAAGAGAATATTGAATATCACATTTTCTCTGTTTATAAATTAAATTTCACGATTTTACATGTAATATTTAGAGTGGGTAAAATAAAAAGAGTATTCATATGGAACACCGAAAAACAATTAATCCTGAGAATGCTAACTTGAAGTGATGTTTACAACGACAAAATATTAAAATCTGCACAATAGCTAGTTCAAGTACCGGCTGCTTTATAGTTTGTGTCACACATCTTGGCAGAGCAATGCTCATATAATATTGGATGCATATTTCGTCTCTCTTTTTTTTTTTTCGTCTTGTTTATTTTTACTTATACCCCTCGCTGAGGGCCAAAGAAGTGGATCTGTCCTAAGTATATCCTTCATGTCTCTCATATGCTATTGAACAAAGAATTGTCAGGTGACTGTTCTGCGAGCGCCATCTTGAATTGTAGCTGTTTTAACCACTTGGCCAGTGCTGACTTCGTGTGTTTGTTGATCCGCTTCCGGGACTGAGCTTTACGCAAACGTGCATGAGCAGCGTCCGATTGCTATCACAGAAAAAAGGTGGCGGGAGAACTAAAAACAATGGCACGGAATGCACCCGTGTATTATCATAACTAAACGTCACGCAGAATGCTACATAAGTCCACGTAAGTCAATTCGACCGCACCTTTGGACAATTTTCTAAATAAAATCTCAAAACACGTGTCAAACTTTATTGTATTTTACCAATTTCAGCAGAACAGCACGACCTCAAAAAGAGATTATGGAATAGTTCACTTGTCTAAAAACGTTTTTATCAATATCATTTAAGGTCCTAAAATAATGATCTGGCCCTATTTCCCAGACCTGGCGACAGACAATTGAAAACGGTGTAGAAGAGCGGGGTCAGTTAGGAGGAGCTAATGAGAGTAAAGGACAGAAAAGAGTGGCGATCTCTGGCGATGGCCTCACATGCCCAATGGTATAACAAGGATTGACTAACCCACAGATCCCCCTAACGTAACCGTTCAGAACCAATAAAGTTTGTTCAATTTTCACTATCAATTGAAGCACGTGAAACTTCATATAGCTTTCCGCTGGATGCATATTGTAAACATTTGATTGCTATTGATTATAAACAAACCTTGAACTCCCTCATTCCATCTCACTCACCTTCTGAGAGAAGCAGTAAGTAAGGATTGGGTACCACATCGGATATAGCTGTTCAACGAGATAAAAAAAACAGCCTTTCACTGTTTCATGACTCTAAATAAAGACGAAGCTCGAAACGTAAAAAGGAAATTCACCATTACAGACAGTTTGGCAGGTAAACAGACTCTTCTTTCTTCAACACAATATTTAACCTCAGCTAAAGCGCACCTCTTTGTAATGACCGGGGTCATGTCGGGTTTTTCAAAAATGAAGATAAAATGTTAACTCCATCAAGTGCTTAGCGCGTGCTTACCTTGGGTAGTGGGGTGGAGTTGCACTCTTGAAGAGCTTCCAGTAAGTTCAGGAAGTGGTGACTAACGGTCTGTGTCAGCTGTTAAAACAATCAGTGTAAAAGTAAAGAAATTATTTTCGTAGGTAAGCTGCATTTTGAAAAATTGCAGAAAAGTCCCCTGAAAAAATTCATGTTTTGAAGGTATTCAAACCCGAAGACAAAATAAGATGAGTTCCGTTCAAGAGAACACATCTAAAATTGGCTTGATCAGAATTGTTTCTATTGCTTGGGAGGCTGAACATATAAACTTGGGCCGTTAACTCACACGTATTTAGCCAGGTATACGCCTGGTTGTAAGGGACACTGTAGGAAGCAAACATAAAATGTGATTATCCGAATGAGTAAAGTCTTGAAAAGGACTACTCTCATGATCAGAGCCAAGCAATATACTCAATAACCCGTGACCTTTTAACTTTCCCCAACCAACTCCAGTTCAACGGTATAAATATGATTAACCGAGTGTCGAAGTACCACAATCCCTCACCTCCTTTGCTTGAGTAAGAAGATGGAGAATGCCTGGAGTTACTTTACCCCAGAACTCCATAACGATGGAGGCTGCGTGTGTTGACGATTCTCCTGGACTCTTGGTTTGATCACAGTACAGCGTCCACAACTGTCACAATGAAAAAGAGTAACATTCCTTGTTGCTTTCCACAAAGTATGATTTTGCATGGATTCCAAATCAGTTTTGTTTTCGTGTTAACAAACCACAACCGACTTCAAAGACTCAGCTGGCTTTTCTAACAGGAAGCTTATTTCAACGGTGCTCGTAAACATCATATTTTAATATTGGTCTTAGACAGGCAGATGTACGGTATGAAATATATAATCATCGTTTGCAAAACAGAAAGCGGACGTTTCCAGTGTTCCTTACCTCACAAACATTAAACGCATGATAAAGGGCAGACTTGCTCAAAGGTTCCTGAAAAGGCAACGACTGACAGTGTTAAAATGGCGCAAACGTTTTTATTGAACCTTGTTCGCAATATCTTGACTGAATTTTTGACGCTTGCACAAAAACCCCACCCTCCCCTTCCGCATGAATTACAAATCGGTTGTGGAGGTTTATTCAACGTTTACCATTTAAACGCCAATAGAGAAGAATTCTGACCTTTAACTGTTCCGCAAAGCTGAACAGAATTATAAGCACGTAGTCCGCAATATGCGTGTTCTCCTCAAATTTGACTGGGTGACAGTTGACGTGAGGATTGCGACAGTGAACGAAGTGTGACAATGAGCCGTGCAGTAACCAGGCCAGCAGTCGCATATGTGTCACGCAATCCAGCAGTTCTTGACGCCTGTAAGAGAAAAAGAGACAGGCAAGGTGGCCTGATGGTTAACGCGTGAGCTTCCGATTTAGAGGCCTGGGTTCGAGTCTTGGCCTGGTCAGTGTGTAGAGTGCTTTGGTGTAACACTTCTCTCCACTCACGAGTATAAAATAGGTACCGGGACCAGTCAGGGAAGCCTGATGAGATACTCGGGGGAGGGGGGGGTAGGGGGGGTGTTTGAATCTGTGATCAACTAGCATCCCCTCATGGAGTAGCAGTAATTGTAGTCACTTCCTGCTATCAAGCTAAGACACGGGAGAGTTAAAGCATAGTGCAAATTAAAGAGCACAGTGAGTAGTTACCCCAACTGTGTAGCTGTAGGAGGACTCTTGAGCCATGCCAGTGCTTTGTTATGCATTTTGCTGTCCTCTGTGTGTTTAGTGAGCTCCAATGCCACCAGCTGGGATACACTGGCTTTCAGATCGATCGGCAAAGTTGTCTGATGCAGGTTTGGTTCACTAAGCTGGCGGTTTTCCTGTTGAAAAAGACAAGCTGCTAATCAAAAAGAAATATTCCCGTACAGCAGTCGGTAGTTTAAACACGAGAGTTACTTTCGGACGCACAGTTTGATCGTCCGGGTGATGATTGCCCTGAACGTTCATGAGTAACAGAAACTGACCTTTCACCGACCTGGCCAAGAACAACGTCACCATTACAATCCCTATCTTGGCTCTATTGACTTCCGCTCTGGTTGTAGAAACATCAGTCGTTGTCACCCATAACAGCTTTCAAAAGCTACCCTAAACTGGACGTTAACGCAGTACCGGCCATCGACTTAATATCACTTACTTTACTGGATCTGGCGGTAAAAGTCCAGTCCCTTATGAACTCTAATGCTTCCCCGATGTACTGACGGACGCAGTCAAGAGCTCGAGTGCGTGACTATGAAGAAAGAAAAAAAAAGAGTTTTAAGTACATGAAAAGTTATAAGAGTAACACAATGCCAAGAAATGTCACACAATTCTCACCCCAAACGGCAGATCATAAGGTGCGTTGTCAGATTCGCTACCAAAGCTGATCCTGCTGCCAGCATCTACAGCGACAAACTATTGATAGACAAACAATTGAGATAAAGTATCTCTCACAGAGACTTAAAAAATATTAAAGAGAAAATTCCAGAGTAACTATGTACCTGAAGAACAGACTGGAGGTTCGTGTCGGGAAGTGAAGAACGAAACTTTACAGCATGGACCAGTTCCAACACAACAGCACGAGTCAAAAACAGTTTGTTACGCTCCTGAAAGATTTAAGCCAGGAGGAAAAAAGAATAAGTAGTTTTAACATTTTATTCATGTTAATAATGTATATGGAAAAAATTACGCGCTTCTGATTGGCTGAAAACGAGTGCATTCTCATGTAACACGAGTGTAAAGTCTGTCTTACCTTACTGAGATATTTTTTCGTGTACGTTATTAACGAGTAATAACATGATTTTTCCTGCAATTTGGTGTAATAAGCACTTGTAAATTTTTAAAACACTACAAATTGCACTTGCCCTATGGGCTCGTGCATTTCTGTTGTCTTTGAAAAATTCACTCGTGCAAATTAACAACAAATTGCACTCGAAATCATGTTATTACCTATACTTAATCCGAACCTATAAGTTAAAGAATGTG